GCTATTCTAGTTCTAATTAGCACGGTTGTAGTAGAGTTATAAGCGTTTTAACTCTATGTTATAATAACGTTATTACGGTAGAGTGTTAATAGCAGAGTAGGGTAACAAAACGTAGTTAGGTAACTTAATATCTTACTCTTAATGTAGGTGTATTTTCTAAAAACCTTATACTCGCTATACATAGCTATAGAAATTAATAAAACTATATTTCTAATATTTGCTATAGATCTAGTATATAAACAATATAATTAAAAGTAGTAATAGTAATAAAGCTTTTTATAGACTTAGAAGTAAACCTAGGCGTTAATTTAGAGGTGTAGATAGTTAAGCTATAGAGCTATATTCTCTCTTTTAAGATATTAACGTAAAAATAAGCTTTTAAAAGTAGATACTAATAGTAATAAAAAGTAAGCTTTTATTAGTAGAGGGGCTAGAAGTTAGAATATAGTATAATATCTAATAGAAGCCTTTATATTAGCCTTTGAAGTAAGTAGGTTAAAGATAGCTCTAAACTATAGTACTAGATAAGTAAACTCTAGGTTAAGCTAATATTATACTATAGTACTATAAGTCTTAAAATATTTAACGTAGTTAAAACGTAGTTTAGAGAATAGCTGCCTTACGTAGTATTTATACAAGATATTAACTTACTTAGAGAATACTTCTCTTTATTCTATATCTTTTCTAATATTTTTATTACAGTAGAGTGTTAATGCAGAGTAGAGTAACAAAACGTAGTTAGGTAAATTATTATTTTATTCTTAATATAGGTGTATCTACTAAACACCTTATACTTGCTTTATATAGCTATAGGAATTAATAAAACTCTATCTACAACGTTTACTATAGATCTAGTGCATTAATAATGTAATTATAGGTAGTAATAGCAATAGAGGCTTCTTATAGACTTAGAGGTAGACTTAGAGGTGTACGTAGTTAAGCTATAGAGCTGTATTCTCTCTCTAAAGAAATTAACGTAGAAATAAGCTTTTAAAAGCAGGTGCGATAATTAGATTACGCTAACAAGAAGAATAAGCGCATTAACAGACTAATGTTAAATAGAAGCCTTTCTATTAACCTTAGAAGTAGGTGGGTTAGAGACGGCTTCAAACTGTGGTACGTAGGTAAACTCTAGGTTTAAGACAACGTTGTACTGTAGTGCAAGTCTAGAGGTATTTCGCGCAGTTAAAACATAGTTTAGAGAATAGCTACCTTGCTTAGCATTTATATATAAGGTCTGCGCACTTAAAGAATACTTCTCTTTATTCTATATCTTTCTTAATACCTCTATACACTTTAAAATATTTATAAACATCTACTAATATGTCTATAAACTACTAAGAATATATAGTATAGATTAACTTCTCTTCTATACTTATAATAGAGGCCTCTATTCTTAAGAATACTTAGACTATTAGCGTAATAAAACGTATAACTATAGTAGAGCTTACTACTTATAAGAGTAGCTTATTTAACTTTCTAGTTCTTACTAGAAACTCTAAGATAGTAGACCTAAAGGCCTTAGCTATATAGATAGAGCTAGTAAAGAGCTTCTAATATAATAGTGTTAGAATTATAGTAGTAATTAACCTAGACTAAAGACGCCTTATAGGCTTATATATTATAGCTATATAGTGTCTAGCCTATATAGACCTCTTTTCTTTTACTACGTAGATAATCGCAGAAGAATAGTTTAGTTAACTTTTAACACTAGATAAGAAACTAGCTAGTTTAGTAGTTATACTAGTAACCTAAAAGGAGCTTAAGTTTATTAAAGTTGTGCGTAATAACATTTCTATTAGCTAGAAGCAGGCAGCGCTTTACTAGCTCTAAGAGGCACTAGAATTATAGTGTAGTATTAGGCTATGCTAACAAACGCGTAATAAAGAGCGGGGTAGATAATTAGAATAATAGAGAATAGCATAATATAGCTAATATAGCTAGGCTTATAGATAATTGCGCATAGAATATAGGTTGCTAGTAATTTTATAGGTATTATATAGGTGTCTTAGGTTAGGCTTTATACTAGTAACAGGCTTACTAAGTTTTCTTTTAGTGTTACGCAATTATATAGAGCTAGTATTAGTGCTGCTACTAATTCATAACCTAGATAACTATTAGTTATATATAATAAATATAAAGCAGTTAGTGCGTTGTAATTACGCGCGTAGTAATTATTGTGTTAGTAGTAGTAGTAGTAGTGCAGGTATAAGTATTATAATAAGGCGCAAATCTATGCTTACGTTAGAGATTTTTAAGTTTGCTATTAGGTAACATAATACTGCGTTATCGCGTGATTACGTAATTTTAAAACAAGTACACTGTAGGCCCTGTCTCTTAGGCCTAGGGAGGGTACTATTAAGGTATTACGTAGAGCTTTTACTAAATAGTATCTTATATAATAACTAGAGTCTACTAGCTACCTAATACTTATTTAACGCTAGCGTAACGTAAGCCTAGTTTTACGTTTTAACTAAGCTTTCTATAAAGCTATAGTCTCTAGGCTAGTAGTTTTATAATAGCTTATACTTAGTTGTTATTTAAAGGCCTTTTAGGTAATAGAGTAACGCTAATTCTATATAGTAGATTAACCTACTTACACGTAATAAAGAGATAGTTAAGAGACTTAACGCGCGTTACGTTAATAAAGTCTTATAGTAAGGCTCTATTAATTAGAATTAAAAATAAAATATAAGAAGCTACGCTTAAGAAGCTACTATATAGGTATACTAAAGTTATATTTAATCGAGAAAAGAACTATAAACTACTTTATTCTAAAAGTTAATTAGTAGTAGCTTAGATTATTTTTTAGTCTAAAGTTTAGAGGTTTAGTCTTAGCGTTATTTAGATACGTTAACTATAAACTATACAGTTATATATATAACTAAGATATTATTAATAACTCGCTAACTATACTTTAGTCTATTATAGTTATATATATAAGTATATAGTTTAAAATTAACGCGTCTAAATAATACTTAGACTATACTTCTAAACTTTTAACTAAAAGTAATCTAAGCTACTACTAATAAACTTTTAGAATAAAGTAGTTTATAGTTCTTTTCTCTATTAAATATAACTTTAGTATACTTATATAGTAGCTCTCTAAGCGTAGTTTCTTATATAAGAAGGTTCTTTAAAGCTACTAGTGTTTACTTATCTAATATAATATTATATATAAGAAGTACTATAAAAAAGTATCTAGTTTAGATAAAAGCTTTAATTCTTATCTTAGTAGAAAGAAGTAGCTTAAACTTAAGTCTATTATACGTTATATAGTAAAAGTTTAGAGTAGTAAAAATATTAAAAAGCTTTACTAAAGTCTATGCTATATCTTAGCTTAAAATAGTATTCTCTATAGAGAGATTAGAGATCTTAAGAAAACTCTTTTAGTAAAAAAAAGATAATAAAAAAAAGCTTTATTCTTTATCTTAATAACTCTTAAAAGTACTATAGTAGAGCTATTTTCTAGTTACTCAAAAAGGTCTAGTAAGCTTATAAGAATAAAGCTTTATAATAGTAATAGTTATAATAATTATAACTATAGAGAGATAAAAAGAATAAGCTTAGAATAAAAGCTTAATTCTTTAAGCTTTGGCTTGTTAAAAAGAAGCGTATTTAAAGAGAGAGAATTATAAAAGTATAGAAGAAAAAGTATACTATAAAAAAGACTAAAGAGAAGTGCTAAAAAACTCTTTATAATATATAAAAGACTATATAACTATTTTAAGAGAATAAGCGTAAGGCCTTATAAGCTTTTAAGCCTTCTAGAAAGTATTAGAAATAAACTATTATTAGTATATTTTATATAGAAGCTATTAGTACTACTATAGTAGCTCTAATATAAAATACTAAAATATAATTAATCTAAATACCTAAAAAAAGTTTTTAAATAGCACAAAATATCTATAAGTATATAATTATTATAATACTAAGTTTTTAAAATATTACTACTAATTACTATAGCTCTATAGATTTATTTTTTATATAGATAAAGTAGTTATTGTTTAGGCATCACGCGATTAAGGCATTGCCCGCGCCAAGACGGAAGTGTGCAATTCGGGCTTCCGCTCCGGCAGCGACTACCACCCGAATGACCCACGAAGTCCTTCCAGACCTTCCCATGATATGTGGACATACAAAAACTGACTGTACTGCGCTGATCACGAGGTTCAATCTGGATCAACGCGATAGGAATACTTCCCGAAATCCGATCTTCCAATGAGCTACACTACCAATCGACACTCACGCTTCCTCAGCAGTCACGTCCACATTAACACTCGTACAAGCATTTCTGCAATCGTACTGCACTACCAATCTACCATCGTTTACTCAGCGCACTCTCGAACAAGCTCGTAAAACGCGCTTGCACGCTCGTCATAATCTAGTCCATCGCCCTGGGATTGCCTAGATTACAACGAGGGGCGGAGACAACAGATACTGGTTTCTGGTCGACATGATCAAGTCCACCGAATAAATCCATGCGAAAGCGACGCTACGGAGCCGACACCGCGACTTACTTTGAGGAGCGCTCAGTACCCTGCGCGTTGGGATGAGGCTGGGAGCGAAGTTGGTCGCGGCGAGGCGCGCATACAGCACATACACGAGCGCTTATGGCATCAGTCCATCGTAGCGGTATGCAATTACGGGCATGAAGCTCAATTATGTCAAGGCTGCTAGGCTCTTGGAACCATGTAGTTTTGCTCGCCGAACGGATTGTATGTGTCGACCCGAGCACTGCGCATTTATCATAAGGACCGACAGTACAAGGCTACGAGACTCCATCGACGTCGACGCGTTGTCTGAACTGGCACTCAGATGCATTGTTCATGTCGGAACTTCGTAGGCTTTTGACAGCCCTAGTACTTTGAGCTATAGCACTCTGCCTAACCTTTCGCCGACCTTCGCAGTTACCGAATGAGTCTCCATATACCCTCGTGTTGTCTTTCGGCATGACATCTCAGAACCGTACTTGATGAGTGATATAGACTATGACTTCCCGAGCTACCTAGAAGAGTCCTCCTTCATGATCCACTCCTCACTAGTCGCATCATTGGTAACAATACCCGGCGAATCATACCCATCGCGCAACTTCGCATCTCTGTTCACTGAAATATCAGGTCCAGACACGATGCCAATGCTAGCTTGCGGTACCCCTTTCCCGCCTGCAGCCCAAGCGCGGGCAGCTCCCGCATGTTCCGCATCCGCGAACTCGTAATCTTCACCATGTTCTGACGGCTTGCCTGCGCCTAGCTTGAATAGGTTGGAGTTTCCAAATCGAAACGGAGACTTGCGCCAGGATGCTCCGCCAGAACTAGCAGCGTTGCCGCTGCGTGCCGCAGATGGTCCAGCGAAGATCCCAGGAGCCATCATTGCTAGGAACGGACGTAGACAAGGTAGGCAGCCGCTCATGATACCAACATTGTACTCGATGCACAATGCCATAGTGACCCGAGACGCAACCCCTATGAGAAGGCCATGTTAACACGATGACAGTCGATTGTGGAACGGTACTGCTCACATGTGGTATCCCATGTCTTGAAGTAGTCTTGCGACCAAACGACCTTCAAGATGCCACCGACGCATGTCAGAACCCCGAAAGAGAAAACCGCGACCAGATGCACGCGCTGTGATAGCGGTAATTTGACCTGCCACAGTGGCGCGACGGGCCAAAGGAATACCACAAAGTCTGACACTACATTGCAGATGCCGCTCGCCGTGAGTAATTGATGCGAGTCCAAACATGTCTTGTTGGTAATCGTGAAATCCCAAAGTGACTGGATCGGACTGGAAAGAAAAGATTTAGTCAAGATCAACTATCTGCCCTGGAATTATGACCTACACGCATTGCAGGATGTAAAGTGCCGACGAGATGGCCCCCCACAACAGCTGGTATCCAATCATCGTCCAACAGAATAATTTGTTCGTTCTCGAGGGGAAAAGCTTAAGGTAGGTCATGCAGACGGAAAGCTTAGTGAGTGTCATGGAAGCATTGTACATTGTGACACTCGCGACGTTGTACTATGAATCATTAGTATGCATGTTGTAACAATTGGGAATTGCGTACTTTTGCAGAGCTCACAAACGTCAACGGGTTTACGTCATAAAGATGACGCCCGAGAGAGTTGGTGGTCGTGACCAACAGGCAGACAGAAATCGCTACGGCGAAGACCTACGCAGGTTAGATACGTAGCATAAGAGCATAGGGTGAACATACGGCTGCGCCAACCATGATCCAGTCATCGGCTCCTACACCTGATTTCTGATTCGCCCGAACGTAGATTCTGCTAGCGACAAGGCACACCATTGGAATGGTTGTCGCGTATATTGCAGCTTCGACAGCCTCCCTTTGCGAGACTGGGTCAACATAGTTGGGTACTGGCCATGTTGCGATGATGGCTGGCGTGAGCGCGGTTCCAGAAGCCATAATGATGCTGGAATCAAGGTTCGTAATATGCGTATGTTTGGGGTTATAGTGCCAGAATGCTTGGTGAATATTACGGACTCAGAGGCCACATGCACGGCATGTACACAGGAGGGTTTAGATTTCAAGACAACCCTTGGACTGCAGTGACAGTGAAGGCTAAGTATCCTGGTGCAAGGGGGTGCCGACCTTGATTTTCAGAACGCTTGCGGGTTCGGGAGTGTGGCTCAACCTTGCTCAACACGTCGTGACTGACATCGGATCTGATTCCGCCGTTAGACAGCGTGCTACCAGCGCCAATTTTGTTAGTGGACGCCATCATTCCCAGTACGCGAAAGTAATCGTCGAGTCGCCAATCAATCTAACACGATAGACGATCAGGCCGCCTGCTTGCAACGATTTTAGGGTTACGGGTTTTCGCATGATTGCCATCTAATCACGTTATCACTAGACCGATGCGACAGCGATGGGCTTGTAGGTATTGTGAATACTTGCAGCCACTACCAAGGCTAGTGTCCCCTTTTCGAGAACCATCCAGAACACTGCGTTAGTCGGGTGATGTACCTGGAAATACATGATACATTTTCATTTTGAGAGTCGAGTCGTCATCATATCGCACCTATGCAACAGTACAAGCAACGAAGAATAGAGCGCACGAATTTCCTTAAAGAGTGGCATTTGTCCTCGGCAATCACCAAACTTTATAGTCAAAGTATATGCATCTATGCTTGTAGCCGGTTGAACTCATCTCTCGCGCCATGTCGTACAGACATCATCGGGATGCAGCCCCACCAATCGGACTTGGGACCGTGAGCGTGTGGATATGCGTGAAATGTCCGTTCCACGGTTTGGTGCGCCTCAAAAGCCCGCTGTCCAGGCTGGTACCTGACGCTAACTCACCTGAAACACATGCGGGTCATCTAAGCCGCCACAAGTATAAGCAGGCAAACGAGCTGTATGACATGCTCTCGGGACTGGCCACCACGTCCATCGCGCATGAAGGAGCTATCCGTAGTCGCATGATTTCCAGCGTCATGCCCGTGATGGAGGTTCGCGGTAGGAACCTACATGTCCTTGTGCACCTAACGGCGAGTCCGACTGCTCGCGTCCCCTGATCAAGCTCAGCAACTTGCAACCCACTCGCAACGTTCGTTCGCGAGTCAAGAAGCGCGCCATTTCGGTGTGAAAACCTGGTAACGCGTAGACTGCTTATCACGCATGATGGCTACCTGGTGGCTGGGTGGATCGCCCCCGCTCCCGCAATTCCCCCGGCGCTCTTTCCGATTGGGTCGCACGTAAGTTTGCGGTTGCCCCGATTTCTACTATGCCATGATCGCCGACGTATTGGATGGTCATGTCCCTTTTCGAGCCCCAAAATTCCAATGTTAGGCAACGAGACGTTGATATGGGGGGCCTTGGGCCGTCAACCCTGTGCAGGCCATGCCACCTCCCGAAGTTGGACCCTCGAACTGTCATTGAACACTGAAACAAGCTGCTGACCTTCCCTGACAAACACCTCACACTACCCGTTCACACCGTGTAGGTCGTCGAAGAGTATTTCACACCGACTGGTACAGCGGAGGATACTATGGTGACGAAATAATACGATACGTTCAAGACCGTCGAACAGCAGCCCACCGCTAGCACGACTCGATGCTAAGACAGGCCGCTTGAGATCTACCTAAGTACATATACCTCAGGCATCACCGCATGAGCAGTCAAACTTAAGTACCTACTAAACACTTCCGCGAAAACATACCCAATAAATGCTAACGTAGCCTCGCGCATCTTCGCTTGCACTTGATGTGCACTGAGTGCAGCGCAAATGCCATCAGCTGGACTGACCATTTATTGCTGCAGCTCAGGGTCCCGGTCGTTGATCTGCGTTGTGTAGGGAAGTATATCTATAACGTACGAACACCAGCTAGGCAGAAAGTCGCAGCGAGACATTAAGCGGTCGTCTCAGATATGAGCCACGTCAGTGTTGCTGCCTGATCTAAGCAGAGCAATCACGACCTCGGCGAGTGTGTCGTCCTAGAAGACTATTCGCCACCTCCAATTCTGCGCCCAGGTATTGGTCTCGTACAGATATACCTCTCCAGGGTTGGCGACCAGAGCGAGACTCGCAGTGGCCCTTATGGCGAGGCAATCTTATGTAGTCGTATATACGTGCGATTGAAATGATGACAGGCTGAGTTTGACACAACCTAATATTCCTCAATGCGTTGAGTAGGCCGATCCTTTGCCAACAGCTCCTCCAATGCCTCACCCTGTGCGTCGTTTCCCGAATTCACGATAGCGATATTTGCCGGCCCCTGCTCCAAATGCACCTCAATGTCTCCCAACTTTCTATCTCCCGAGTCTCCGAACCAGACTCTATTGGATGCCGACACGCCGCCCGATTGTTGATGCAGCTGCTTGAGCCGTGCAGCTATAACGTCGCCTCCAAACGATGCAGTCGCCACAACACTCTTAAAGTCCAGCGGGTCAAACTGCGGTAATCCTGTATATGTGTTCAGTAAGCGGCATTGACATTGCGCGCGGAGACACTCACCTCGCCATCCCCGGGTGCGTATAACTTCAGCAAGCAAGACTACCAACAAGATGCAGTTCACTCCCAAGACCGCCCACTTGTAGAACTTCTGGCCGAATCGCGTAGCTTTGTATACCCCGTCGATGGGCACCAGCATTGTATCATTGGCAAGTACCAACTGCGCCCCGCCGTATATGCCGAGAACACTGTCCAGCACCGCCATGAAGCTCTCCTCGACGGATCGGGAAACTGCAGTCGTGTTATCTTCACCGGCTTCCGCTTGTAGAGTATTCAAGTTGTAAGCAAGCGCGTCGCCAAGTATAGATGTGTATAGCGAAGTGCTCATGCGAGCCAATAGATTGAGCGAGTATACAGAGTTGCTCTGCAAATGGCCTGTCGGGTCTGGACCTGGTCCGTTGGCATCAGTAAGGGGCGAAGCGACGATGGATCGCGTTGTCGCATTGACGTTAACGGAGAATATCTTGGGGGTAAACGTTATGTCGCATTGCACATTGTTGAAGTCGTCGTATGTTGCGCTCGCAACAATCCCGACCATATGACTCGGGCCATCTTTGGGATTCGAGAAAGCAGTCCACCCCAACAAGGTAGCCGTATCGGGCGTTTTGCTGTACCAGTCTATGACAGGATAGTTCCCGTTTGCCTGCGAGTTGGGCAGCTTGCCCTCGATGTACCAGACGTGTACATCGTTGACGCTGTCATCGTAAGTCAGTCTCAGGTCAGCACTTGCGTTGTGCATGCAGCGAACACTGGCGTCATATCCCGTCTCATTATAAGTGTAGCCGAGTAGATTGTAGTCTGCTGGTACATTTACTACTTCGCGTAGTCCCTGAGCTGAGCCTAACCCGTATGAGCGGCCTTGATATGTCCATGTTTGGCTATCTGGCTTGGTATTGTTTCGCAGTGCGTTCAAACTGCTGCTCGCAGTGCGGGTCGCTTCTAGCAGCGCTTTCTGTTGGTTGGGCACTGGGCAACTCGTCACATATGTCAATTCGCCCTGTGTTGCGTTGCAGTTCTTCACGTGGTTACATAGGTTGCCATCGTCTTTCAGCTCGAATTCTGAATCCCAGACGTGCCGTGATGCCGCCGTGAAGCGCGGCACTGCGATGCTGCCTATTTGCTGTACGCCTCGAGCCGTGACTGGTGTGATGGCACCTGCCCATAATGCACCGGGCCCTTGCGTGATAATCACCATACTGACGGCTAGACAGAGTGCACCCGGAGGCAGCGTCCAAGACACGCGCGGTACTGAAAGCGCAGTGAATAGTCTCACTGTATCGAGGCGCATATATGCATTTGTGAGCCGCAGCCGTAGCGCATGGTTGATGATGGTTGTCAGGGTCGTTATCTGCAGGGCCCCCATGACCGAGGAAAGCAGTTGTACGAATATCGATACGGTAGTGCGATGGGTGGTGATGTATAGATGTGCCGAGCCGTAGGCGACGATATGGTCCGAGCAGATCAGGCTGATGGAGACGATGAGGGGAACGAGTAGGAACAGTAATGGCGTACAGCGTACAATTATGCCTGCTGCGAAGGCACTAGGATGGTTTGTTTTGAAGGCCATATTGGCCAGCTAAATCTAGTTTGGGTCTTTGTGTTTGTTCAGATGCTGGATAGCATAATGATGTAGAATTTGCGTGATGAATGACGAAGGTAGATACTTCTGCAGACCCTACGTGCTGTAATAACAACATAACGGCATCTGGGAAACATCCAGGCAGCAGTTTGAGCTAAAGACGCTAACTCTTCTTTTTGTTGGTGGACACCATCTTTCGATGTTGTAGCTGCATTCAGCTTTGCGCCACAATCACTGAGTCTGACTTGACCAGCTGCGAGCTTGGCGTGACACGTCGTCCGTCATTCGCGCAGACAATGTAGCTGAAAGGCACGTGGTGGTACATTGCGGTCCCCTGAGAATAGATCGTAGGCTGAGCTTCGAAAGCACGATACACATGAGGGCAGTTGGCAACGATTGACATCAAGCACATCTTTGTGGATAAGAGTTCGCTTGAAAAATTGCTCGCAAACCGCGGCAGTGCAGGAGACAAACAGTACTACAGCCTCACGAAGTAGATGATGTGTCTTGGCTTCAGGCTGGGATATGGTCTTGGTCCGCGTGGGTCATCGCTGTCTCCGCACCACCAAGGCTGAGAGAGGGCGCAGTGTCAGGTCATTTATACTGCATGCACACCTCAATACGGCACCACAAGGTTTGCAATCGGTGGAGTAAGGTTTGTGGCGTTGAGGTCTTGAGTGATCTTAGATATCGGCCGAGACTAGACGTAATCGCTCTAAGCTGTGGAAGGGTGAAGGCTTCACGTGCGTAATCTGCGGAGTTACAAACGGCTAAAGACCATGACCGGTACATAACCTGGCAGTGCTAGAAACAGGAATATTGCAGACATCGGTTAGCGAACCAAGAAGACAATGCGCTTTTGAACTAGACTGGTTCCCGGCGTTGTTTTGTTGTGGTCGTTGTATTGGTCAGCACGCCAGATTCGGTCACACACGCCGACCCGTGTCGCATTACTTCGTCGCGGTTTGGATTCAAACCGGAACCTAACGACACATTGTTGTTGTTTTTTTGGTTCAAGAACGGTGATCAAGTCCTGCAACGTTACTTCTCGAGGGGCTAAGCGCCGTCTTGGTATGATGGGATGGATAGAAATGCCATTAACTACGCCAACCTACTAATACACCATCCCCTCTCCCACACCCCTCTACTCCGCCTTCGCCGCAGCAATCTTCAATATCTCCTCGACACTCTTTCTCGCATTCTTTGGGTCCTTGGCAACCGACTGCCATATCTCACCATGCTTAGGTTCAGCCATCGCAGCCTTCGAAAGCGTATCCTCCTTCTTCTCCTCCGTACCGTGCTGTTCCAGGAACTTGTAGTACCAGACCCATGCATCACCGTAGTCGCTGTCAAGGGTGACGGCTTTGACGAACCATGTTGCGGCCTTGTCAAGACGACGCTCACCCCAGAAGATGCGGGCGACGACTACGAAGAGGAGTGGATCCTTTTCGACCTTCTTGATGGCTTCGAGAGCACGCGGCTTACGCTGAGTGCGACCCTCGAGGTGCATGATTTTTTCTGCCCACAAAAGCCCTGAGTTGGGGCATTGTTGCAGAGCGCCAGCCATTAGCTGTTGAGCGGCGCTCGTGTTGTTTGCGCGACGCTCGAGACGGACTTGCTCTAGAAGAATTTCTGCGCTCTTTGGGTTCTGTTGTCGGCCACGGTCTAGTGTTGACCTGGCCTTGACGACTGCACCTTGCTTTACTTGTAGCCGGGAAAGAAGGATGTACAAAACTGGGGCTTTCGGTGCCGCACGTGTGCCAATGTTGAATGCCTCATGAGCCTCCGGCAGCTTCGATAGCTGCTCGTAGACTTGACCCTTGATGGCATGTAACTTCCAGCTGCCGGGCCAGTTCTGCAGGCCTTGATTGCAGATGTCGATTGCCGTCTCGTAGTTCTCCAATTGTCGCTCGAGGACGGCGGATTTCATATAGATGCGGTCGGTGGCAGCTGATTCACGGGCGATCTGCAGGAAGCTGCGGGCCTGTTCGTAGTTACCAGCGTCGACCTCGAAATCAACAGCGCGAGTGTACAGCATTTCGTTGCCTGGTAGAGCCTCGAAACTTCTTCCCAGAACTTGGCGGGCACCTTCAGGGTTTCCTGACTGCCACATCTCTCGAGCATATTGCAGCCAGAGTGACTCCGAGTTGGGACAGGCATTGACTGCACGCTCTAGGACACTGAGGAGAGTATCTGTTGTACCATGGTGCTTTTCGAGATCGGTAGATGCGTGCCAGACCGTAGTACTATATGGGAAGATAGCGACAGCAAATCCGAGGATGGCTCTGGCCGTCTCCGGCTTGTTCCTGTTTAGAACACTCCTGGCATCTTCGAGCCAGACGTCTCGACGCTCATCGTCTTCGTCAAGACCCCAACCCACCGTCGCTTTGATAATTGCAGCAGCGGTGCCAGTGTTGCCTTGCTCCTCGCATATCTCAGCTTGAGAGAGCCACTCTTCACGCTTGATCATAGCGTTCTCCTTGATCAGAGATTTGACAGCTCGGGTCATGATCATGTCTAGCATATCTACTTTGCCTAGCTCTTCTTGCAACCTGCAAGCATGAATCCAGATCGCCCAACTCGTGGGAATGGCTTTACGAGCCTTGTTGAGAATCTGCTGTGCGTCTTCCGGCTCAGAGACCCTGGCATATGAAATCCACAGTTCCTCGGAAAGAGGAACGGTATCTGTAGCTTTGGCGAACAGTAAACGGACTGCATCCAGCTCTTCAGTGTCGTTGATAAGGGTTTTCCACAGCTCCACACTCTGGGGATTATGATCAAGAGCCTGACGAGTAACCTTTTTCCTAGACGCTGGCGTTTGTTCCAGATCGATTGCGGCTTGCCATAACTTCACGGCCTTGGGGTTCTGCTTGATGCCATTGGCAGCGATAATCTTCGCGTTGTGGAGATTGTCCTTGTTCAGCCTGATCGCCTCCTCCCAAACGACTATCGATTTGGGGCAAAGTTCGCAACCACGAGCAATGACCTTTTTAGCGGTGTGAACCTTTCCGGCCACTTCTTCGAGTCGTGCTAGTGCAACGTATCCTGGACCATTGTGTACGTTGGTCTTGACAGCCGATTCCAGCAGCACGCGCGCACGGTTGATGTCTTCGACTGGGACTTCCTCACCCATAGCTTCTTTCTTGTTGAGTGCCGTCATGTATCCCTTGGGGTCCACGGACGTAGAGGTTCCGGAGGTTGTTGTGGTTTGTGTACCAGGGGCATTTGCTGCTGTGTCGAGTCGTACCGTCAAGGCAGACAGTTGGGCAGCTCCGATGCTTGCGAGGTTCGTCGTCATGCCGTCAGCGTCCGACGATATTGTGGTATCAAGCTCCCCGCTCTTCGATGCCGCAGCCAAGACACTGTCCGGAACGGCGTATGACCTCGAGTTCGCCAGCCGAGCTTCACGTGCGCGCTTCGCTTTACCCGTCATATCTCCCACCTCGGGCAGGGCTGCCCACTCTTCTTCGGAGACGCCGCCGAGGGCTCGTTTTAGATCGGCAAACTGGAGCTGGATCTTGGGATTGTTTCGTTCGTATTCGTCTCGTTCTTGTTGCTCGCGAGCTTCCCTAGGGCGGACATCGGTATCTGTTCGTGGAAAAACACACGATGAATACTTCGAAGATAACGATAGAGGGGAGGGGAGGGGAGAGGGCATGGGGTAAATGAAATTGGGTGTACTAACCTTCTGGCTCTGCGTCGCTTGTCCATCTTCTCGTCAACCTCCTGGTATATGCGGTCGGCCTCGTCATCGTCCTTGTCGTAGTTCATGCCGCTTGAGAAGAGACCGACTTCATTGTCTGGATCTTGAAACCGATCTTCCTCTTCATCCCTCTCTTCCTCCTTCTTTTCGGTGACACCATACGCCGAGGGAGCTGCCTGACCGAGCGATGCTGCACGCTTTGCTAGCATCTCCTTCATCTGCTCCTCCGAGGGACCCTCCCGCGCGGGACCGAGATCGCTTCGAGTTGTGAAGCCCGTGGCTCCTCTTCCGAGACCAGCCACATAGTTCTCAGGCGCGGGCATCGACAAAAAGTCGCGTCGACTCATTTTGGCGGTGGTTCAGAGGGTAGTGACCAAAGGTGGTTATTGGAAGCTCTGGCGAGAGCGCGGCGCAAGTTGCGCAATGTTTAGGACGATGAATTGGGCAGCGATCCGGCAGAGACTGTGGCGGCAATAAAGGAATGAAACCGGTGGTCGCGTGCGAAGAGACCCTTAGTGAAGGTTAATAGTAAAGTGTGTGATGGTGGCGCTGCGGCAGCGCGGTTGATTAGATGGTCGCGACTTGGATAATTATTCGAGCTAGGCAATCGCGTGTCACGTGCACATAAGCTCAGCTTACGCTAACCCAAAAGGTGAGTTTGCGACGGGCATTTCAAGTGAGAGACATCTACAACGTCGAGCAATCAGCATTCTTGCGCTTCTGACTACCTAAAGCATGGTTTGAGATACGAGAATCAAGACAGATAGTTATATTTATACTAGGAAATGTTGGACCTGATTTCATGCGAAAACATCTCGCCGACCACGCGCGCATCCATCGATTCGTCGGCTACCACGTGATATACTGTGCTTGTCAACTTGTAGATCATCAACGTTTACGATGCCGCCTTCTGCTGCGCGGGCGCTTTTCCATTAGAAGATTGCAGAGCATAACGAGGAGATATTGGCGGTAATGGTGGAACCGGATCCTCTGGTGTATCGCCTCTCAGGTTCCTTCCGCTACAACAGGTCAGCATGCGTCTAAACCAATGTTATCATGATTCATCTTGCCTCTTCGTTTTCCTCAATTTCCCACCAAACCACTTCTTGAAACTCCGGCTGGAAGAAGGGCGTTCTGGTTCCTTGTTGCGGGTTGAATCTGACTGTGCCATGCTGCTTCGATGACTTGATGCACTGACATGGCTGGCCTCTGGCGTTATATCATCGTCCTCCTCCTCCAGGGGCGGCGCCCATCTCTCGACATCGCCATTGACTACAACGAACCAGGCCAGTTTCTCTCCTGGCGCCACCTTGTCCCGGAGTTCAGCAATGGCCGCCCACTGGTCGTCCCCCAGCCCCGCTCCCCTCATCTCCTCCACATCCGCTCCGAGCTTGATCTCATGCACTACATCGCATACATATGCGTATGGCTGATCCTTGACGGTTAGATCATCGGGATCGTACTGTTCGATGAAGCGTAAATCCGGTAGCGCAGCCATCTCTTGGGGCCACTGGCGCTTGAAGTTCTGCATCAAACAGGCCGTAGTGGCAGGAGCCATTAGCCATTCCGGTGCAGCATCGTCGAGGTTTTGCAGGATGACATGAATGCGAATTTGCGCGCGGGGCCACCGAAAGCCGTGAACGAGCCAGGTTGGCATGGTGAAGGTGAAGTGCTTTTCGTGTAAAGTTCCCGTTTCCGAAGATGGAGTGCCGTGGCAGCACGTCGAGCCAAAAAGCAACAATCAAAGCTGAGTTAGGATGTACCGGACGAGGATGCAAGCACTGATGTGGTTGATCGCGTCTTCAGCAAACTTTTCGTTGCAAGTAGTACATGGTCTTAGACGTCCTGTTATGTAGGCAGGGGTCGCGTCTTGGGAGCTCATGCAGAGGTCTGGACGACTTGCGTAGGGAGGTTGGGACAACCTTCCGTGAGTGGGCGCACGCTAGGCAGAAGCAACGAGACAATTGCTACAAGCGTCGGCTTAGGGGAACGAGACCAGATCGACACCGTGAACGCGATGAATCTGGGAAAAAGCCCCGTTGCCTTTTTGGTCTATGCCAATAGTATTGTGGGGGAGCTGGGATGGAAGCAGCGACAATGGTTTGCGCTTGGCCCCGCCTGACGCTAATGCAAGGCAGCTCCCGTTCGCGTCGACGGGTACCGCGATGTTTCCGCGCCGGACGTCGCTGGCCAGAGTTAAGAAGCTCGCCGGTCCGACCATGTGCGACAAACATCACTCGCTGATTTTGTGTCCTTGAGGTCTCTCGCCATGCCTCTGTAAGTATCGCATCACCGTCTATGTACACACGCAGTCGCTTACGGTCCACAGGCACCTGCTGGGCAAGAAGTCATGGAACGTCTACAACTCGGACAACATCGCGCGGGTCAAGGCCGACGAGGCCGCCGCTGCTGCCCGCGAAGCCGCTGATGACCAGCGCAAGCAAGAGCTCGACGCTGAGCGCCGGGCCGCCATTCTTCGAGGCCGCGCACCCCCACCACTACCAAAAGAACAACCCACCAGGGCGCCGCCGTCCAGGCGCTCAGGCAACACAGATGAACGCGGACATGATAGAAAGAGGAGGAAGCTTGCTGGCGAGGATGACACCGACGCCGATATACGCATGGCCAAGTCCATCACGGCTCGACCTGAAGACCAGGCAGAAGATGCGAAAGTGCTGAAGCTCCGGAGCACCACATCCGATGCCCCGTTGGAAGACCACGCCGGCCACATTGACTTGTTTCCGGTGGATATGAAAGAGGCAATCAAGCGCGAGAGGAATGCGGACGCAGAGAAGGAGAAACGCAAGAAAGAAAAGGCCATCGAAGATCAATTCACAATGCGCTTCTCCAACGCCGCAGGAAGGGGTAGCATCAACCAGCCCTGGTACGCTGCCGTTCAAAAGCCTGTACCCGCCACTGGAGACAAACAGGAGATGGCACTTTATGAAGGCTTCGCGAGTAAAGACGTCTGGGGAAACGAGGACCCGCGTCGCAAAGAACGGGAGCAGACCCGCATATCCACAAACGACCCTTTTGCTTTCATGCAGAAAGCGCAGGCACAGCTGAAGAAGTCGAGGCAGGACAGGAAGCAATGGGCTGCAGAACGTGACCGTGAGCTAATGGAGCTACGGTCAGCCCAGGAGCGGGAGGAGAGGAGGAGTCGGCACCTCAAAAGGAAAAGGCGAGAAGTGGACGACGACGAGCATTCGACGTCTAAGGACGGCCACCCATCCTCGCGCCAGAAGCACCGCCGTACGAGTCCAAGTCGCAGCCGTGATGGGCACGAGCACAGGTCTTCGCATCGCAGCGATAAGCGACGCGCTCATAGTAAGAGTAGGGAGCGGGATGGAAATTGCCACAGACATCGCGATCGGCGAAACGAGGAACTCCAGAAGGCTTTCATCTAGGAGTGAGTCGGTGCACTGCGCGTCATGGCGGGCACGTCTTATAGTGTGTTATTATCATCAATCAGTCTCAACCGTCATACAATCATCAAAGTGTTTTCTTGACGACGCAAACACTCACCGCCGGTAATCAAACGGACCCTGAGTCAAATCAAGCATCTTTCACTTCTTCGCTATTAGGGCTTGTCTTTGCATTATCACACAACAACCCCTCAACAGTTGACACATTTAGGCAAACCATACTCTCTCGACGCCGTGCGTCCTCAACCCAGCCTCAGCGCCCCGCAAACCCCAAACAGCAATGCCCTCACCAAGCAGATTCTCCACGTCTTTCGCCGACACGCAAATACCCTGTCGATCACTCACGTATGTTCTAATGCATTCGAAACCGCGAGCTGAAACCTTCCAGTGAGAGAGGCAATTGTTCAGTCAAAGCAAACAAGAATATCTCATTCTTCTTGTTGATACTATAATCAACACGGGTATAACGAACTCGCGAATGAGCGTAAAAGCAGGCTCATCAAAAGGCAACCAAAACTCACACTGTCGCACGACAACGACGGCAATGCGCGAAGGTGCGGAACGCAACAACTTGGCGTGCTCACATTAAGAAGACGCTCACGTCCTCATCACCTCATCCTTCTCAACAATTTTCGTATCCTCCAGAGCACCAGCCCCTCCTCCCCCACCAACAGGCTCATCAACGTAATCCACATGCCCACCCTGCTCATGAAGATCAAACAGCGGCTCCATGGGCGCGACATCCTGACGCAAAACACGCTTCTTCAGGTACCACGGCAACTTCTTCGTGTAGTAAGCCGCGAACTGGCGGTTACCAACATCAAAGACCGTGTCCAATTCTTCGAGCGTGAGTGCCTTGGTCTCAGGCAAGAGGAAGTAGGCGTAGATGAAACCGAAGAAGTTCCAAGCTGCGTACCAACAGAACGCGCCGGTTGGTGTGAAAGCGGCCTCAAGGGCCGGCCACGTGAGGGAGAGGATGAAGTTGAAGCCCCAGCAGGTGGCTGTAGCGAAGGACATGCCGACGTCGCGGAGGTGGAGTGGAAATGCTTCTGCGGAGTAGGTGAAGGGCACGGGGCCTTCACCGGGGGAGTAGACGGCCATGAAGACGTAGATTGCGGCGGCGATGGATCCAAGACGTTGCTGGGATGGCGTGCCATCGGGATTCTCTGGTAGGTAGAAGGATAATCCGCACCAAAGAAGACACAGACCCATAAGAGGGAAGGTCGTAAGCAAAAGATTCCTTCGACCGAATGTATCGATGGTGTAGATAGCTGGGATCGCGAAGAGGAAGTTCGTTATGCCGGTGCCCATGGATACGAGCAAGGCGTTGGTCTCGGAAAAACCGGCTTGTTCGAAGATGGATGTACTGTAGTATGCGATGACCTAAGACTACTGTTAGCGACTGAGATAGCAAGTGAAACCGAGGGATCTGGAGTGCGTACGTTGACTCCACAGAATTGCTGCATGAACATGACGAAGAAGGCGCTCTGTGCGGCGCGACGGTTGCGGCGGACGATGAAGAATTCCTTGAGTGGGTTTCGGCCCTCGCGTTCCGCGTTTTCGATCTCAAGAAGCTTATACGCGTAGTACATATCGCGTGCAGCTTGGATCTTGTGCGCGCGTAGTCGACAAAGTGAGTTGAACGCCTTGTCGTATTTGCCTTTCTCCATGTACCTTTGGTTCAGATTAGCTCAAGGCAAGGCCAATGAACTGCGAGTCGGAAACTTACCAGCGCGGCGATTCAGGGCAAAAGTATACTTGGACGCAGACAATCATCGGGGGAATACTGGTGGAGGCCAGCATCCACCTCCATGGCGAATTCTCGCCGCCAATGATTGTAACATTCTGAAATGCGACGGAGACGATGAAACCCAGCATAATTCCGAAAGCGGTCCACCTAAAGAGGGGTGTACGAAGTCAGTGTTTGTCTCACACGCAGTTCGTACATCGGCAATTACTCACATTTGCCACATCATGGTAAGGGCTCCACGAATGGTCTTTGGCGCAGACTCGGCGGCGTAAACGGGCGTAGTCGAGGACTTTGCACCGACAGCAAACCCGAGCATGAAACGCGCGACGAGGAGATTGGGCCCTATCGCAAAAGTAAGCTTTCAGTTGCACTTCTTCTTGATGCGATATTACCCACAGCTGTCAGCGGCCGCCATCCAGATACCGGTGATGAAAGAGATGATGCAAGAGATGAAGATGGTTCCACGGCGGCCAAAGAACTTGTTCAGGGGTGCGTTGGACCAGCATCCGATGAGACAAGAGCAAAGGTAAGGAGCCCCGTTAAGCAAACCTCGAAGCCACACCTGGTCTTGTCCGATTCCGAATTCTCTGAAGTAGAATCCCTGGACAAGATGTTAGTGGCGGGACGTGATGAGATGGGAACGGCAAAGCAACTGACTTGAGCACCGTTAACAGCCGTTTGGTCCATTCCTTGCACGATCGCAGAGCCAGCGCAGAGCACAACCAAGAAATACAGCATCTTAGGTTGAGACCACCGATGGCTAACCTCGTGTCGCAGCCAGTCTTTCTCTTCCGTGGACAGTTGATTGACATATTCAAAACCATCGTCTCGTTGACCTACACGAGCAATGAGGGCGCCCTTACGGAACTCCTCCTGGTACTCCTGCAGGCCCTTCTGAACACACCATGCGTCAACATCGGCTAGGACATGTTCCTCGCTATAACCGGATAAGGGGTTCCTGAGCTTTGCGGCGACCGAAGCCTTTCGCTGCGGAGCAGCGCCGGCATGTTCATGATGCTGCCCGGCACCAAAGTCGGACTTGTCACTACCCGATGATGAGAAGTTGGGCTCGGTCGCCTCGATGTCGGGCTTTCGACGAGACATGATGACGACTGATCACAAGTATCGCGTCTATGTGGGATCTCCTAGGTGGAGTGGAGATGCTGATCACAAAGTGGAGGAGTAGAAAGACACACGACCAGATGCCTGGGAACCATGACAGGTCATGTTATATAGGGAATCCGGGGCACAGTTCACACCCACATTTTCTCCATCAAAGAGCGGGTCAAATCCTGCACCAGGGTGACAATCCCCATGTTTTCTCCACACCATCCTTCTCCTTTGCACTGGTTGGCGTATGTAACTATACATCGAGATCAGACACGGGGCGGCCGCGCCGAGACATGGAGTTGTGTGTTTACCCAAGAATACCCAAGAAGACATGTCTGGGACGATGTCATTGTGGGCAAACGCGCTTGTTGATTTCTCGGCGGAAGCTAATATCATACTTGGCAGTGGAGCGCGGCAGGGCGTTCTGGGTAGCCAAGAAAGCACGTGAAGTCTCGTCGTAGCTCGCCTGAACATTGTTGAGTATTCCGACCAATTGGGATTTCATCGGTAAACTCTAAGGAAACAACGTTGTGGTGAACGATTACGACGCCACATGACGAGCTTGGCGTCAAGCGGAATCCGCACTTGGCGCAGAACATCTTTACCAGAAATGGCATCCCGTCTTATCGACTGTCGGCACCCAGTTCCGGCCTCGACCCAAGGCTGTCAGCGCTTTGTATACCGAGTAATATTGAGCCAGAGAACGTAACGTAGAAGATGTTTCGATGAAAGATGGAAAGGATATTATTCATTGTTGGCTCGTAGGGCTCTATGATTGTCACACTTGGTAACCTGGATGCCTGGAGAGGTAGTCTTGAATGGACATAGACGAGCCGTGCGAACCGCTGAAAAGCCTGAAAAGCCTGAGCTTAGTAGAACACTTCTTTCGATAGTACGAGGCTTCAGTCCACTTGGGCGTGGGTCCACGCGCCGCGCAGTAAGAGATTATCCATTTCCTTGGAAACCGTCTCGTTCGACGCCTTGAGCTTCAAATAGTGCTGGCTGGTCCGGCGTTCGTCTTCCACCCAGATGTTACTGCCGTTCGGGAACAGAAAGTTGTACCCATTTTCGTTTCCATACTCGAACCAAGTGCCCAGGCCTTTGCCTGCATATACCATGGTCAAGAAATCCCATGAGTATTCCGAGTGGTTGTAGGACCCCCAGTACTCCCAAGCCGATTTGACTGGGTCATTCGGGGGTCCGCAGACAGTAAACCGTGCGCCCGACAGGACTTCGACGCCCACCTCCGCGCCAAGGAAGGTCATCGGAACACAATCGGGCCATGTGTTGATGACGTGTGGAGCGTTTTGAATCGCAAAATTATACTCCTCATCGATGGATGGCTCTGGCGAGTAACCACCGCCCATGACAACTAGTTCCTTGACTTTTGCCTTAACGAGCTCGTATCCGTCCAACACGGAGTATTCATCACTGGTCGTATTGAGAAGGCCAGACAACGATCCCATGAAACCAATCGACACAACAGTCACGCTGTTGTTCTTCGCTTCCGCCAACGTCTTGCGATATAGCTCTACTGGGTCCCAGGTCTTGTTAACCTGCCCATTGGGTACCGAGCCACCGGACCATCCAGCAGCGACCTTGCTTGCATATTCTCCTCCAAATGGTTCGGGGGATTTAATGTTCGTGTAGGGTCTGGGCAGCCCAATCGGAACCGAGGAATAACCATAGTGGTTCACGATTGCCGACGCAGCGAAGGCAGAGTATGTCGAGTTGACGTTGATATTGACGGCGAGGAGGTTTGTATTCGGCAAAGTGCACGCGAGAAGTAGGGCTGCAGTATCGCTATTGTAGTGTCAGCTAAACGCGCAGGCTTTGCGTGGTATAAAATTCTTACTCAATCGCTTCAAAAAGATCAGCGTCGACAAACAAGTCCTTGGTCTCTGATGTTACACGCGACGCGACTGAAAGCGCGAATGACAAGACTGCCAGCCAACAGGGCAGTGCGAAACGTGGAAACATGGCGTCGTAGGGCCCAGGCAATGGAAGACTGGAAAAGACGCCGAAGAATTTATGGAAGCGATCCAGGAGCGTAGAGTTGCGAAAATGGTAGGCACATACGGTCTGTAAGGAAGAAATACTCACCCTATGAATCTACCAGAGCGCTGCAGCACGACACCCCGCCATCGGATCTCCACAGTGAAAGGCTTCGGCGATAAACGGCAGTTCCCGTTTCTTCATTGTACAGTAGTGCGCAGATCGTATCGAATGAAAGTTCGAGATCGTGGTGTACAACATCCGGCGTGCGATAAGAGTATGTAAGGGCTTGTCGCGTTTAAACACTTCCGTATCATTTCGAACGCGCACCCGAGGCGACCTCAAATGATTCTTTTCTAATCGTCTTCATCGCGCACTCGCCGTGGATCCGCGATGTTGTGGAGCTAGTCTGGTGGTTGAGTTCAGATGACGTGACGAGATCAGTGACGATCGTATCCGCCAGCTCGGAAGCTACGAAGGCATCACTAATAAGCGTCAGCATTCGCCGGCTTCTTCGACCCGCGAAACTTTGCAAGGCCTCCTCCGAATTCGCAACACGATTGCCAAAAAGCACACAGGCATGCGTCTCTTCCTAATCTATTCGGCCGTATCGCTGCTGGGGTCATCTACCGCTTATCGCGAATGTGCCGGCGCGCAAGACGTCATCGCCGAGCTTCAACTCGAGCCAAACCCGGAGAAGGGCTACTATCGACAGACCTTTGAAGATACTGACAGCATCGGCAATCGCTCATACTCAACCGCCATCTACTACTTACTCGAAGGCCAGGTTGGTCCATCTTACTGGCATCGCGTTACCGATGCTGTCGAGATCTGGCACTTTTACGCTGGTGCCCCCATGAAGCTAGAGTTATCGTGGAACAACGGCACTGCGACTCAACAGCAGATCCTGGGGAGCGACATCTTCAGAAATCAGACGCCGCAAGTAATCATTGCAAAAGGCCAGTGGCAGCGGGCGACAAGTCTAGGCAACTGGACGCTTGTGGGCACGACAGTCGCGCCTGGCTTTTCGGACGATGGTTACGAGTTGCCGGGACCAGGTTTCATGCCGGACGACGGCCATTGATTCCACAGTCTGTATTGAAGCAGGGACACAGCTACGCCCTCGAACCTAGAGAGCCTCTGCGAACCCTAAGCTTGCCACATCGTCGGTGCAAGATTACCGATGATGCTGGCGTCGGTCATGCTCACCGACCTCGCTACCACGACCCAATTTGAAGATTGCTCGCAGACCTAACGTCCGTAGCCATTCGCAAGATACACCTAGAAACTATGTTGAATACAAGTATGACTGCGCACATGGCTCAAAGCTGCCAAGCCCTGTTAGGTTCGCTCGGTGTAGCGACACTCCCGTCTGCAGTGCCTATGGCGTGTGACCGGAATTTCCCAGTACGACCACATCACGACCAGAACGCTCAAAACAAGAGAAGGCGTCTACGTATAGAGTCTCATTTTATCAGGAGACAGTGGGCTGGACGAAGCGCACATGATGTCCGTTTTCTTTTTGCCCGCCGCCGGACTTCGCTTCCTGGCTGCATCTAGACCCTTCATCACGGGACAGGATTTCCGAAAACTCTGCTCCAGGCCCTTGCGATGTTTATGGAGGGATTGGATCACTCTCTGATCTGGAGATGCATCAGTTGTGGCGCGCCTATTCACGGTCTATCTCCGGATAAGCCACACGAACAAAGACGACGATTGAGATAGGCAAGCTCACACACCAAAGTCTGCGTCGATGGTATCAGATGGTTGTATGCAGACCACTGATATCGCCGCATGACAATGCAGTCTTATCTCTCCGTTCCGCTCGCTCAATGAGGGTCGACAATTTTCCTCCGCTCGCAGATGCAGTCATTCTTATACCGATCAATTTACCATAACACATAGGCTCAATGACACGTGCATTGTATTTCCTGTCGCGCGAAAAACTGTTGCCTATCCGGGGATTACTACCCTCCGGTATCTCTAGTCGTGTGTGCGATGCACATGCCATGCTTCCTCTCAAAAGCATATACCAAATGTTGTATATGCGCCATTTCAGCTCTTCAAAAGTTCACACTACAATGCAATGGTGGCTCGTTACGGCTGAGTAAGCTACAAAGTAAAGACAGTATGAGCGGATTGGCTGCGGACTTTGCGCAAGCCACGACGTGTGATCTAATCGTAACTCCTCGAGATTCTCTGCTGTCCAGTCAACAATTCGAGCACGGGGTTGCCACACCCTTCCCATCGCTTGATTTAGATTTGGTGTGCCCTAGTCAGGAGTGGACGATCAATATTTGTGCTGACTGTGTTCGTGTATGACTGCGAGGTCATCCGTCTCCATCATCGTTTGCCCACATTCACATTCGAGCGAGGCTTTCCAAACAACACGACCTCCGAATGTCAAATCTCCGTTCTCCGCAGCCCAGAGTCATGCTATCATTGTCTTCATTCGTGGACATGGCCAAAGGGTGGGTTCGTATTGCGCCATGGCGTTTGCAGAAGCAGTCGAGTGAGCAGAAGGGTCATTGACCATTTGCTTTGGAGCATGAGGACCGTCTACCATGAAATCAGATATAAGAGCGCGAACGGCCTGCTTCATATCTCCACAGCAGCATCTTGGGCAGCATTCGCGCTTCGCACTGTGGTCTTCTTGATCTGTCGATCTTTACAACCCAACATTCGTTACATTTCATCGCATTCTATCAAGATGAAATCCTTGACCATCCTTGGGACGGTTCTCTTGGGGCTTCTCGCTCCAATAACCACCACAATAGCGATTCCCGCTGAGATCGCTGAGCTTGCACCTTTCACGCCAAAACGAAATGGCCTCGAGGAACGACAATCGCCAGCGTCGTGTGTCAATGTCGGCAATACGGCTAATACGAGGCATTGTTGGGCTCCTGGTTTTACGTCTTCCACGGACATGTACACCTCTTGGCCCAATACCGGCGTGGTCCGCTCCTACAACCTACGCATTGAGAATACGACGTGCAATCCCGATGGTGCTGGATCAAGGGTATGCATGTTGATCAATGGAAGAACTCCAGGTCCTACCATCGTTGCCAACTGGGGCGATACCATCAGGGTCACTGTTCGCAACATGCTCCAATCCAATGGCACTTCCATTCACTGGCATGGCTTCCGTATGCTCAACAAGAACATCCAGGATGGTGTTAACGGAATTACCGAATGTGCGCTAGCACCTGGTGATCTCAAGACGTACGAGTTCCAGGCAACTGAATACGGCACGACCTGGTATCACTCGCACTTCTCGCATCAGTATGGAGACGGAGTGGTCGGAACGGTCATCGTGAACGGCCCTGCTACCGCGAACTATGACGAGGACCTTGGGGTCATGCCAATCACCGACTGGTTCTACAAGACCGCATTCCAAGCCGCTTCTATAGCATTCCAGAACGGGCAGGCTGGGTTGGGCCCGCCAGCACCTGACAACATCCTGATCAACGGCACTTCCAAGAATGCGGCAGGTGGCGGTGCTTATAATCGAGTGTCGATTCAAGCGGGTAAACGGTACCGTCTGCGACTTGTGAACACCGCAGTCGATACCAGCATGACTGTGAACCTTGATGGCCATCCTTTCCAAGTCATCGCAAACGACTTCGTCCCCATCGTCCCATACAACACCACTCATCTCCAACTTGGTATCGGCCAACGTTACGACGTAATCATTACCGCCAATCAGACAGCTGGAAACTACTGGTTCCGTGCCGACGCCAATGGCCTTTGTCAGTCGCGCGCCGCTCTCCAAGGACGCGCCATCTTCACCTATCAAGGTCAGACGGTGGCTGATCCCACTTCGACTGCTCCAGCCAATCCCTTTACGCTCTGTGCTGATCCGATCACAACACCGAAAGTCGCAAAGAATGTGCCCAGCACGACGTTCGCCGCCCAAGCCAAGAACCTTCCCGTCGCTTTCGGGCCAGTGGCAGCAAATGGCAACACAGTCCTGTGGACCATCAACGGCACTTCCATCATCATTGACCCCGGAAAGCCGACCGTTCAATATGTCGCAGAAAACAACAACAGCATCCCGCAATCGTATAACGTTGTGCAGGTACCATCAACCTCGGCATCCACTTGGACTTACTGGGTCGTACAACAGGCTGTTGGAGCACCACCTATCGCCCATCCCATCCATCTTCACGGTCACGACAGCTATGTTCTCGGCGGCGGTGATGGTCAATTCAGCATGGCAACCCACTTTAGCTCGCTACGCTTCACTAACCCACCGCGTCGGGATGTTGTTCAGCTCAGAGGTAATGGCTGGCTTGTTCTCGCGTACCCGACAGATAACCCCGGTGCTGTAAGTAAACAATTTTATGCCCAAATCCTTCAGTGTCGCGCTGAAGCAACAACTGCTAATCAATCTTCAGTGGCTCATGCACTGCCATATCGCCTTCCACGTCGGCATGGGTCTTGGCATCCAGTTCCTGGAGCGCAAGTCAGAGATTAATCTTCCAGCTGCTGGCTCTGAATGGAAGCAGAACTGCGCTAACTGGGCTGCATACAAGGCTGGGACGACGGATGTCTGGCCTCAGGATGACTCTGGTCTCAAGAAGCGCTGGCCTCCTCTCATTGAGGGCACCTCGTCGTTCAAGCTGGACTAGGCTGAGAATTGACGTGTTCTCTCCTGGCAGGGGATTCCAAGGGCTAGCAAAAATCATCCAACTACAGGCGTTGCGATGCTTATCCACTCGCGACGTTTGCTGGCAGCGGTCCGGACTTCCCTAGACTTTGTATTCTCTTCTTACACTCCTTCAACCTGTTTTGAGTTTACCCCTTCTTTCTCCCACATATTTTGTTATCGCTACTCCCTACTTTTCCTTCAGGGGACAGCATGTAAATACTTGGTGCGCTACTTCTCGCTTCCCTGTATATATTGCAATGACATACCTTTCGCGAATATTTATCTACTTCAAGCCCTATCCTAAGATGAAAATTCAATAAATATAAAAAGGAACGTGGCCTTAGAAGGCGAATGAAGTTCGTGCGGATTATGGCTATTGAAACGGTTTGTGTGACCTTTCTGGATATACGGCAGGACAAGGTATGGTGTAGAACGACAGACAGGCATATATCTCATGTGCTTGGTGACTGTTAAACATGCGTTAAAATTATACAGACATTCTGTTCTCTCTATCTTGTGGTATCTTGCAAATTACGCTCTCCACCTCCAACCTCACTCCAACTTCCACTGTGACACAACACCTACGATTCCATCCACTCCATCTCATCCACTACCAGCAGAAGACGCAACCGGTGTATTAAGCATCCCCGCACTCGCCTCATTCTCCAAACTAATCTTCATCTCCAACCAACTGTAGAAACTCGGACTCTTGCAAAAACTCTCATACAACCCATCCCTTGCCCTATGTCTCTGCAGCGGGTTCGACCCGCGAAACTTGACACTCGTCCCATACTTGCTCACACTGCTCATCAGATCCGGTACGTGGAAACTGGCATACCGATTGGCGCCACCGGGCGTAACGACGTTTGAAGTAGCGAGGTAACGGTTAATTGGCGCGATGAACTGGGCGGTGAGCTCGGCGAAGTGGCGCCGGATTATGGGGCCTAATTCGCGGGTTTGGTCACCGAGTTTGAGGAGGGATTCGATTTGCGATACGACTGCAGTGTCGGATTTTAGGAAACGTTTGGAGGGCGTGTGGACTTCTATGCCACCGCCGGGGAGGTCGAGGAGTGCGTTGCGGCTGGATTTGTGGTGGAGGGAGTGGTGGCGGCGTGTTGGGACGGGGCCGTCGAAGTTTTGCAGATACAGAATGTGTGGCCGCGCTTTGTGACTGGCTTCTGCGGCTGCGACAATGCGTTTGAGTAGGAATGGGTTTGTGACGCCGATGATGAAGGAGGTTGGGGTTCCGCCGTCGATGCCGATGCTTTTGAAGTTTGCTTGCATGGTCATGTAGGGTTTCACCACGCCGGCGTAGGGAACGGGGCAGATGAGGTCGACGAGGGAGGAGACGGCTTCGCTGGCTAGTTGGGGAGACTTTGCGATGACGATGACGCTTTCGCAGAGGATGAGCTTCTCGTACAAGACGTAGAGGTCTGTGATGCAGGGCATGTAGTGCATGATGTTGTCCCAGGAGCCGACGGGTTCATAGGCGTAGATGGAGAGAGGGATGTCGGAGATTAGTGGCGTGGGCCCTGGGAGTCCTTGAAGTGGGAAGGCACGATGTGGTGCGATGTCGAGGGTTAACATGCTGCCCATGAAGGGGAGATCGTGGCGTCCGAGTGCTGGAGGTGCCCATGTGTTCATCTGTGAGAACGCGGCCTCTAGAGTCGTTGGATCGCTGAGGGGTCCTGACTCTGTCATCTTTTGTAAGATGCGATGATGGAAGGAAGTGAAGTTGTGGTGGGAAATCATGACCAATGTCCTTTGATTGAAGCTCCTTTTCATGGTATCGTCGAACTCTTGACGGAAGATACATGAGCCGTAGAAGGTGTCGGCGCTACCATGAGGGGCATTTGGCGAAATCAGTTTGATGTCAGGCGAGTTGTTGGTAATGGCGAAGTCGTAACAGAGGTCTTCAGCGGTCTCTGTGTTCTGCTGTTCAGGGAAACTAGATGCGACTTAGATTGATATCACCCGGGACTGGCGGACGGATGTACCTGTTGAAGCATATAGCACTCAGGTCGGCCGTCGTGAAGGGCACATCTGGAGGGTATAGAATCTCGATTTCTGGGCTATCAAACTCAATACATTCCTCCGAAGACATGGCATACGGACAACCTACCCGATATCAACATTGAAATTGCAGACTATGCTGTTGCTGTAAGCACTTGTCACTCAGAGGACAAAGACAACTTACAAAGCCACGGCCCAGTGCTTGAATCCGCCTGTCGCGATGGGCGAGAGCTTGGGCTCCCTCAGTTTCTCCATCTCATCTTCTCGCCGCGAACGACGGTGAGGGTTCAGGAATTTATTCTTGAACTTCTCCATGTCGACGCTGGTCGCACCTGACAGGGGCAGGTGAACCCAAGGGTGATGTGAGGCGGCGACGACGGCAAAGGGTGTTGGTCAGAGCGAGCGAGTGACTTGGGCAGACTAAGCGCCTAGTGGCAAGGGAAGCTGCCAATCGCCATGACACTGCGCGTCGTGAGGATGGGCAGAGGGCAGTCGTTGAGACATCTCCACGGGCATCTGCTCGAGGTTGCTTTTGGGAATGTCTCGTTTATCGGCGGGTTCTAGCGACAAGGATAGGCGGTTGTGTAGGAAGGCACGATGACGTGTGTGCCTTCCGTTAAAAGCGCATATCCCTGTCGAGACCCCGTCGGCTCAAGTATCGTGGGAAACACCGTGAACGCCTGCACGTACCGCCTCGCCCTGCTTCACGACAGTCCCGATACCCCGCACGCCGTTACTCCAAGATGCGATAGGCCGGCCGCTGCACCATGTAGACTTGTCCTGCCCGCGACCTCACCATGGACGTCAATATCACCAAAGCCCTCAACGACAAGCTCTACGACAAGCGCAAGAGCGGCGCACTCGAGCTCGAAGGCCTCATCCGCGATGCCCTCGCCGCCCAGGACCACGACAGGATAGCCCGCATCGTGCGCCAGCTGTGCCAGGAGTACGCCTATGCTGTCCACCAGCCCCACGCCCGCAACGGCGGTCTGATCGGGCTAGCTGCGGCTTCGATAGCCCTGGGCCCGGTGCGTAGACATATATGATGTACAGCTTACCTATGTACTGATCTTTCCTCAGGAAGTGGCCCGCTATCTCGAAGAAATCGTCCCCCCGGTCCTCGCGTGCTTCAGCGACCAAGATGCCCGGGTTAGGTACTATGCGTGCGAGAGCATGTACAACATCGCAAAGGTCGCCAAGGGCGAGATACTCGTATACTTCAATCAGGTGTTCGATGCCCTGTGTAAGGTGAGAAGACCCATAATGTCTCCTACACTTGGTGAGACAAGGCTAACACGGCCCGGACCGTCCAGATGGCTGCAGATTCGGAGCTCTCAGTCAAGAACGGCGCAGAGCTGCTGGACCGCCTGATCAAAGACATCGTCTCCGAGTCGGCTGCCAGCTACGTATCCATACTACACGACACTCCCGACCAAGAAGACCCCGAAGACGAGCCCCACCCATTCGCTTTCAACCTCGAACGATTCCTGCCCCTCCTCGAAGAACGCATCTATGTTCTTAACCCGTTCACACGTTCCTTCCTCGTGGCATGGATCACGCTGCTCGACTCCATACCCGATCTCGAGCTCATCGCTCACCTCCCGCGTTTCCTCGGCGGTCTCTTCAGATTCCTGAGTGACACAAACCAAGATGTATACACCATGACGCAGGCGGCATTGGACAGGTTCTTGAGTGAGATCAAGAAGATCGCGCGTATCAAGAAGGGCATAGCGGAAAGCAAGAGGAGCAACAGCAAGGACGATCGCAGGAACTCTGTGGGTAGCATCCATAGTGGCAGCGAAGCGACAGATAGCACGCCTCTCGAGCTGGACGATTCGGTCAACGACAAGGGCGAGGCAAGCGGAGAAAGCGGCTCCCTCTCTGGCGACAGCGGAAAGTCTGTCAACGGAGACGGAAACTGGATACCTGGTCAGGATGTGCACGTTGACCATCCCAAGATTCTTGAAATCCTGGTTGACTTCCTGGTGCCCCCATCAGGTACGTCTTGAGATGGATTTGGAAGGGAGACCAGAGCTAATTCGTGCAGGCACGGAAGAAGAGCAGACCGAGATACTCCTCACGGCACTCCGCTGGATAGACAACTTCTTCGACATTTGCCCAGAGGACATCATGCCGTTTGTTCCCAGTCTATTGTCGCATGTTTTGCCAAGAATGTCGCACGACGTCGACACCGTTCGCAAAGCTGCGGTAAAGGTCAACGCCTCGTTGATGGACTACATACTGTCGTTATCTGACGATGACCGCCCCCGCGATGGTGCTGCAGGTGGACAGATTCAGCTACCGCCTTCCCTATCTGAGCTAGGTAAAGAGCTCACCGGCACGCAGCGGCGCGATTCTAATCTATCTGGCCGATTGCTCAAGGCAGTCATCCGCGATCAAGCAAACAAGGCTGAATCGCCAGATGGCAAGGGTACACGATCGCCCACACCAGCGGAGGAAAGAGGTCCATCCCCTCGTCCAATACCGGAGCTGGACTACCAAGCTGCTGTCAGTGCTCTAACACTGCAGTTCCTGAATGAGCACGAAGCCACTCGCGTTGCGGCCATAGCATGGCTGATAATGCTGCATAGAATGGCGCCTGGTAGAGTAAGTGCAAAGTTCAAAACAGCAAAGCAATCACTAACCGCCTCTAGATACTAACAGTGGACGACGGTACATTCCCTGCATTGCTGAAGACGCTTTCGGACCCTTCAGATGCGGTCGTTACGCGCGACTTGCTTCTTCTCTCGCAGATCTCCCTGCACAGCGATGATACTTACTTCACTTCATTCATGGTTAATCTTCTGAAGCTGTTCTGTACAGACCGCCGACTCCTCGAAACTCGTGGCAATCTCATCATCCGACAGCTCTGCATAACATTAAGTGCTGAGCGCATATACCGTACCATGGCTGATTGCCTTGCGAAGGACGAGGACGTCGAGTTCGCCAGTATTATGGTCCAAAACCTCAACAACAACCTCATCACTGCACCAGAGCTTGCTGACCTACGGAGACGGCTCAGGAATCTTGACAACAAGGATGGTCAATCATTCTTTGTTATCTTGTTCAAGGCGTGGTGCAACAACGCTGTCGCTACCTTCTCACTTTGTCTTCTTGCCCAGGCTTATGAGCAAGCATACCATTTGCTTCAAGTTTTGTAGGTTCCTCGATGTGGTATTGAATGGGCCGCTACTAACTATACCAGTGCGGACCTTGAGATGACCGTCAACATGCTCATCCAAATCGACAAGCTTGTCCAGCTGCTCGAGTCTCCCGTCTTCACCTGTAAGATCCTCTCCTGCTCAAACCGTGTTGCCCTACTAACTGTACTGGCTAGACTTGCGCATGCAGCTCCTCGAGCCGGAGCGGTACCCACACCTTTACAAGTGCATGTACGGCCTGCTCATGCTACTGCCTCAATCGTCAGCGTTTGCAGCGCTCAAGAACCGGCTCAACAGCGTCTCGGCCATTGGCTACCTGCACATTGCGCCGCAACGCAGCAGCTCGACGTATGTGCACCCTTCCTCCTCCTCCCCTACCCTAAACCACTTGCGGCAAAAAAGCTCAGAAGTTGGCTCGAACAGCAGTGCTAGCAGCGGCATTCCATCCTCTGCAGGATCCAACGTTTCGACGTTCGAACGTCCTGGCCGCTTGAAGCCAAGGGATGGTCTGGGCGGCCCCGAGGCTGGTGGAACCGTCAAGTGGTCAGAACTGCTCGACAGGTTTAAGCAGACGCAGGAGAAGGCTAGACGTACTCAACGAATGGCCAGCATGGGTGAGGAGGAAGAGATGCAGGAGAAGATGGGACCAAGGGCGCCCACGCCGAGTGCACCTCCCAAGAGCGTCGCTGGGCTGAGGCCTGGCAGTCCGGCGAACGCGATGCGGCCACCTCCCCAACCCGCGCCGCCGGGTCCAGTGCAGGGCCATAAGCCAAGGTCCAGTCTGAGCAACCTTGGGCGGTTCGCTGGGGGTGTAGCCGGGCGAAGGAAGGACAAGAAATAGAAGTTGGGGAACATTTCTAGCATGTGATTTGTGCGTTGGCGCGGGGGGACTTCAACTGCATTGCAGGCGTTGTTTGGGAGCAGTAATGATGGGTATTCTTTCGAGCATGACTGGCGTAATCTGAACCATCTTCAACGATGCTTGCCCTTTCTGAACCTGACTCCATCCACGTCTTTCTCCTTCCACCCTGTCGTGTCACCCTCCTTTCCATCGTCGTCGCCCAGTACCCATGTTTTGACAATCTCCTTGATCTCTGGTTTCTTCTTTTCCAAGCGTTTTGCTTCCCGCACCTTCCTCACGTACCCACTGTAAACAGCCACCTCGGCCACGGCAATGCCCAACGATCCTCCCATGCTGAGTCCTAGCCTACTTCCCACACTCCAGTGTCGCGCGGCAACCCAGATGAATACTGCCACACACACAATCGAAATCAAGATGTTTATGATGAGGATGATCTGCCTATGCACTTCCTCATACGATAAATCGTCTTCTTCGCTGGTTGTTTGCGTTGCTCCAATCGAGAACGGTTCTGGGGCTCGGGGGAAGCGCTGCGAAAAGGATTCGCGTGTTGGTGGTGGGTGCAGCATGCGCTCGTAAGAGAGGGCTTCTTGCTCGGCGCGGAGACGGGCCATCAGGGCGTGGTATTCGGGAGTTTGGGTGGGCTTGGGGGGAGGCGGTGGGATGTAGATTGTTGTGTTGTGCAGGAGGGCGGCTAGGGTTGTTGGTGTGGGTTCCGAGGTGTCTTCTGTGGTCTCTAAAGCGTCATTGGTGTCTTTAGAAACATGCTTCTTCAGCAGCTTTGACAGGTCGATCAACTGGCTGTGGGAGATGGGATTCCCGACTTCAGGCTCCGCAAGCGAGGGCTCGTCGGCGTGCTGGAGTTTCTTGTATTCATCGGTGGATAGGTCTTTCGCTTTTGCGACTGCCCGGACGATACCGGGAGTCATAGTAAGCAAGACCATGGCTGTTTGGCGTATGCTGTGTACACGGTAAGAAACATCGTCACAGGCACGCGGCATAGACGACGCGACAGGGATGTGCGGCGACCGAGGGAAGCTAGCGTTCGGAACGTCATGGATATTTTGACTTCGACAAATCTAGCCGATAGCTGCGGGCGAACATATCACTAGCCCACTTCACCACCACCACCACCACCAACTCTGCACGCCCCCGAGACGCTGCTTCAACCCCTCAATTGCACCGTCTCTCGCCGTTTCAGACAAGGTTTCGAGGACCAACCCTCCATGACGAGCCGAACACCCCGGCTCGCGACGTCCATCGCGCGACAGCAAACTTGCTCACTATCACACATCTCAACACATTCCTACCGTAGCGCCGCCCTCGCCCGCTCAATACACACCCAGAAAAATGCGACACAAACGCTGCACCACCCCTCGCGGCGGCGATACCAGTCCTCCTGGGCCGCCGCAGCCCACGTAGCGCAAAACGTCATGTCCTCGCCGCCACCAGATGCGCCCATCAAGATGGACCCCTTCCAAACCGTCGCCCGCGAGATGAAGTTTCTCACCGGAAACATACGATCATTACTCGGGTCCGGCCACCCCACCCTCGACACCGTCGCAAAGTACTACACACAAAGCGAAGGAAAATACGTGCGGCCCATGCTCGTCCTGCTCATGAGCCGAGCCACAGCCCTCACACCACGGAGTTCAAGACGGGACTTGGGAATCGGGAGTCAAAGTGCAGATATCTCAATTACCAACCCGCGGATCCTGGCAGACGAGAACCCAGACCAGAGTCCCATTAGCAGTATACGACATGACTCTGCGTACACACCTGAAGACAGCGATATCCTCCCCTCCCAACGGCGACTCGCTGAAATCACCGAACTCATCCACACAGCCAGTCTACTCCACGACGATGTAATCGACCACTCCGTCTCCCGCCGCGCCGCACCCAGCGCGAACATCGAATTTGGTAACAAGATGGCCGTCCTGGCTGGCGATTTCCTGCTTGGGCGTGCATCCGTTGCGCTGGCTAGGCTGCGAGATCCCGAAGTTACAGAGTTACTGGCCACAGTGATTGCAAATCTCGTCGAGGGTGAATTCATGCAACTCAAAAACACCGCTCGAGACGAGAAGAATCCCTCCTGGACAGAAGACACAGTGTCATACTACCTCCAAAAAACATATCTCAAATCTGCATCCCTCATCTCGAAAAGTTGTCGCGCCGCAGCTATCCTGGGTGGTTCGAGTCCTGAAGTTGTGGAGGCGGCGTATCTCTATGGCAAGAACCTCGGTCTTGCGTTCCAGCTTGTAGACGATATGCTGGATTACACGGTTAGCGAGGCAGAATTGGGGAAGCCGGCGGGTGCGGACTTGGAATTGGGACTTGCGACTGCGCCGTTGTTGTTTGCGTGGAAGGAGGAGAGTAGTTTGGGGAAGTTGGTCGGGAGGAAGTTTTCGAAGGAGGGGGATGTTCAGAGGGTAAGTCCTGAAAAAGTCGGACCACATGAGATACAGAGTGGAGTGCTGACATGTTGATTTAGGCTCGCGAAATCGTCTCTCAAAGTTCGGGTCTGGAGCAAACCCGCGCTCTGGCACAAGATTACGTCGACAAAGCCATCGAGGCTATATCATTCTTCCCGGAAAGCGAAGCTAAGACCGGACTGGTGGATATGTGCACCAAGGTTATGAAGAGGAGGAAGTGAAGGATACTACCATTACACGATTCAAGATGAGGATACACGGAACCATACACCTGCATCTGATCACTAAAAGCGACTTCCGCGTTGAGATTTTCGCAGAGCATCTGGACGAATACCATGTGTAGATGGATGGGCATGCGGCACAGCGCGGCGCATCTGCACTACGAGAAATGCATCAGTCGTGGAATTTGAACGGCGGAGAACTTCTTCGCGTGTGGGTGCTGGGGCAATATGACACGAGACGTACTTTCACAAATCTACTGGTACGAGAATGTGGTCTACATCTGGCGAAGAGAAACTCTACTTCTGTATATATACATGTTTACGAAATACTAGAGCGACCCGGCCTTCCTGGTCGGCAGACACTCTGGATGCTAGAACTTATATATCGTTTTCGAACGGCCGCACGACTTGCCCCTTTTCTTGTAGGTGGTCTTTGACTTGTTTGACTGTGTATTCGCCTCTGTGGAACTGTCATGTTGTTAGTTTTGTCCAAGTCGATCCCATCTCATGAGAAGGAAGAAAATGTACAACTCACCATTCCAGCACCCAACGCAGCATCCGTCTTCGTCTTCGCAAACACTTCTTCGAAATGACCTGGGTGTCCTGCTCCGCTACTCGCGATAACAGGAATCTTGATCGCATCCTTAACATCGTTGATGAGCTCAGTGTCAAATCCACTGTTACTTCCGTCTTTATCGATGCAGTTTAGCAGAATCTCTCCTGCGCCCATGGCTTCGACTGCGGTGACGAGTTGTCGGACGTCGAAGTCGCGGCCCTCGCGTCCACCCTTGATGGTGCACTGGTACCAGCAGTACTCCTCGCCGTTTGGTCCCAGAGTTGTGGTCTTGATGGTGTGGTGGGGTGTTGCATCGCGAGAAGAGACGTAGACGCGCTTTGGATCCACGCTGATAACGACGGCTTGCCTGCCGTACGCGGAGGAGATGGTTTCTATGGCCGTGGTGCCGGATAGCTTGCTTCCTCGCGCATAGTACTCTTCTGCTGCGGTAACGGCGTCGGAGCCGATGCTTACTTTGTCTGCGCCGGACTTGAAGTACATGGTTGCGATGTCGAGGGCCGATATCTTGCTCCCGTCTGTGTCTACTGTGTCGCGTATGCCTCCGCCAATTGTTAGCGGCACGAACACGGTTTCGCTGGTTCGGCGTAGGATCTCGAGCATCGGTGTGTCGGCTACGGGACAGTTGCGGAAAGATGTGATGTTCAAGAAGGTGACTTCGTCGGCGCCTTGTTCGTAGTATTTCTTTGCCATTTCGACGGGCTTGCCTAGGTTACGCACCCCGCCGCCGGCTCCCTCCTTTTCGCGGACATCGTATTGGTCACCTTTTGTTACTACGAGGTCTCCTTGGTCATTGGTTCGTACGTCGAGGCAGGCGATGACGCGTCTTGTAAGCCCTTCTTTTGTTTCGGCTTCTGATGGCTTCTCGGGTAGCTTCTGCGATATTTTGCCATCCAACCAAGCCTTAAGGACACGTAGACCCGCTGCGCCGCTCTTCTCAGGGTGGAACTGTGTGGCGAAGATGTTTCCCTTTGCGACTGCGCCGATAAACTCCTCGTCGCCGTACCGTGCTGTAGCTACTGCCCAGCCATCCTTCTCCAGCAGACCCTCCTCATATATCGCGGCATATGAGTGAACATAGTAGTATTTCGAGGTTGGTCGAAGGCCGTACAGTGAGTCATCCGTGACTTCTCCGGTGCGCGATGTATTTGCGCTGTTCCATCCGATGTGCGGTACGCTCTTGTCCGTATCCTGAAACTTCCGTAATCGCATAGGGATGACTCCCAGACCCTTCACCTCGGGACTCTCCTCCGAGCCTTCGAACAATGCCTGCACACCAACGCATATTCCCATGAAAGGTTTGCCCGCCCTGATGTGTTCGCGGATGGGTTCGACGTAGCCGGCTTTCTCTAGCTGGGACATGCAGTGGCCAAAGTGGCCGACGCCAGGAATGATGAGTTTCTAGGGGCGATGCTCTATCAGCACTTGTCAATTGTTGCGCGCGTCTTCGTGAGAGGGCGGTGGTACCTCGGCAGAGGGCACATCCGCGGGCGTCTTGACCCATTCGACGGTGTAGCCAACCTTCTCGATGGCATTGACGAGAGAGCGGACGTTGCCGGCGACATAGTCGAGCAAGTGAACTGTCGGCATGATTGGGGATGTGTTCGGAGGGATGATTGTGAGGGTGTTTGACTCGAACAGTGAAAAGTAATTTGGATGCACCCCACGCGTCATTGGAGGGGCAGTTGCGCTACCGCTAGCGCCCGCTGCACCCCTGTCAAATAATTCTTTGGATCTTCATCGTCGTCGCGAAGCCATCGCAAGCAAACTCACGACCCACTACCCACGACAACGCCATACCCTCTACGTCAGTATGGTGCGCAAACTCAAGCATCATGAGCAGAAGCTCTTGAAGAAGGTATGCATCACCTATTCCTCTCCTCCGCCTTTGCGCATCGCCGCCTGGGTAGCCGCGCAAACGATCGCCATTTTCGTCATGCCCACCGGTGCTCTCTCCAGTACATGAAGCTACTAAGAGTTGTTCAGAGACACTAATGTGTTCCACAGGTCGATTTCAACACCTACAAAAGCGACAATGACCACCGAGAAGCCGCCGTCATGCGCCGCTACGCCATCCAAGGACGCGACGACTACCGAAAATACAACCAGCTCGCCGGCTCATTGCGACAACTCGCCCACAGAATCGCAAACCTCGATCCATCTGATCCCTTCCGTGCCAAGCAAGAGGACCTGATATTGGAGAAGCTGTTCTCGATGGGCTTGCTAGGTACTGGTGGCGGCGGGCGTGGAAAACTGTCCGATGTCGAGCACAAGCTCACAGTGAGCGCATTTGCACGGAGGAGATTACCCGTCATCATGACCCGGCTACGTATGGCAGATCACGTACAATCTGCTGTTACACTCGTTGAACAAGGGGTAAGCACGCTGGACGCGGAACATGATCTTTCAGACAAAGTCTGCACAGACGCGACCAGTAGCTAACAGATACACAGCACGTGAGAGTCGGAACCGACGTTATCACAGACCCAGCCTACTTGGTCTCAAGGAATATGGAAGACTTCGTCACATGGGTCGACTCCTCCAAGATTAAGCGCAACATTATGAAGTACCGCGACAAGCTGGACGACTTCGAACTCGAGGCCCTATGAGATTTTCCTTCTTTCTTTTCGGTGGCGTTCGTGGATACAGCATTTGAAGGCGTTACGGCATACTCGCGATATCCGGCTATGACAAAAATTGATCTTTTATCTTCGCTTGTGTCTATCATCTCAATCTGACTGCGCAGCGTATCAAACGAAAATATGTCTCGTTCTACGAGAACGAACGAATTCGATCAGGTGTCCTTCTCCTGAGGCGTCGAAATACAAGGACAGAGATTGGAAGACATGTGTTGGGTGTTTGGCACACCATGTGCTTTGGGGCATACTAAAACTCCGACGGCGATGCGATCTACAGAGCGTAATTCTCCGCTGACTGTTGCGCATACAGGACAACGATAGCCAACACCGGGTATACTAAGTCGGCATTGGCTATGCTTTTCCGACCGCAGGAGCCATGACCAATCACATTTCCTGACTGACGCCACACAGCATGCAGTTCTTTACCCAAACCGGCAATGACGGTGCGTATGCTCATATCGGTACAACACCCCCAAGCGTACTAGAATTTTGAGTCGCTTGCCCGTGCATAAGTGGCATGTCGCTATCTCCACGCATGGGTGGGGCGGTTTGGGGTGATTCCTGGGGTAGCTGACGGATCACACTAGGGAACAGCAGAACGGTATTTATGACAGTGCTGATCCTTCAGCTCTGGATTCAGATATTTTAAGTACTTCGTATCATTCTTCTCTATTGTCGCTTGCTACGCTATGGCTGCGAAAGGAGACCGCGAGCCCTCAGTGGCGCATATTGAAGCGCTCGACCACAGCACGAACACATCGGAACACGACAACTACGTCCACAGTAATGACGCCAACGAAGAGATCGTCCGCCATCTACAAACCACCGGTGAAGATGTCGGCATGACCTGTGCGTAATGCCAAACATCAGCGCTGGCTCCCGGTCATGTCTAACACGTTCCAGTTCGCACATTGATGGCAGCCGTGTCTATGGCCATGTGCTACAACGCTTACCTATTCACCCTCCTCATCCCACCAGCAATTCTCACATACATCAATGCCGATCTTGGCCCAGACCCCAGATACACATGGATTACGATATCTTGGAACCTTGGTGGCGCCATGTTTGTCACTGTTGGTGGACGACTTTCAGACATATTCGGCAGGCGATGGTTCTTCATTGCCGGAGCTATCATTCTCATCATCGGCAGCATCGTTTCAGCAACCGGACAAAGCATCAACCAGATGATAGCCGGTGGTGCCTTGTTTGGCTGCGGCTCCGGGTTCCTGGAAATGGCATTTGGTGCGGTTCAAGAAATCGTGCCGAGCAAATATCGCCATGTTACTATTGGGTTATTCGACGCTGCTTCGATCATAGCACAGATCATGCCGTTGGTCAGTTGGGTCATTATCAAGCAGACGGGCAACTGGCGCATTTGCTACTATGTCATGATAGGCTTCCAGGCTATCAACCTTGCCCTTCTGTTCTTCTTCTACCACCCACCATCCTGGAAAGACAAGAAGGCCGAGCATGGAAAGACTGCCGGCCAGCTTCTGCGCGAATTCGACTGGTTGGGACTATTCCTATTCCTGGCAGGGTGTACACTATTCATCGTTGGTGTCAGCTGGGGTGGATCTCAGGCTCCTTGGGTTTCTGCGACAGTTCTCGCACCTATCATCATCGGACTGGTGACCTTGATCGGTCTGGGATTCTACGAGGCCTACTATAACTTAACGGCACCGCTGTTCCCACCACGTCTCTTTAGGGCATTACGCCACTTTACCGTGCCGATGCTAGTCATGGCCATAGGCGGGCAAGTTTCATCACTCGATAATACGGCCAATGCTAACGAAACACAGGATGCAATACTACTCAAATGCAACTTTGTGGCCACGCCTGTCACAACTCATCTACGCCAGCGACGAAATATCAAAAGGTTTGTACGCCGAAGTTCTGCCACTCGGAACCATCATTGGTGGCATCATCGTGGCTTTCAGCAAGGTTATCGGGCATCAACGTTGGGTCATCATGTTCGCCGTTGCCCTACAGACAGCCTGCGTCGGCGCCATGTCTACATCTACAATGGATAATCCCGTCAAGTCAATCATTCTGACAGTCATCATCTCGACCTGTACCTCTGTCAACCTTCTGAACGGCATGGTTTTGGTAGGCTTCGGAATCGTATATCAGGAAGATATTGGCACTGCAGCTGGTCTTGCAGGAACTTCTCGCCTGCTTGCTGGCGCTGTCGCTACCGCCATCTTTGGAAACGTCACAAACAACAAATACGGAGACGCCTTGCCTGCGCGCGTTCGTGCCAATCTCGCACCCTTCAATCTCTCGTCGGATATTGTCACTAGGCTGATCACCGCAGCGAGAGCAAACACGGCTGCCGGGTATCAGGCTATACCAGGCATAACCCCTGCTATCCGAGCTGCAGCCAGCTTAGGGAACAAGCAAGCATACTTGGAGGGGGCGCATTTGTCGTATCTAGTAGCATTGGCGTTTGGGCTGCTAGGAGTCGTCGCTGCATTCTTTATCCCATCTGTGGATAAGAGAAAATACACTAGTAAGACTGTTGCTGTGCAGAGACGCGATAGAAAAGAGTTGCAGGAAAAGAAGATCGCTGGAACTGGAGGGCCATGATGGCCTTTGTCCTGGTTAAGAGTTCCATATTCGCAATGACATACAAGATATTACCACGCGATTACAATACACAGGAGTCGCTCTCAAAAGGCATGACTGATGTTCAATCCTTCTTCTCGCTTGCATTTGCACCAATCTCAACATCCGTCTTCGCCCAGTATTTGCTGAGATCGCCAACAGGCGGGCACACAGACCAGCGCATCTCCGCAGCCATGATGACGAAGAGCATGTACCAACCCAGCAAGCCAACTATGAAGAGCAGCGCTCCACCGGCCTTTGAGCGTCAGTAATGATCCTCCAAAGCTTCCCAAATGACTCACCTTCTGCAGCTTCAGCGCCTTATCAAAATCCCCCGTACTCAGCGCCCAATAAGCACCACTCAGCACCCAAGCGCCTATCGTCACAAACCCAAAGATGCCCGCAAAGACCATGTTGATCCGGATGGTAAACAGCCAGAATGTCGCCAACGCAAAACCCCAAACAAGCAAATACAACGCAATGACAGCGTTCATCTCTTTGCTTACCGCCCCTGCTGCCGCATCGCCGGTGGGTGAGTACGCTGCTGCGAGACCCAGCGTGGGCAATTGCAACATGCCAAACGATAGCCAGAAGACGGCGAAGAGACCGCATACCATCATAGGAAAGAATTGAGCTTGGATCCAGAGAAAGATTGTGGAGAGAATGAGGAGGACGGGGCCGGTGAAGAAGAATATGCCGCTGCGGGAGGGTTAGTATGCGGTTGAGATGGGGATGGGTGTGGGGAGGAGGGAGAAAAGACTTACACGACAGCTTGCATGCCAGCGGCACCTCCCCAGCCCATTAGTACCATGGAGAAGGTGAAGGTTGAAATGACGAATCCCAGGAAACCCAAGGGCGTTGCGTTGGCATATCTTCCCACGCGGTCGTTTGCGTGCGGTGTTTTTGGTGCGAGATACAGTTTCTCAAATAGCTCCGGGCTGATCGAGATGTTTGTTGATGTATGAGCGAGGTGTGGCTCTTTGACAATGCGATCAGAGTCTGTGCTATTGGTTGTTTCCATTGGATGCGCCGTTACCGTCGTTGTCGCCATGATTGGTTGTCGTAGCTATGTTCGCAACAGAGCAGGTGATATAGAGATACCTAGGTATGTAGAATGGTTTTGTAGTAATCGTACAGCAACCTTGCAGCACAGGCATCAACTCAGGGTACTCCACACTTATCAACTCGAGAGCATCCCTGTCTTCTGCCGCTCACCAGTTCTCCTTCACATGCACATGCGCGGTGGGGTACACGACCTCGAACGCCCTCTTCTTGGTCGTCCACTCATCCATCTCACGCCCCGTCTTCCAAGCCACCCATCTCGGTCTCCATATACATTATTCGCAATCCTCATTCGTCAGTTCTTCAAATCCTGCCGCTACGGCTCGGCCAATACCTCCCAACTGGCTGGATATATATCACGATTACGCCGAAAAGCCTCCCTCGCTACAGCTTGCTTGCGAGAACATAAAAGCGATGGTCAGCATCTTTGAATGCAGTGGTGGAGGTCGGGTGTTCCCCGCTCGCTACCCTTGTGCTGGGCTTACCCGGCAATTTCTAAGATGACGGTGATTGGCTGGGATGGGACGGGAAGGCATGCCCCATGTCTTGGGTGTGGTCAGCGGGGACTAGGATGTAGTGCGATGGCCGGATGGAGATTGGTGGGGTGACTTGGGGGTGGGGATCGAGTTGCGATGCGATGCGATGCGAGGAGGGTTTGGTGGATATGGGTGGAGTAGGGGTTCATCGACACATATATCTCTCTTTGGGGTGAGACAGAATACATCGATGCGAATGTACGGGTATAACATCTCGTTTCATATCGCAACTTGACCAAAGGCCAATACTAGATGCACATCAAGAACAGTAAGACGAGTACATTACTCTACGTAGGCGTATGAAGAATCGCTAGCGAACTATTTCAACGGAAGGCGATGCTAAGAGCTCCAGACTGGCCACCAGGAGGGCCTGCGAGTCAACGCCCTGACGATTCTATCCATTTGTATCTATGCATCTTCGCGTCCAATAGCAGACATGCGTCTACAGGTTGCCTTGGCCTGCGTGAGCCCTTCCCATTCTTTCGTATCATGGAATTGTTTCGCTTCTTCATGTTTTTTCGCTTCTTCGTGTTTTTTTGCTTCTTCGTATTCTTTCGCCTCTTCACGTTTCTTTGCCTCTTCACGCGCCTTCGCTTCTTCACGTCCCTTCGCCTCCGACCGTACCTTAGCCTTAATCTTCGCTTCAGCTTCTGCTTGAATATCCGCTCTTACTTGAGCTTCTATCAGTGCTCTGTCATATCTGCGATCCTTCGCCTCTATATGAGCTTTCATTTCTTCCCATGACTTCGCCTCCATCCATGCCTCCTCCTCTCTCTTTACCTGAGCTTCCATCTTTGCCTTGATCTCCGCTTGTGCTTAAGCCAAACCCTGTGCTGGAGCCTCTGCCTTTGCTTTGTCGACCATTTCCGTGAGTCCTGAAACAATACCGAACTGGCTACCCCATTTGTCGAGCCAGTTACGGAATTCTACGAAACTTCCAGATCTTCCAGCTCCAGTGGTAGCGAGGAACGCCGAAAGCCTCATCTGTTGGAGAGGAAGAGCATCGGCTGCTACTATACTGCCTTCTTTCTTGTATCTCGAGTCGTAGGGTATCGTGATAGTGTTGAGCATATCGACGTAGGCGCCTGAAGGGGGGTTGTACTCACCGTGTCTGTCGACCCGGAGCATTCGCTTGGGATACATGTTGGTACCCCATTCCAATGATGTGGAATGTCTGTATAATTCGTGGACGATAGGAACGCTCCGGCTTTTGATGGAAGGGCCCTTTCGGTTCAGGCCACTCCCACCCGATGTCGAGATTATCAGGCCTACCATACAGTCGTCCAGCTTCTCCACGATGATTATCGGATACGATTTAGCGCAAATGTAGCCAAATTCAGTGTGAATGTCGGAGGAAGATGCGAACAAAGTTGGACGCAGAACGGGGAACCAGCCGATGTCGCCAACGCTGAGAGCATCTGGTTCGATGCGTTTGACATTGCTGTACTGCTTTTGTTGAGGACACAGAATGATTTTCGATAGCTTTTCGTCCACCTTGACGAGGGCGGTCTTGCTTGTGAGAACAGGGGTAGCCACATCCGAAGCTGCAGTCCCGGGGACGTCCTTCGTGACGACCACCACGTCAGAAGGCACATCAGTGACCTTGACCTGTGCAGTAGTTACTATGATGTCTGTGGACATAGGGCTTGTAGTGGTTGTGATAGGCGAAGGTATAGGAGCAGTAGTGGCTGTTTTGGGTGCAGCCGATAAAGGACTCCATGTGCCAACACCGGGTACCTCGATGTTACTCTTTGCGGCGCGATTTGCCGTGACCATTGCTGTGTATGCTTTGTTGGAAAGGCCAGATCGTTTCGATATACACTGTAAAATCTCTTCCCTCTGATTGGCAATGTCGTTCTTGAGCTCCTCCGATCTATGGTCGTGTACCGTCGCTCCTGACGCTTCGATAGACCCATCTTGTATTATTCTCCTCTCTCGATCATGTACTCGAAGCTCTTTCTTCAGGCGATCATAACCTGTTTGAGGGTGGTAGTAAGTGAGCGTAGGGGCAATGAGATCCTCCCAGGCCTCGGATTCGGTCGACGCTGCTTGTACTAGTTCCGAAATCGAGATGGATGGTAGGCGGTGTTCTCCGGATGTATTCTCAGTGCGAAAACCTTTGGAGCTGGTCTCGTATGTCACTCCGGCGGCTTGAAGACTCGCCTTGCATCCTCGGAAATCGTCTTTCATGATTGACAACCACTCATCTTTAGCTGTGTGTTCCAGTCGCGCTATAGCTTCTTCGTACTCTGCGGTTCTTATCATTTCTCGTCGCAGTAAATGCTCTCTGTAGGAGCCCGACATACTGCCGAAACGTGTGGTACTGGATTGGATACGTGTCTGGCCGGAAACGCTTTGGTATGGATCAATCAGGAAGAGTCGATGCTGTGACTGAGGAAGAATGGATGCGGCGTTAACTTCATGGAACTTTGGAAGAATTGTGTCGAAAATTATACGAGCAGGTGAGAAAGGTCTTTGCAACGTGGGATGATCGTGCAAAGGGCGTTTCGCTTCTTGAAGCTGCCTTCACCTCTGCGCTAGGCAGCCGCAATTCCACCGCAGTTTAATGCTCATACATCGACGGTGCAGTGAGATTTGACGAGTACAAAAAAAAAGTTAATGAGCCTCGGTAGCGGCTCTGTCTGGGATCATGGCATTCTCTCACCCCCACCATTCTTCCCTCACACCCTCTCCCTTCCCTCCTTACAAACACCCCTCAATAGCCTTCCTCACCTCCTTCGGTTTCGCCCCAGTAACCCCCTCCATGATATCGCCATCCTTGAACACACTAAACGTCGGCATACTCCTCACTCCCAGCTCCTGCGCAATATCCTCACACTCCTCTACATCATACGTGTAAAACTTTACATTCGGGTACTCAGCCACCATCTTGGCGACTTCGGGGGCGACGATGTGGCAGTTCTTGCACCATGTTGCTGTGCCTTCGAGGATGGTGACGCCTTCGTACATGACGGCTTTGAGGTACTCGGCTTTGGAGTGGAGGGTGGGTATTGTGGGGGTTTCTGAGGTCATTTTGGGGGAGTTTGTGCGATAGTAATAGGGAAGTTATGAGATGGAAGATTTCGTCAAAGTGCGTGTCCGTTGTTGTTGTTGTGGTACGTTTCGTGAGCTGCATGGCTGGGGTGGGGATGTGTGGGGAAAGAGAAGATGATGTTGGTGACGTCATCGCTTTGCCCGTGGAAAGAACGCCGACGAGACAGTCCATCGTCTCGTCCTCACACTGATGCTGGACGTGTAACACCTGCGAAGGAGCTCCAGCTTGTAATGTAAGTCTAATAGTATACCCACACAACACGAGACACAGTGGACAGCGGTGATCACTCATCACGCATATAGCAGGAGCATCATTGATGTTGAAAGACATTACATTCTCATCTCAATATGGTATCATAATCATCTCTTTCTACTTCTACTTCCACTCCCTTACTCGCCCTTACCCTGCTTTCCATAGAAAGCATCCTCACCACCAAGGGCCTTGAGCGCCTCAGCAGACTTCTTCTTGGACTCTTCGCTGGTGTCTGCAATTCGTCAGTATTCCATCCGACTCCCACACAAGAAATGACGAGTTGACTAGGGAAAACATACTGGGGTTGCTCAGATTGGCCTTGTGTCCGGAAGCCTTGTTGCTGATATCCTCGGTAGTGTTGTTGATGTTCTGGTCTGCCTCGCTCAGACCGGGGGCGGTAATGCCCTGGTGGGAAACTCCTTGGCCAGACATGTTTGATAGAGGTTTGACGTGAAGTTCGACTTGGTCGTGGGTTTGAAAATGTAGATGGAGTTGTTTTGTGATGAGTAGTTGCTGATGTATAGTGCTCTTCCACACATCAAAGGCCAGCCTTATATACCCACGACACACACTTGCGCCCTGTTGCACAACACCTCCACATTACGTCTTCAGCAGCCATATGACGCTGAAGCAACTAACCTATGTCATACCTGTCTTGGCATGAACTGGCCTTCTCCACCCAATCCCAGGTACAGCCGGGGCCGGCGCAGCCATAAATGTACGCTAGAGGAGCCGAGACCCGATCGTGTGTGGTATCTGTCTCATTTCATCAAAGTCCCCATAGTTTTAGAAGATATGGAAAACCTGTTATCAGCGCTTCAATCTATGTGCAAAGCTTTGAGCGCTATGACCGCATCGCGTGGTGGTTGTCGATCATCTCGAGGGTGGACGGGAGACACGGTTCTATCGGCCCTTTTCATCAAAGGGGTCAACGAATCACGAGGGAGCTGCGAACAGGAACATCGAACTTCGGTATGTTTTGGAAGAAAGCTTTTTTGTTGCTGGTGAAGTGAACGTAGGGCGCTCACTCCCGCACGACATCTATCGTCTATCCCCCATCTCCCGCTCACAACTCACTATGCCCCTCCCTCTCAGCATCCTTCTCCTTCTTCTCCCTCAACTGTTCTTGCTCCTGCACATCCACCACACCCGCCTTCTCTTCCTCTCCCTTGACGCGCCTGGCCAACGCCGCAATCTCCTCATCATACACATTCCACTCCGGCACTTGCCTCCTCGCACGATCCAACTTAGGTTCCTTAGTCTGCGGATTATTACACAGATCGATCGTCTTCGCCTTTGCAAGATCCTCATCGCTGCACCAGGTCTCGCACCAAAGCCACTCCTGTGGTAAACTGTGGATGGGAAGGTTGAACTGCATGTTATTTGGTAGGTCTTGGTCGAGATTGGAGAGCGAGTTGGGGTCGGCGGAGAGGGCGTGATATTGCTGGCGCAATCTGTCACCCGCGGCGAGTTGGCGGAAGCGGTTCAGGTCTACGACGTAAAGTGCGGAAATGTGGTAGGGGCGGCCGCGGAGGAAGTTGGACCAGTAACCTGTTTTCCAGAAACGGAAACCTTCCATTTCTGTGCGTGAGTCGCCCATGGGTGTGAAACCGTATGGGGCGCCTTCGAGATCGTGCTGGACGAGTTCGTACATGTCAGTTCGCACGATTTGGTCGGCGTCGACGAAGATGACTTTCTCGAGATCTAGGGGGAATAGGACGTCCAGGAAGAGGATCTTGTACCCCCAGATCTCGCGTTGCTTTTCGGTTTGTCCACGCAGCCAGTGGGGCCATTTATAAGTGACCATCTCGTATTCGAATCCGTACTCAGCAGCGATGTGTGGAAGGAAGGATTTGAAGCTGGGAGACAGGAACTGCTCGATGAACCAGAACTTGACGGTGTGTTTTGTGTGCTTCATGACAGACACCATCATAATGTTCAGCATACGCTCGTACAAGTGGCCTGAAGCGACAGAGAAGATGTTGATGTCTGCTTGCGTGCCCTTCTTTGCTGCTTTGCTTCCAGAGAACAGGTCAGCGCCCTTTTGCAGGACCTTCTCGGAGTCAAAGTTGAGACCAATCTTGCCGAGGAACTTGTTGACCTTCTGTGCGCTCTTGCCAACTAGCTCAGAGGCGAGCGATTCTTCAGGAGCGAGTACATCGGTCTCCTCGTGACCTGGCTTGCGCGATAGTCGAGGGAAGATTGTAGCTCCTTGGAAGCTCATGAGAGCGATCTCGGTAGTCTCGTCACCAGGCACGGGTGCCCAGCTAATAGGACCTGCACTATCAAGTTTGAAAACTTCCTGAGAGCGACCGCTCTTCAGCTGAATGTTGTAGAAGCCGGGAGTGGCCTTGAACTGGAAGTAGCCGAGATTGGCCATGATGATGGTATCCGCGAAATGAGGGTCCCGCTCAGTGGCAAGGACAACTTCAGCACCACGTGGCGGCTGACCACCATTCGCAGTGTCACGAGAGTGGCCTTCGATAAGGATGTTCTCCAATTCATAGATAGCGGTAACATCAGTACCAGCAGGTATGGTGCTAAGCTTGATGTTGTCGAGATCATATACAGACTCTTTCGGAGCAACTAGCCAAGAGGGCGGCACATCCATGCCAAGGTTGAGCAAAGCCTCTTTGGGAATGCCATCAAAATGGGTTCCGAAACTTCCGATAGTTCCATCGGGGGTGAATGATGGTCGAGCTTCGAGAACGTATCTGTAGAAACGTTTCACGGGAAGTTCTTGAAGCATCTGCTTAGGGTTCAGGAAAAGCTTAAGATGTACGCCGTTCATATCGCTGAGCACTTTCAGAATAGGTACCCACTTCTGTGCCAGCTCTGTAGCAGGATCAATTGAAGCCACGATCTGAAAGACAGCTTTGTCTTCATCACCCCGGATGATAGCGGTATGCTTGGCAGTCCAGTTGTTGTATGTACTCATCCTCAGGGTCGATGCAGTCTCGAAGATGCCTTCTGGAACGTCCGAAACAGTGGAGAGTGCGACCAATGACTGGATCTTCGCAACGTCTAGGGGAGCGTTAATCTTTTCCATGAGTTCAAGATCTGCGAGAGCTTTGTTCAACGGCTCAACGCGTTTAACCTGCTCATAAGTGACAAAAGTTTCCACGTCATCCTGTGAAAATCCATAGTCTTCTGGGATGGGGCCGACATAGCGTCCGTTCACAAGCATACCGTTCTGTCCCGGCTTCAGGCCAAACGCGTCGTAGATTGGTTCGGCGACCTTCCAGAATGAGGTGGAATTGGCGGGTATCGGTCCATAGTTGGCATCCCGGTTCAATAGCTCGGAAAGAGCTTCGCTTGTAAGCCTATGGCCAGACTTGATATAAGTCTCTAGAAGGTCTTCGGAGGCGTTGGATTGTTCCGCGCCGGCTTTCGGGTTGTGTATGAGGACAGCCTCGATGTTCGGATTCGCCTCGCGGAAATCCGCCAGCGCTTTGAGAAGCGCAAAGCCAGCCTCCGAATCGAAATCTGCCACGAGCGTGACGTGAATCCAGTCACTCTTACTAGCAGACTCTGATGCCTGGATCCGCGGCATCTTATTATAGTGCTCACCATGGGTCTCTTCAAACTCAGCCATGTTAATGAGCGTGATGTTCTTCTCGTTCTCCGGGATGATTAGAGGATTGCGCTTAGCAGCAGCTGAGGCCAAGAAATGTTGCGGGACCCAACTATCGCTGTTGAAGTTGCCATTGAAGACTGCTTGCTGGATCTGACGAAGATCCATACCGACTCTTTGGCTTAGTGTTCCAAGCCATTCCTCGGTTGCTGGGATAGGGACACCGTTAACAAAGACTGGGGCTTTTGGCCCTTCTGCTGCTAGGCGCTTTAGATACTGCTTGGCGCCTGTAATGCGCTGGTCTAAAGTTTCTGACTTCAGTACATCATCGAACGCCAGCGGCTCCTTTCCTTCGAGGAGCGCGGTTTTCTTGACTGTCGCGTCGAAAGTGGCTTGGTCTGCGTGCGCCAGCTTCTTGCCATCTGCCAACTGAACTTTGCGTCAGCGCAACATACGAATCCATGGGAAAGTCTATCACTTACTACTTGAAGGTATTCAATCACAGCAGGTAGTCCATACGCGTCGTGCAAATGATAAATTACTTTGGCCTGGTCAAGAGCACCAGATGTAGCGGTCTGAGGAACGATACCCCAGCGCAGGGGAATGCCGCGCCTGATAAGACTGAGGATAGTCTCAAGCATGGTCGTGACATCCTCGGATGAAGTTAAGTCGACGGCGACGATGGCGTTGTGAATGTCCCTGCGGCAAGATGGCAGCTGACCAGGGTATGTTCTTTGTAGCAACTGTAGTCATGATTAGCTCCCGATCGATGATATGCATGGTCATACACACCGCCCTGAGTTCACTTGGCCACCCTTCGTACATTGGATCGTTTTCGATGTCGTTCAGCCACAAGATGACATTACCTCCTTCGGTAGCATCTCTGAAGTCGTAACGTTGAGGTTCAGCATCCGTCTGAGTCTGAGCGATAGAATTATGTGACAATAGCGAGATGACCTCAGAACCGCTCAGACCCTGACTGCGTATCCCATTGATCAATTTACGTTCATGTCGCAAGTGCGCCAAGAGCGAGAACGGGTTCACGTCGCGTGCTGGGACCTGCACACCGTTGATCCAGATGACATTGTACCCGGTAGGAAGGAGTTGCTCGCGATTCTTCAGATGTTCGTCCAGGAAATCGTCGGACGCGTTATGAGCTGCGATGATGGACGAGTACTTCGGGAAGTCTTGCACGAGCTTCATGAGGGTATCCATGGGCTGTTCGCTTTGGGTTACAAAACTGGCAGCCTTCAGCCCTAGATCAGATACCTCGTCCTTGGATAAGGGCTTGAGGTCTGCGACGTCTTCATCGTCATCGAGGCCAGTGCCCATTAGCTTCTGGGAAGCACTCTTGTCTCCCTGCTCGGCCTGCCTGTCGTCTATGACAATGTAGTCGGTTCGCTTCAGTTGCAGCTCGACACCGTATCCGTTCACCACCAGCGGCGTTGTTGGCGCCTTCAGAGAAGGCTTGTGCCGGACACGGTATGAAGTTTTTCCTTGCTTGGCCGTATCACTCAATGTCTTGTGCCATTTCTTGAATCGCGGAGCGGTGATGTCGGCGTAGAGGATCGCAGGCAGAGCCGAACTGTTGCCAAGTATGCGGTCGAAGGGTAATTGATATGTCCTGCGCAGTTCTCAGCGTCTGTCCGTGGGCTAAGCCATTCGTACGTACCGTTCACTCTCAATGTCTCCAAACGGCTCGTCCAGATGTACGGAGCAGTACTGCTTCCCATGAAACGATGCCCAAATCTCGCATTTCTCGTTCTGCTCCGCTTTCAACGAGGGCTCCACCGATGTATTGTAGAATTGGTAATGTGCTTCTATCCGTGGCGCAGCCGACCGGATGGAGAGGGCGAGGTCGAAGGAAGCGAGGGCTTCAGGCTGAGTGATGTGTCCATCGCTTTGCAATAGGTCTACAAAGGCTGTGTACAGCGCCTGCTCGGTGGTCTTTTCGTCGAAGTACCCCTCGGATACGCGGTCGAGGATGGGGTAGTATGCTGTCGCGTTTTCTTCTGCAGCGGTTTCTCTGGGAGGTATTAGCTGCAAATCTTGGTTTTAACACACGCGAAGCTTACAATAACTCTACCAGATATGGCGCAGGATTGAAGGAAGCTAGAAGAGCGACACTGACACCTGGACGACCAGCGTGCGCGCCAATGTGACTGAAGGCGCTGAGCACTAAGAAAGCTTTCGCGCTCAGTATAGAGGCTGAAGCTCGCATCGTGTATGCTTTTCCCCAAGCCCTGGAAAAATTGTGGTGTCGTGTAGCTACAAAGAGTGATAGTCGTGATGTTCCGAAAGTTCAACTTCCAGTCTCAAGAAGTTGCAACGTGTAGCATAACGTCAGATTGAATCGGACATAGAACGAAGCCTGAATGTAGCCACGTGAAGTAAAGCAGTTCAACGCATGAAAAATCCGCAGCCAAAACAGGAGCAGTAGTCGCGTATAGCTATGAGGATGATTGCTCCTCTTCCACGTCCCCTCCAGTATCGAGCTCCAAGTGTCAGGTACCAGATCCCTGCAGCAATGATGGCGCTAACGCGATAGGGCCGCGGCTTCCTTATCGCGTCAGTCCCGCCGCCGAACCTCCGTCTGCCATCACACCAGACGGAAAGCTTCCGCCATTCACTCACCTAGCTGAATCTAGAAGCGGCTCTTGCGCTGTGGAAGAACCATTAGCAGAACTTTCGTAGGCTATTCGCCAAGTCATGAGATCTCCATCGCCAAATTGCTGCCCACTCACGGAGTTGCCGTGCGCTGTGCCAAACTGCTGAACATGTATTAATCAGCGGCCCACGCCCTACGAGGATGCAAGGCGTGGCCAAGAGCTGCAGTCAGGCTCTACATGGAGGATTATGATGTCGCGACTACTACCGTTCCGCCAGCATCGGTCTGATCTCATATAGCGGGACCTGCCCACCTAGCACTCTCTTACTCTTAGGATATGTAGTATCAATCTCGACTAATCTTCCACCGTTTTTCCTCAAGCGACTCATCATCCCTCTTCTTCAACATGTCGCAAACCGCAACATCCATTGAACTTGTGAGCTACCCGGAGACCTCGATTCCAGCCCTCGCAGCCAAACCATTGAGCAATGGGAGAAGCAAAGACACGCTGTCGATACCTGAGGATTTACGTCCTATCAATGGAGTCCAGGAATCTTTCGCTGCTGAACAGCGAGATGGTCCTGGCAAAGGAACGACGGCTATCGTCTTGGTGACGGTCGTGTGTGTCACGATGGTCAGCTCCATGCTGTCGGGTGTCATGACTGTCACGCTGCCTACAGTTGCACGAGAACTAGAACTCGCACCTAGTGTGCTCTTATGGTAGGTGAAGGTGCATCATATTTGATACTCGCGTACTGACGACCCTAGGCCCATCTCCATCTACGCCTTGACCTGCGGCTGCACCCTTCTCCTGCTCGGTTCCGTCGCCGATGTCGTTGGCTCCCGACCCATGTATTTGGTAGGATGTCTTCTCCAATCCGCCTTCACACTGGCATGTGGATTGGCGCAGACTGGAACACAGCTCATCGTGTTCCGTGCTTTCGCAGGCGTCGCCATCTCCTTCTGCCTCCCCTCGGCTGTTAGTATCATCACCAGCACGTTTCCAGAAGGCAAGAGCAGGAACGTTGCATTTGCATCCATGGGCGGTGGCCAACCCATAGGTTTCTCCTTCGGACTAGTGCTCGGAGGTATCTTCGCTGATACCATCGGATGGCGATGGGGTTTCCACCTCAGCGCGATCACCAACACGATCGTCTTCGTTCTTGGGTTGTTCGGTCTACCAAAAGTCGACAACAAGCAGTCGCATGTCTGGTCTCGTTTGCAGAGCGACATTGATTGGGTTGGCATTCTCTTTGGAAGCGCATCATTGGCGCTCCTCTCATACTGTTTTGCGTGAGTGCGGATCTCATATATGTGATAGCTCAAAACTAATGGCTTTAGTCTGATATCCGAAGAGACTGCTAAGATCCGGGAGCCTACCACCCTCGGTCTGTTAATCACTGCGATCGCTCTCATTCCCGCATTCATCTTCTGGGTCGGCAGACAAGAACGACTGGGCCGGCCCGCGATCATCCCGAATTCACTCTGGCGTAACCGCATCTTCAGCATCATCTGCATCGGGGTCTTCATCACGTGGGGAACTTTCAATGCCGTGGAATCGTACCACACACTGTTCTTCCAGAATGTCCAGAAGCTATCGGCGATCCAGACGTCGATCCGGTTCCTACCCGGACCAGTCGCTGGTGCTCTCGCCAATCTGGTAATGGGCCTGATTGCTCACAGGGTTCGAGCTGACTGGGCGGTAACTGTGGGATTGTTCTGCACGACTCTTGGCGGGCTGCTCATGTGCGTCATACAGCCCGAATGGTCCTACTGGAACTGCGCATTCCTTTCCGTGTTCTTTAACCCCATTGGTGCGGACGCTTTGTTTACAGTCTCGAACCTTGTCATCACCTCAGTGTTTCCAGCGCGGACGCAGGGACTGGCAGGCGGCGTCTTCAACACGGTAGCGCAGATTGGCAAAAGTGTAGGGCTGGCGACCAGTGCAGTGATTGCGTCTAGTGTGACGGAGCATTCGGGCTATGTTGAGAAAGAGAGTCCTGCAGCACTAATGGAGGGATTCCGTGCGGCATTCTGGTATCTGTTTGCGTTGAGCTGCGCTACGGGTCTGCTGTTGGGGTGGGGGCTGAGAGGAATTGGGCGGGTGGGAATGAAGAGGGAGTAAAAAGTTAAATGGGATAGAACAGAGTCCGCTAAGATAATTGAAGCAATGCTGCGCTGCCAAGCGTTAGACCCGGGCGGGTGAAATGTCGAAAGGTAGATGTGAAGCCTTGTTTCAGCTTGGGTCCAGGGCTGAGGCACATGCAAGGATGTCGCCTAGTGACATCTGGACGCGCAACCAGGCCCAGGTACGGGAAGATCCACCTAAAGTCGAGGGCGAGCTGACGACAACCACGCCCACGACCCCGGCGCCTTGTCTCCCGCGCCATGATCATCACGTAGGTCTCGAACACCTCTCCACAACCATCAATGCGGGTGAAGCATTGCCAATAATTCTCCGCGCCCTCGCTACTAGCCGTTGCCGTCTCCCACCATGCTTAGCGGACCCCCGAGGGCCATCCCGCTCGTCTTCGTCTTTCTGGCCGCCTGCCTGGTGTGGTGGTATCTCCACGCCATCCCAGGCGCCGGCTCGTCGATTCCAGCATGGAACTCCGGGAGTGCTGCCCAGGGCTATCGGCCCTCGTTGCGCGGTGACCCGCTCGACTTTGGCCTGCCGCTGCGCTTCTCAGACGGGCAGAAGAAGCCGCCGGGCAGCAACTACACGTACAAGATCATCGTGCCCAAGACGCAGAAGGAGGACATTAGCTGGATGGACAAGGAGATCCCCGATGCGCCTCTGGTAGTCTATGAAGTGGACAACCCCAATGCCGAGCACAAGATCCCCAAGAACAAGGGCCGCGAGGCCATGGTATGCATCTTACCTGTATATGTGGCGGAGTTGCCAGCTAATTGAGACCAGGTCTACCTCTCCTACATCATCGACCACTATGACGACCTCCCCGATACATCCATCTTCATGCACGCCCACCGCCACGCCTGGCACAACAACCAGCTGCTCGGCCTCGACGCAGCGCAGATGATCCAGCGCCTCAACCACGAGCGCGTCGCTCGCATGGGCTACATGAACGTGCGCTGCCACCACGACCCCGGCTGCCCCGACTGGATCCACATGGACCGCCCCGGCGGCGACTTCGACTTCTTCCACAAGCCCGAGGAGATCTACTGGCGGCGCAACATCTGGGAGGAGATCCACCCGGGAGCCCCCATCCCGCCCTCCATTTCCGGCATCTGCTGCGCGCAATTCGCCGTGTCACGCCAGCGCATCCAAGAAGTCCCCATTGAGCGCTTCATCCACTACCGCAAGTGGCTCCTCACAACCGGCATGGACGACCAGTTCTCCGGCCGCATCTTCGAATACATCTGGCACTACATCTTCACCGGCCATGAAGTCCACTGCCCGGCTATGAACACATGTTACTGCGACGGCTACGGCATCTGCTTCGGCGGCCAGAAGAAGTACGACGAGTACTTCAAGAAGCAGGACGCTCGCAACGAGAAGTTTACCGAGCTAGATAAATTCAACAAGCGCGAAGAGGAGGCTAAGAAGGACGGAAAGGACCCCAACTTTTCCAAAGAAGAAATCGAGACAATCACGAAGCTTAGGACAGAGATCTCGGGTATGGATAGAGAGTTGGATGCGTTGAGGGAGGAGGCGAAGAAGAGGGGTGATGACCCCAAGGCGAGGAAGGAGGAGACGGAGAGTTGGGATTCGACGCATATCTGGGACTACGCTCCGAAGAACAATTAGGTTGGGTATTTGGTGATGGGTATATCTTGGGAAGGGGGGTTACTGTCACTGTTCACGCAAACCGCATGCACAGGGTAGGCGTTCAAGGGGGCGTTTTCGAATAGGGCGTACTTTGGTATCGTCGCGGCGAGCTTGCGCCGTGCATGAGAGCTTGCATTAGATTTCCGTCACTTAAGATAGTACTTAACGATGTGTTGTTCTCTCTGCTGAGTTTGGAATTTATGGTGCTGGTGAGGGGTTCTCTCACCTGTCGACCTGGTCAATCGATATATCTCGACTGGTCGTAGGAAAACAAAATTCAGTATCACGCATCTAATTTTCCCATCAACTTTATACGCACTGCATGCAATTGAGCTAGAGGTAAAAGTTCTCCACCGCCTTGCGCTGCCCATGCGGTCGTGCTGGTCTCCACAACCTTGGAAGCACCCGTTCGTACGACCAGGACGTGCTAAAGCCATTCTCAGCGCCTGCATCCCGCCCACCCGCAAACACCTCTCCATCTTCCCATCGCAAGCAATCAATCATCCGTTCCTATGACAAAGCCCCATAATACCAATACACCAAACAAGCAATCCTCTAACTTGACCATCATGCCCCTCCTGCCTCTTCAACTGCGGGTGGCTGGTGTGCCTGCCCCGGTGAGGCTCTGCTGCCTGCCCCATGGGAATGTCGCTACCACAGTCCGAGCGCGATCATCTCCGCGTCTGTCTCTGTTGTCTTTTTCTCTTTACGGAAATGTTTGACTGCCGTCTGAGACTGCATGTTTGATTCTGGTTTCTGGTGTCTTGTCATCTTTGTTGTTGGGGGTTTGACACGCGACCCGCTATGAATCTTTGTTGGTCGCAGTGACTGCAAAAGAGGTGGAATTCACAGCAGCAAGAGTCCCCGTCACCCCCGCATTCATTGCTTTCCGAAAGATCACGAGTGCTGCCTAGGGAGAAGAGAGAAATAGCAGTTTCGATGGTCTCACGGTTTTGAGGCTCTTGCACTACACGCGCGATACTTCACGCATACATCGAAATCTCGCCGACACATTGATTACCATTGCGAGTGCACGATGGAGGCGACGATTGATGACAACATCACGCTAGAAACGCCAAATTCAAAGCGGCGGCGGCAAAGTACACAGAGCACAGGCCCGAGAAGACGAAGCGAACCGAAGATCACCTTGCCGGCGTTAAGTGATTTCGCCAGGTCACATGTCGCAAACTGGACTCCCCCCGTGCCTGTCACGCCCGAATCGGAAGCACTACGAAGCCTGAAGAGTGAATGGAGACGCCAATCTCGCGAAGAGCCCATATACGATGGGTCAAAGTCCGAGAAGCAACTTCTGATTGTGGACCTGCAAGATTACGAGATCTATCGAACACCGGAGAGCGAGTGCAGGGCCTATGAGCTGACGAGCTTGCATTATTTGGAGGTTTCGATCGCAAAGAAGTTGTGCTTTGATGGCTTCATCTGCTTGGGATCGACCAAACACTACGTGCATGCAGTACCAATCCAGGATAGCTCTGTCGATGGCTACGGAGATGATGAGAACTCTGGTGTTACTACTCACGTACAGTCTACGTTTGCGAGTAAAGACAAGCAATACGACATCTGGTACAGGCTTGCTAAGCCTGCACCCGGCTACAAAGATTTTCAGAGATCGTTCCTCTGGGTAGCACAATTGGGAAAGCACATCATCGACTACGTGGACAGCCAAACCGTGGGCTCTGTTGGACTGAACGACTTCCACGAAGACTTCTATCAATGGCTCCCACTCCGCTTTGGCCAATGCGCGGACTTTCAGCAGTGGCATACTGCTTTTAGACGCCAAACTGATTTTCGCGTCGCCGTACATGCCTACATCGAGTACTTCTACAACCAGGCCTTTAACCTTTCGAACTCGAAACAGCTGCTTGCTCATCCACTCTGGAGCGAGTGCATGGCGAAAGGTTTAACAGCAGTGAAGGCGCAGAAGCAGATCATTGAGCACACCATCGCTACGCCGGAGGTCTACGATTGCTTCAAGGACATGTATTTCGGTGAGCAGATCCAAAAACAACGACCAGTCGACACAGTTCGTATCGAACAGGAGCGCAGGAAGCGTAGGCTTGGGTTCGCGAAGAACCCGTCGGCACAGCGATCGACCACCCCGCGACCAAACGCCTGTCAGCCGTATGGTAACTTACCAGTGAGGGTTGGAGACGTTGTTGCACTCGTTCCTGACGAGACAGACGCAACGGTTTGGCGCAACACGACCTGGGAGTGGCTGGCCTACGTTCAGGCTACGGAGTCCTTGGACAACGGAACGCAGAAGCTGTTCGTACTATGGATTTATCGACATCATGAGACGAACATCTTCAAAGCAAAGTACCCTTATCATAACGAATTTTTCTTGTCAGACAATTGCAATTGCTCCGAACGAGAGCTGTTATCTACAAACATCCAGGGAAAATACAAGGTAGACTGGTCACCATCCACTATCGATTCTCAGCGCTTCTTCATTCGCCAGACATATGTCACTCAAGACAGCGCCTTTATCAGCCTCCGATCGTCACATAAGACTTGCACTTGTCGAAGAGCAAAGAGCACACCCGTCGATGATTACGTTCGAGGCGATACAGTATACCTAGCAAGGACCCGGAACGGAGACATGTTCCTCGATCCGGTTGTCATCCAGCACATCGACCGCGCCAATGGAACTGTTAGAGTGCGAAAGCTACTACGACTTGAACGCGACTGCAAGGGACTAGCAACCAAAGCTCGGCGTCTCAACCTTGTGGCCAATGAGCTTGTCCTTACGGATGAAAACGAGGATGTGTCCGTAACGCGCATACAGAGGCGTTGTTTTGTCAAGTTTGTGTCTAAGGCCGACATTCAGAACGGCCGACTACCCTTCACCTGTAATCGAGGCGGTGCGGGCGATCTTTGGTTTCTGTCCATGGGGTTGGGCAGCGTGGACGGAGAGCATAAGCTTGTCTTCCTCCGAAGTCTTCCCAAGAGCTTCAACGAAGGCCCCGACATGACTTCTCCTGACCCGTTGAGAGGGATGAGCATCTTCAGTGGCGGTGGTTCACTCGATCGAGGTCTTGAAGAGGGGGGTGCAGTTACCTTTCGTTCCGCTGTTGACTTCAGTCCCCATGCCATCCATACTCAGCGGGCAAACTCGAAGAGCCTGGAGACAATGTGTCTGTTCTGTGGATCTGTCGATGACCATTTCGATGCAGCTCTAAAGGACAATAAACCGAACCTTGTTCCTCGAGTTGGAGAAGTCGACTTCATCGCTGCTGGATCTCCTTGTCCTGGGTTCTCGGCTCTCCAGCAAAATATACTCAGCGAGCAGTCCTTGAAAAATGCATCGCGTATCAGTACCTTCTGCTCGTATGTTGATCTATATCGTCCCTTGTACGGTATCCTCGAAAACGTGGTCAACATGGCCTCAATTCGGGCCGGATTCGAAGACCAGAATGTGTTATCTCAGGTTGTTGCTTCCCTCGTCTCAATGGGATACCAGTGCAACCAGTTCATAATGGACGCATGGAGCTACGGCAGCGTTCAGCAACGATCGCGCCTGATCCTTACGATAGCTGCCCCCGGACTTGAGCCGATTGCCCAACCTTGGCACACGCATGCAAGACCATACGAGGAGACTGCCGGAAGAAGCCTCGGTTATTTACCCAATGGGCAACGATTCGGCGAACGCGAGCACTATCCAACGCCCTTTCCGTACGTACCAGCGGTGACCGTCGATGCGGGATTGCCCGACATTGGCAATGGTATCATACAGACTTGTATCCCATTTCCCGATCACCGCTTATCCCAGGTACCAACGCGTAAGCAACGTGCACTGGTCAGATGCATTCCACGACAGCCCCCAGGATGTGATTACAAAGAAGCAGACCGACGCGGTCTTATCCCGACCTCGCTACGAGACCCGAGGACCGATATCGGGAAAGCGTACAGGAGGATCAAAGCAGCGGGACTGGTACCGACTATCACAACAAACATAGTCATCCGCGATTCTCGAAATGGCGCTACATTGCATTGGGATCAACATCGATCTATCAGTGTATTAGAAGCACGTCGTACACAGGGCTATGTGGATGAAGAGCCCATCATTGGTTCGCTTTCGGAGCAATACAAAATTGTCGGCAATGGTGTGGACCGCAAGGTTGCTTTTGCCATGGGTCTATCTCTACTACGGGCAGTTCAGAAGAACGAGTCGGGGTTCACTGCGAACGGGACGACACAGATCTCTTCTGAAGTGATAGACATTACTAGCGATGCCGAGACATCTCCGATTCAGAAGAGTGCTACGAAGCCCAAACCCCAGTTAAATTCACACGATGTGTCAGCAGTCCGAAAGGAGCAACTCCGCAGGAGTTCCAGCCCGGTAGTTGCGATACCCGGACGAGGGAAAACGGAAGGCACTACTGCGAGTATGAACAGTACCCCGGGGCCATCTAGAAGGAATGCGAGCATCTCGAATGGCGCAACAAGCGAATTCTCACAAACTCCCTCTATATCACAGCCTGATGCCTCGGTCACCCAGACCTCTGGTTTCTTCTCCCGACTTTCCAAATCTCTCGCCGCTGGCGCCGGTCAACTTTCTTTATCGAGCATTTCCGATTCTTCCTCTGCCCCGACTTCGTCACCAGCGCCCGTGAAACGCAGTCGAGAAGAGGATGAGGATCCTTTTGCACCAGAAAGCCAGAGCCGCTCACCAAGAGAGCGACCAAGGAAACAGCCACGTGTCAGCGAAACGCCATCGGCACAAGACGTAATCAAGAGTGAAACGGAACCTCGTAGGAGGAAGTCCGTGTTCTCGCATCGAAGCGGCAGCGTAAGTTCTACGAGCTCGAGCAAAACTCGTTATACTCGTAATTCAGGGCTGTCTGTGGAGTATGTCCCGAAGAACTGGAATAAGAGAGCTGAAGTAGAGACACGTGAATATATCTTTGAAGAGGAGTTTATCCAGGCTGATTAGCAGATCTGACATGTTGGTGGAAGAGTTGAGGAGCGATTTTGGAGATGGCGGGTCATCTCTGGCTGTGGACCAAGTAGCTGGACCACGCGTTGCGAATACCCAATATTTTGGCAGTGAATCGATATCTAACAACCATCGTGTGGATTTCTGTAACTCGAATCAACATGTGAAACTTCGCAATACCACTTATGACCACCATCTTGTAATGCATCTACTCATAGTGATGCATTCCACATCCGGACTAGTGCGGCTCTATTTGCGCCCGCCCGATCTCGCCAAAATGCGGGACAACGTTTTTAGGGAACAACGACCAACCCCACGATTCATAGTCACCAAACCCAAACATGAAAATTACGGAGTCGACCGAGATTACGCTACCAGCGGCGTATGACGCTCATGTACATCTTCGCGATGGCGAGATGTCGCAGCTTGTTACGCCTACGATTCGTAAGGGTGGTGTGAATCAGGTGTATGTTATGGTGAGTTTGGTAGACTTCGTATTCCAAGCAGAACGTTAGTTTCTATCTTTGTTTCTGTCACGGTCATTTCGTTCTCCGTTGTTCTCGGTTTCTATCTATACGTACTTCCCAATCTCTTCTCAACACAGCATCTTTGTTACGTTTCTCTAACCCATCTTATCATCACTGTAGCCCAACCTCGTCCCGCCTATCACATCAGTGAAGCAGTGTCTCGAGTACCGCGACAGGCTTCGTGCTATTGAGCCGAATGTGGATTACGTCATGTCGCTGTACCTACACGAGGATATCACGCCTGAGGTCATTCGTGAAGCGAAGAAAGCGGGCATTACGGGTGTCAAGTCTTACCCAGCTGGAGTTACTACGGTAAGTGAAGTCCTGCCCATTGACCCTCAAACCATGCAAACCGGTAGAGGGATAGGGGAAGCGCGAAGCGAAAGACTACTCGCACGAAAGACGGACTGACCCTTTCCCTAGAATTCTTCCTCCGGCGTCCTCTCCTATGAACCCTTCTACCCCGTCTTCGCCGAAATGGAGAAACAAAACATGGTTCTAAACCTCCACGGTGAAGTCCCGTCCACCCCACCAAACACGCACGTGACGACAACCAAAGACAGCAAAACAGGCGCCATCACCATCCTCAACGCCGAACCCGCCTTCCTCCCCACCTTCTTCTCCCTGCACAAGAAGTTCCCCAATCTGCGTATCATCCTCGAGCACTGCAGTACCGCTGCTGCTCTGGAAGCCGTACGCTCCTGCGGGCCATCTGTCAGCGGCACTATTACTGCCCATCATCTTAGTCTTATTATTGACGATTGGGCGGGGGATCCATTTTGTTTCTGCAAGCCCGTTGCTAAGACACCCGAGGATCGCGACGCTTTACTCCGCGCCGTGGTGCAAAGCAACGGGAAATTTTTCCTCGGCACGGATTCCGCGCCGCACCCTAGGGGCAAGAAGAGGGGCGAGGATAAAGTTGCTGCGGGTGTGTTCACGCAGCCGTATGCATTGGGATACGTCCTAGATGCGCTCGAGGTGGGAATCAAGAGGGGAGTTGTCAAGGAGGAGGAGGTGAGCCAGGAGGTTCTAGAGGGCTTCTTTGGCGGGTGGGGGAGGGCCTTTTATCAGATTGAGGATGAGAAGAAGGAGAGGGTTGTGTTGAGGAAGGGCAAGGAGACGGTGGTGGATGTTTTGAGGAAGGAGGGGGGTGGAGATGTTGAGGTCGTGCCGTTTAGGAAGGGGGAGGTTACTTGGGGGGTAGAGTGGAAGTGAGGGTTTGTCTGAACCATGGCTGGGAGATGAGAGGATATCTTCCGCGTAGTGTGGATTGACGTCGGTCACAAACATAGTGTCATCAGTGACAATCTTTCCATCTTCAGACATCAAAGTCTTCTCCACTATGCCAAGTTCGTTGTCAGCTGAAGCAGAAATTGGCGGTGAAAAGTGAAAGGCCAGTATGATTCTGCAATTCTAGATCTTTGTCAGCAGGCGGAGACATCGATCTCGGATATCTTGTAGTGCACAGCACTAGAGAGTAGTGCCTATGACACCGAGCTCCTCGAACGAGTTCTATCACGTCGTAATATCTTGATATGCCTACGTTGAGTTCATGCTCTCAAGTAACATCATGTCTTAGCCTCATGATACGCCTACATGACGCCTGTACAGAGTAGAAGCAGTGCGTGATCTCCCATGTAGTCCTTAACTTTATATCTTAGATTCCCTACACTGATCCCAATTGCCATATCGCCGTCACGCTCTCTTCCACTCTCACATACAGCTCCCCGCTCCTCTCTCTCTGCCGAACTGACGGTGAACGTAAGCAGTGAGCCGCACTTTTCACCGCCAAGACAGCATCGAGCGTTTGCATCCACGACGCCATAACGAAATTTTTCGTGCCGATGCGTTTTGAGCTTCTTCAGCAACACCCACTGATTACACTTGTAAGTATTCTCTCTTTCCGTTACCGCATCAATGTCTTTGCATACTACATCAATTCTAGCAGCTCTTTATGTCACCTCATCTCACTCTCTACCCCCTACATTTACCCCAGTATCTCACTCCCCTTCCTGTATCTCGCTATCTACCGCCTACATCCACCCCAACACTTCCTCCCACACCCCCCAGATAACCGCGTAGTCACCATGACTACCGCCATCGACGCCACGATCCTCTCCTTCGCGGCAACGTCGCCGGCATGGCCCGCCATGCCCTCCCTCGCGACGACCAACCTCGGTCGCGACATCGCCATCGGAGTCCTCGCCATAGAGGCAAATCAAACCCGCCTGCGGGCTTTACTTCCAGAACAGCTTGCTACGGCCAACGAGCTCGAGGAGCTTGAGACGATTTCCGGTGAGTTGAAACTTTGCGTGCAGAGATTTGAAGCGTTTCTGATGAGGTGGGATGGGGAGATCTTAGGTTTGGGTTTGGAGGAGGGGGAGGTTTTGGAAGGGGAGGAAGATGAGGAGATGGAGGACGACGACAATTCGCTTTCACCACCACCACCACCACCCTCACACGGGCACATCCCTCGTCCCATCGTACATATCGACCCCAACACCATCAGCGTAGGCGACATCGGATGGGCGCCACTCCCCCGCATGGCAGCCACCTCGCGCCCCTGGTTCGTCCCGTCGGAGTACGGCCAAATCTGCATCAAAGTCTATCCGTTCATCATCGTCAAGAAGATGGAAGACTGCATGATTGGCGTAGTTATCTCGACTGCCAGAGGCAATGGCCTCGCCAACAAGACGGCGTCGCTTCGTGCGCGCAGCACCTACGTCGTTGGAGCCAATTTCAGAGGCTACAGCGATGTCTCTTACGGTGAGGGCATGGGACCCAAGGGCATGAATCTGGAGGTGGATCAGACGCAGGCGTATGTGCCTCGGTTTGGTGCCTTCGTGGACGTGTTGGACACGTACCAAATCCCGTACAACACGAGGTGGAAGCCAGAGGGGCGCCTGACGTACACCAGCCCGGTAGACTTGGGACGGATGAGATACGCAGTGCTGAAGAAGGATGCGCTGGGGCGTCGAGTTTGGGAGTGGTGAGTTTGGGGGAGGCGTTTGGGGACTACAGCATGTTTTGAAGCGTTTTGTATATTAGTACAAGGTAGCGTAATTGGCTTCGCGTACTTTCTACTCAGCGAGTAAAAGACTTGTCCTGCTATGTATTCATCAACTACCTTTTTGCCATGTCCGTGCACACACCTGCGACGCTTTGTATGTCTCAGACCTATTTTACAATATTCCTCCATATCCGTGCTACTGCTTGTAGTTCCCTGAAGCTACTGCAATCCGCTATGATTCGTTCCTGAGATTCAAGATAGCCGTTCTTGTTTATAATCCTCTTGATCCCCCGTTCCCGTTCACGTTCCGACAAGCCGATAGGACGTGGGATAGGACAATGACGATGCTCCAAAAGAGCATCTACTTGTTCGCGGATCTCGTCACTCAGTACTCTGGCATCGACCAGCATTTCTCCCTCTCTTGACGAATTGAAACACCTTGAGTCTATGTCGTTTGACCAGGCATGATGGTCCGAATTCCTACATACTCTGACGTGCCAGATGAAATTATGATATATTCGCTGTTTTGTGAGCACAATGTGATGGATACAGGTTGTTACGTCACTTACTATGAGTTCCACTCGATCTCCCTCATTGTAGCGCAACCAATCCTCCACGACGGCTTCGGTGCCCATGCTTCTGCCGGTGTATGCACGTTTGAATTCGTCAAGCCTGTGAACAGGGTATAAGTGTTCACGCCGAATCATACCACTCCTTTCAGACACATTCTCGGACGGTTCAGTAGTGCCGAACCACCACTGCGCATCTATCTTCTGTAATCTGTGTATCCGATCGTGTGGATCGTAACTCAGCTTCCCGGGGTCTTGAGTAGAATAGCTTTGGGTACAAATAGCTTGTACGCTTGCAACGTGGGGATTCCTCCAGGCCCTATCAACCGGATCACTGATAAGAGCAATCTCAGGCCTGTTAGCAGCTGAGTCTTCTTCTGTGCTTGACGGGTCGGTATCAAAGTCCGGGTCGCCAAACGTTGCAGTTGTAGAATGATTAGTGATTATGCTTGCATTGTCGAAATCAGTATTCAACCGGTGACTCATGGCAGCGTTGAAAGCTCTGGAGTATACTCCGGATTCAAAAAGGGCAGATTCGAAGTCTCGTTCGGAAGAGATGTCAGTAGGACTGGGAAGGGTTGAGAGATTGCTCAAGAGATTACTAGCGGGTTGAACGGGTGCGTCTGAACAAGACTGCTGTTACAACCTAGCGATGAGGTATAAAGAAGAACGTCCTAATTGCCACCAGAAAGAGAAGGAGGCTTTCAGCTGCAGCCTGCTGTTTGACGTGTGGTTCTATTACCTCCAAACTTCCGTGGTCGTCAATATGCTTATTCCCGTGCTCGTGCGTCCGTCGGGATCCTGTCGTAGACGTCAAGTTGAGCTATCGCGCTTACATCACACGGCGCGGAAAGCCGTGGCTTTTGAACATTTTGTGAATTTCTGGAATGCCTACTGTGCCATACGGTATAGCATATCTACCGTCGAGCACCCTCCCATAGAATGCATGACTGCTACCATCATTACATATTTCTTCCAGGCTTGATATCCCACACGACGAACGAGACCAAGCCTTCCAGTCAGCGATAGGCTCTTTGCGGATAAGATTCACGTCAAGTAGTCCGTCGCCAAAGCCCGGGGCTGACGGGGCTCTAACCTCCCTTCCTAGGGGCGTTGGGCACAGCCACCGGAGCGCGAGCTACTCCTCCCGCAGACGCGCCCTTCTTACGCTGGTAGAAGCGTTCAACGACCTTGCGAACGTGGTTCTCGGCCTGGACTTTATCGGCGGGTGCTCTGATGCTGTCGAGCGTGTATGGGGCTTGAATAAGGACGGAGTCGCTAACGACAATCTGTGTGTCTGCCCACCGGGTAGGTAGACTGTAGTTCACATGTCAGCTCTGATACCTCACATCTGCCAGCTCTGATATGACTCACGTTCTCGAAATAGCATCGAACAACTCCTGTGCTTCAGCACTAACACCCTTGCCCTTCTGCATATCCTTCTTCTTCATCTCGCGGATGGTCTGGTCTTCGCGGGCTTGCAGCGCGGCCAGATCCACCTTAGAGATGCTGGGGAGTGCGCCATCGAACCCTGCTGCGGATTCAGCTGCCCGCTCTCCTGTGCCGATGATCTCGAATGACTCGATGTGTGCGAATGGGATGATGTGATAGTCGCCGGGCTGACTGAAGATGGAGGCAGAGGGGTTCGGTGGAGCGGGCGCGGTGTTGATGGCTATAGCGTGGGTGAGGTTGCAGGCCGTGAAGAGGGTGCCCTCGAGGACGTTCTTGCCAGGGGCACATGTTACTTTGATGCTGGAAACTATCAGCTACTATCCCAGCGGTGATACGATTCAGACGAGCGGAACGTACCGTGACCCAACAGCCTTGTACAGATCGGAATCGGCGCCAATGACATCTTTGTTCGATCCAGGGCCGGCTTTTAGGTTCGGAGTCGCAACCTTGCCCGCAACGCTATTGCGCTTGTTGTCCGCCATGGCCTCCTGCTCTTGTGTGCCTCGTCTAGGCGACTGTGTATTACAGGCGGCGGAGGCTAACGTGTTGCTCCGCTACAATTGATCTCGTCAGCACCTAGTCCCTGCCCAGATCTACGACTGAGGACCTAATGCCAGAGACTCATACAAGCAGTGAATATACAATCCAAAGGAATGAAAGAAATGAAAACGCGACGACGCACGCGCGACCGGGTCGTAGGGCAGCGCTGGCGTGGCGGAGCTATCGGAGCTCGAGGCGGGTGGGTTGGTGTTGTCCTGATGCGCTGCAACTTTCCGTGGTCGCGATGCCAAGCCTTTACGCAGGGCGCTTGCCGCTGGGCCAATGATACCGTGTACCTAAGTATGTCTCTGGAGGCGCTTTCCGTCCCGAGTGTATCCTAATTGCTGGGAAGCCGATGCGCGTGCGACCTCGTAACAATGTTCATTTCATAGTGGGGTGGCTCGTCAAGGGTCTACCTGGAGGTACGCGACGATCAACGCTAACTTCAGCTAGCGTAACAGTAACAACACAGCGGTCACGCTGAGCTTCAAACAATCACCAGCACATGCAGATATTGGTCATGCGAATCGTTATATTCATTCTAGATTCGAGGTATCTCAGTTTTCACGTTCGTCATAAAACATGAACTCGGGGCAGCCCTCTGCTCCCGTCTAATAAGCAATGGATATCCCCTTTTTAAGCGTTGTAGGTCTGGCGAAATGTTAGTATTATCCAGATTGTGGACTTGCATGAAACTTACAGAAGCAGAGATGTTTCCACCCCTTCCGGTCCAGTTGACGTGGATGTCCTGGCCCTCCTTGTAGGTCTCGTTGGCGTACTCGGGCTTGATCCTGAAGGTGTGGGCACCGAAGTAGTCACGCTGCGCCTGCAACAGGTTGGCGGGCAGGTCCTTGGCGCGGTATCCGTCGTAGAAGCTGAGAGCGGTGCTGAAAGCAGGGGTGGGGATACCCCAGAGAGCACCCTTGGAAACGACGTCTCTCCACCCGGACTGAGCCTTGTGGATAGCCTTGCTGAAGAAGTCGTCGAACAGCAAGTTCTCGAGCTCGGGGTTCTGGCGGTAAGCCTTGGTGATCTCCTTCAAGAAGACGGAGCGGATAATGCATCCACCGCGCCACATGAGGGCAATCTCGGGCTTGTTCAGCTTCCACTTGTACTCTTTGGCGGCGTTCTGGATCAGCATGAATCCCTGGGCGTACGAGATGATCTTGGATGCGTAAAGAGCCTGCTCGAGGTTGTCGATGAATGCCTGGCGGTCGCCAGAGAAGCTGGGGGTGGGGCCGTCCAAAAGACCGGCGGCACGGCCACGCTCCTGCTTGAGCGAACTCAGGCAACGAGCGAAGACAGCCTCTCCGATCAGAGTAACGGGCATACCGAGGTCGAGCGCGTTGATGGCGGTCCACTTTCCGGTACCCTTCTGACCAGCAGAGTCCATGATCTTCTCAACGATGGCAACACCATCGTCGTCGTTCTTGTACATGATGTCACGGGTAATCTCGATCAGGAATGAGTCGAGAACGCCCTTGTTCCATTGTGTGAAAACGTCGCCAATCTCCTTGTTGCTCATGCCGAGACCGCGCTTCATGATGTCGTAGGCCTGTTTCTTGTCAGTCACTTGTTTCGTTCCGTACGGCCATTTCGTCTCACCTCGCAGATCAACTGCATGTCACCGTACTCAATACCGTTGTGGACCATCTTGACGTAGTGACCGGCACCCTCGTCACCAACCCATTGGCAGCAGGCCTCGCCGTCGGACTTTGCGGAGATGGACTGGAGGACATCCTGAACATTGTTAGACTTGTCCTACGCACTTTTTCCGAACACCTACCTTGATGTATGGCCAGGCCTCCTCGTTACCACCGGGCATAATGCTGGGACCGTAACGGGCACCCTCCTCTCCTCCAGAGACACCAGTTCCGACGAATCGGATGCCCTTGGACTTGAGGTAGTTTGTGCGGCGGTTGGTGTCGGGGTAGTGGGAGTTACCACCGTCGATGATGATGTCGCCCTCCTCGGCACCTCCCTCGAGGAGGAGCTCGATGAAGTCGTCAACGGGCTTACCGGCCATGACGAGCATCATCATGCGGCGGGGCTTCTTGAGCTTGGAAACGAACTCCTTGATGGAGTGGGCGCCGACAATGGACTTGCCCTTGGCCTCATCGTTCAGGAAACGGTCGACCTTGGCAACGCTATCTTCCTGTCAGTGTGTGTTGGCGGCGCGGTGTATCGAGGCGCTTACGTTCGGTTGAAAGCAACAACGGTGAAGCCGTGGTCAGCACTGTTTGATGTTAGTATTGCTTTGGTATGGCTATGACGTTGGTTGTGACTTACGCGTTGAGGATCAAGTTCTGGCCCATGACCTATGTCAATAGTCAGCATGGCTTGCCTCTTGATACATTGGGGGTGAATGTCTCCGGATAATTCGCGCTTCCACTCAATGGCTGACAGGAAGGTGCGAAGACGCGCACTTTCTGCTGCACATTTCGTGGACGCGATCGGGATATGGAGTACTTACGGCCAGGCCGATGAGGCCGAAATCTCCGACGGGCTCAGAAGACATGATTGCTGTTCTCGTGTAGGTGTAGGTGGGTGGATGAGAAAGTGTTGGCGGGGTAGAATTGCAGCGACCGGGCGTGCAATACGAGGGCAATTGAGGCTTATAAAGCGGGAGATGGTCAAGAGAAGGAAGAAGAAGTCTGGTGGGGGTCGTCAAGATATGTACGCGGAAAGTCTTTGGAACAAGCGGGGCACACTACTATTGCATCAATGGCACGTCCCACCACCATATCCCAGCATCACGCTGTTGACGGAGCATAGCTTCGGCCGCGGCGGTAAGGTATGTCATACAAGCCACTGTTGCCAATTCCGTCTTGTAAACGTTTGCACTGCTGCCGATATGATTGCTGAACATGGCTTCGCATGATTAGAAAGCCGCCGTCGCATCGGACGGCCTGGACACGGGTGGGTTTGCGCATGTGGTTGCAGATTCCTACGAAGACTACATTCACCATTGATGTCGATTTTATCCTAGCAGACTAGCGACGCAAGCAACAGTCCCAACGGCGTCGCGGTCAAATGCGGCTGCTTGTGAGGCCCCTCCGTCTCAGCCTTAACACAGCATTACGCAGTACGGATGGAGGGGCAGCGTGCAGGGATCACCGGATACGCTAGGTAAGGTCGCCGGAGAAGTCTTGCAATGTTGTTTCCAAGGCTACCTGGATGGACGGTGATGGCTGACGCGATGTGAGAAAACTCATCACCGCTGGCGCCTTGTGCATCGCGCTGCAGCGCCCTGCTGGCTGTTCAAGGTTGAGCCTTGCGGTGCAGAGTGCTGTGCAGCGGCTGCCGATATGCCGGCAACACGTGATTTCGGGGCCGGAGGAGCCGCTTGGCTCACTTTCTGCGACAGATACCAACAACGTCGACGCCCCCATCGCCTGACGCATCCCCACGGTAATTGTAATTTGCACCGGCGGCCCGCCATCCCACTCTGCCCTCTTCAAACGCCGACTCACTCCTCGCCCACCTGCAGCCTCGCTTGCTAGACGCTTCGGGAAAGTCTTGTTGCGTTCTGCCACTTTCGACGTGTAGTCAGCATCAGATCCAGTCATTCACGCGCACGGCACTGCCCGGGCGGTTATTCACTCACACGAACGCGCTTCATTGAGAGGCATTTTTCACAGCCATACAGAAACTGCGCCTCACCTCATCGGTACACCACGACCATCCGCGCCCGTGCTTGCCATAATCACTCATCAAAATCTGCGAACCGTAGATTACTACGCATCCTCAGCCACCCGACCGTCCTATCACCAGTCTACCCACTCCGCAACATCAGAGCGCGTCTCGACCAGTAGCTGGTTAAGTCATCACCTCGCTAAGGTTAAGCTGAACTGACCCGCAGTTCCTACTCCAACATGCAGCCCCATCACTCCCTGCCAGCGCGCCCGCCGCCAACGACATATTCGGCACCGCCTTCAAGGACCAACAACGCTGGCGCACGAGGCCAGGGCAACTCGCCCATGTTTGCTGGCTTCACACCACGCGCCGTGGCAGCGCATGCTCCCCCACAGGCGTCTGCTGCGCCGGCAAACTACGCGCAAGCCCCAGTGAGCGCCCCCTACCAAGCACCCGCGTACCCGACCAGCAATACTTACAACAACTACTCGTATCCAGCCTACGCGACGGGCGCACCTGCTGCGGCCTCATACCCAGCTGCTTCGACCATGAACCGCGGATTTACTGGCACTTATGATCCCGAAGAAGAAGCCCGAATCGCCGAGTGGAACAGCGCATACAATGCTGGCGATGCAAACGCGAAGAAGGGCACCGGAGCAAATACGACCGCCCGACCGGAAGCCGCAACCACTCAGGATACCGAGGCAGGACCAGCAGCCGACGGCAAGCGCAAGACCGTCGTTCGAGAGGGAGGCGGAAAACAGTGGGAGGACGAGACTCTGCTCGAGTGGAACCCCTTGCACCCGCGACTCTTCATCGGTAACCTGGCGGGTGAAGTCACCGACGATTCACTCCTCAAAGCCTTCGCCAAGTACCCGTCTCTGTCCAAAGCCCGCGTCGTACGAGACAAGAAGTCTACCAAGAGCAGGAGTTATGGTTTCGTGAGCTTCTCAGACACCGACGACTACTTCCGTGCCGCCAAGGAGATGAACGGCAAGTACATCGGCAGTCACCCAGTCCTCATCAAGCGAGCCACATCTGAGGTCAAGGCCGTCGTAAAGAAGGACGACAAACACAAGCAAGGAAAGAACAGGAACAACAAAAACAACAAAGAAAAATCTGGAAACGGCAACAACAGTGCACCCGCGGCAGTCGCATCTCCCGCCATGTTCATACCTCGTGGTGTCCAGAAGAAGGGCAAGTCGAATGGCCCGAGAGTCCTGGGTTGAGCGACCCTTGTGTGGTTACAGACGGTATCGACAACACGGCATGACGGACTGCCCAGGCATGTACAACAACTACGTACCCATGTGTACTCCAAACACTTCCAAGGTTAGTGGAGTCACTTCTGTTCTCTAGTTTTATGTTTGTTCGAATGATTTTTGTCTTTTGCTTTGTGTTCAAGCGTTAAATGGATTTTCAGCAGTGTCAAGTATGACGAATGCGGCGGAAGAGGCATGCCACGGTGTACAAGACACATCTGCGCGACGAGCGTATGTGTGCAGTTGGCAACGTGGTGGGGATCAAGAGCCAAGGGCTCCTTGATGTGTCTAGGTTCAAGGAACAGACGCCTGGCGGAAGTGGATCAACCGAACCAAATTTAGACAGCTCACATCAACATGCAAAACTGAAGACTGCCGTGAAACCCGTCTCTTGTCCGCATATGCCTCATCTTTCCCTACATCCCCCTACCCATCCAACCTCTTCACGCTCTCCACAACCCCCTCCCTATCCCCCTCCACGCCCAAACAATCCAAAAAATCATAACTCATATACTCTCTTTTGGGCACCCTCGCCCTCCAACAAAGCCTCGTAGTACAATACCTCATCTTCTCTTTCCAGACCGCATCCTCACTAGTCCCCCACCTCGCCTGACCACTCCCAATCCACGTATACCGCACCGCACTTGCATCATCCTTCTCCAACACCGACCCATCTCTTCTCTTTAAGTTTAATGATTTACACGCCTCAATCTGCCCCTCTAACCCCGGCCAATCCGGCAGCAAATCTTCTCTCGTTTCGAATTCTAGATTAACTTCTTGACATGAAGCCGGTAGGGTTAAGGACGCCAGCGTCTCAACCAGGCGCTGTCGTTCTTTTAACTCTGCAAGGAGTGGAGGAAGCAGGTACGCACATATCGTCCACGTAATCCTGCGCCAACACAAATGGCTTAGTAGAAATTTAGAGAAGTTTGAGGCTTTCAGCGCGACGAGGTTGTCGTGGAGATGGTACAACTCAAGTCCGCGCTGCGAGGTGATGTGGTGCAGCCAGATGTCGCCGTTATAGAGCCATGATGTGGAGCCTAGGTAGCGGAAGTGGTGGGTTGCGCTGCGAAGAGGGATTCGGTGGGCTTCGACGTATATCAATCTGCACGTGAGTAACAGGGCTGTGTCGATCTTGGTAAGGTATGTGTGCCGCGGTCGGTATAAAGGGGAGATGGAGTGTAGATCGACGGGTCGAGAGTGGTCGTGGCGTTGGGAAAGGACGTGTTGGTAGATTGTGAATCGGATTTCTGCTGGGAGTGTGGAGAAGAAGTGGGATTGGAGCTGGGGATGGGAGGTTGAGGGTGTTAGGGAGGCGAGGTGTCGGCGGGTGGCGCGGGCGGCGCGTTGGCGGGTGTAGCGGCCTTTTGGGAGGGATTTGGGTTGTGGCATCTTGTGTTCTTTGTTGTTTTGATGTTGAGGTTTTGGATGTATATGTTAAGTGGTTGGGCTGGGTGATGTGTATGACGTCGTTTGGCGAGGCGATTGATTGAGATTTTACTGCCCTTCCTCACCGAAGTCCAACGTAAATGTCCTTGAATTCCCCAATACTAGCTCTTGATTCTATGAGTGACCGGCACATTGGTAACTTGAGAAGATATTGAGTGCATGTGTAGCCGGAAGCATCGTGGTGCAGCATGTGAGCTCTCGTCATGGTCCGTGCGTTAGCACAGAGCCTTCCTCTTCACATGCACTCTTGCCTCAGCTTCATCACTCCGGTAGTACTGACTCCGTCTCGTCAAATATAGTGCAAGAAACTCACAAAGGTATTGTGCCTCCATTCTAATGCAGTTGTGACTGCATGAAAGTCTCATCTGGGCTCTGAGGAGCAGCGGAACAGAACGGTTGACGCAGACCTCGGATGTGCTCATGATCGACTCTCAGCTTGAGACCTAGTGTAACATTCGACTCCTCTCACCTCGGACACAACCGGAGATATAATTGAGGGCATATAGCTTTTGCCTTCCTCTTATCAGCAGTCCTTGATGATGAAGCTTTTGCCTCCAGTTGCCTACCGCGATGACTTGCCTAAGGTGTCTAGATAAGAAGAGTTCGCATTTGGCCCCAGCTTACGACGTGTAGTAACGGGTTACCAGGAGCTTCCCTATTTTTCGACAAAACGATACCATGCCACCTGTGAGGCCGCCTCACCTGGCAACAATCTCGAATAATTCCAAGCTGTGGACTGCTTTCACATCGAGTTACCGGGGCCTCGAATTGTGTAATTACACACAACATCTAGAAGCACACTTACTACACAGTGCAAAAGTCTATTCAGTAGCCCTACGAAATTGCGCCCACGCGGGAAAGCCCATAAAACAAAGGCTCTCAATCTCTTCCAGGCCCCGCGGCAACCTCCAGTCTCACTCCAACTCATTACCCGCAAACCACTCAAGTCGTCCCTTTAGTAGTCTCAGCAAATCTACCAAAATGGCATCTCAACAAACAGACTCAGAGTCGTCCAGCCCCGCATTTTCCATTGAGTCAACAACACCAGTTGCACCGGACAGTTCTGCGTCAGACTCATCAGCTACCTTCGACTTCGATGCCGTCCTAGCCAAGCACAACGTTACCAAGAAGCGTCTCAACGAAGTCCACAATGTACTCATTGACATTGCCACGGATGCAGGAAAGATCATGGTTGCAGCCGAGGACTGCATCATCACGACCGTCCATAAAAAGAACACATCCGACGTAGTCACCAGATTCGACAAGCAAATCGAAGCTATGGCAGAGGAACGCCTTGCCCAATCCTTCCCCGAATACACTTTCCTCGGCGAAGAGACGTTCAAGCACGGCACGAAGCTCGCAGACACGCCGACATTCATTGTGGATCCAATCGACGGCACGCTGAACTTCTCACTTGGTGTACCCAACTGTGCCATCTCACTGGCCCTAACGCTCGACAAGAAACCTGTCGTTGGCGTCGTGTTCAATCCTTTCCGCGGAGACATGTACCACGCGATCAAGGGTCAAGGCGCCTACCTGACCAAGACCTTCACCAACCACAAGATCAAGCTACCCGTCCAGCCCATACCTAAATCGATGCCATCGCTCAACTCCTGTCTCATAGCCGTCGAATGGGGCAATCAACGCTCTGGTCCAAACTGGGCCCTGCGCACATCAATCCACAACGCTCTCCTCACCTCCAAAGATGAGGGCGGCGCAATGTGCAAGTCTGTACGCTCAAACGGGTCCGCGGCACTAGATTTCTGCTACGTGGCTCACGGTATGCTCGACGCATTCTGGGAAGGTGGTGTGTATTCCTGGGACGTTGCTGCTGGTTGGTGTATTCTGGAAGAGGCTGGTGGGGTTGTTGTGAGCGCTAATCCTGGGGACTGGGATCCGGAGCTAGAGGGTCGTCTTTACTTTGCCGTGCGCAATGCGAAGCGCGAGGATCAGCGTGCTGTTATTCAGGAGCTTTGGGGGATGATGGGGGATAGGAAGTTTGTGTTTCCCTGAGTGCGGTTCTTGGGTGCTTTCACGGCATGGGGATGGTATAGAGGATTTACATGCAGTACACGGCTAGGATCTGGGTTGTTCGGTCAGGCAGTTTGTCCTGCAATAAACTCATACATGATGATATACAAGTATATGAGAATCCCTTCGATATGCTTTCGCTGCCTTGACCAAAAGCAAGTGAGCACCATTGTCGCTGCACGTTATTTGCGGTTGTAATGCTCATTCCTAATGCGTAGAGAGCAGTAATGGAGCCGTCCTAACTTCTGCGACTGATGGCTTCCACAGCACCTATAGACCCTCATGTTTGAAGAAGTGACGACAAGCACCTGCTTCTTCATCTACCGTGAAACCCAAACAAACTTCCTCCATCACACTCTCACCCCAACACACCTCACTGCATGACCATCCATCCACATCGAAGCATCTTTTGCTGCCACACCGTTATTGTATAGCACATCCCTATCATCAACTCGTCATACGCTTAATCGGCTCTACACTCACCACCTCGATCAGGCTGTCTCGCAGCTCAGTGTCAGTGTAGCTGCATCTTGTGCAGTCCTTGCACGTTTCTCCTACCACGCTCGACCTTCAGTCCTTCGTAACCTACATCACCATCACCAGCGCCTTCAACGAGACCCGCAGTCCATGTAGCACCACACCCACTGAGTACATGCCCTTTGACACCCGACGATCCAACCCAACCCGACCCAAACGCCACACGCACACATTTCGCCCAAGATTAACCCATAAACGCCGCACCGTCTTCGACCAAGGCCACAACCCCAGAACAACTTCCTTCACCGGTAGGCCTCTCACCGCAACCGAGAGACTACACGTAGCCCGCCAACGCCTCCGCAAGTTCGAGAGGACACAATCCCGCAAAGCCCAACGGAAGACTTGGACCCGTAACGGAACCCGATCTACACCAAGCAAGCTCGACAGAATCCACCTCAAGCTGAAGAGGATCTTGACCGGCAGCTTCTGAGCACCTCCACGTCTACACTCTGACGCCTTGAGTGTGTTTATGAGCACGACTGCTACTTGTGTAACAAGCGCTGTATCTTGTGGTGTACTTCAAGCCCCAGTCCAGGGACAAGGTCGAACATTTTCCAACCACCGGCCGAGAGCCACCAATCCACTCGAACCACGCGAGAGGAGAAGGATTGTCGAAGAGCGACCACTACGCAAGCTTAGACGTCGAGAAGCTAAAGCGAAGAGGAAGGCGAACCGCACGTTGAAGAAGGGACTCCGTGCTAAGATAGCCGACTTCTTTGGTATCTTCCGTCTTTGGTAGGCACCTAAATCCCACCTTTTATGACCTGTGCAGCCACATCTGCAGGTTGTGGAGTTAATACAGCGTGCGTATCATCAGCGCCAGTATTCACGAGCATATCCGGTGGTGTCTCATCTGCAAGCCCACCAATCTGGGCACCTAACTCTCCCAGTCGCCATCTCACCGCTGAGGAGAAGGAAGAGCTGCAAAAGAAGAAAGAGGAACGCACAGAGAAAAAGCAACAGCAGAAGGAGGTTCGAGACGGGGCCAAAGCAGACACCAAGGCCAAGATTCAAGACGCGGGTAGCACGAAGGCCAAACTTCGGCTTTACGTCACCTTGCTCAAGCTCAAGCTTCACCTCTGAGCTTGAGATCAGTATATGGCAGACGGTGGAGATTGTGGTGGTAGCTATAGCTCCGGCGACTGTGGCGGCGGCGACTCCGGCGGTTGTAGCACATCCCATACCGCAGGTGACGGGGGCAGCTACTCGGGCGGGTTTTCAGGAACCGATTACATCCCACAAGGCTCCTGGTCCAGCCCACCGTTGACAGCCGAGGAGCGCGCGGAACGCGACCACAAACGCAAAGAAGAACAAGAGAAGTACGAGCGTAAGAGAGCGGAACGCAAAGAGGAGAAGAATCAAAGAAGGCTAGTCCGAGCAGAAACCGTTGCTACAGTCAAGACGAAGCGCCGCGACTCCAATAAGCTGAAGGAGAAGCTCCGTCTGACCACCACGCTACTTACGCTCAAGCTTCATCTTTAAGCGACACCCAACACACACCTGAGGCCTTGAATGGAGTCTTCATTCGTCGCCGCAGATTCTGCAACGACATCCTCAGGCGACTGCGGAACGACATCTGGAGATTGTGGAGCCGACTCGAGCGGCAATAGCGGAGGTGACTGTGGTGCTGATTCAGGGAAAGACTGTACCGACACAAAACTTCATCCGACTGAACGAGAATACAAGTACACCGACTTCGCCGCTGGACCCGAGACAGCCACTGCCGGTCCTTCCACGTCGCAGTCGAAGACACAACCCCATACCAGCACACCAGAAGAATTGCAGCGACAGGAAGAGCGTACACAGGCGAAGGCGCAGAAGAAGGAAAAGAGAAAAGAACAGACCAAAAAGTTCCTGAATAGCGCCAGGTCTGTTGCTGAGAACATCATCAAAGGCAAGTTTTGAGGTGTCGGCTGTACGGTCAAGAGTTGCATAATCTCCACAAGCTCGGGCCCAGGACATACCAATCGTTTGCGCGGATGGGGACCAGTATTCGCAGCAGTCGGAGTCATCGGAGCGTGCGATTCTCTCACGACACGAACACAAGCCGTCAATCAGAGGCAGACTTCGCTCGCTGGCCGGGAGTGTATGTCCATCCTGGGAACTTTGTACACGCCGCCGATAGGCCGAAAGACGAAGAAGCGTGGCAGAGGTGCCGCAGACGCCTCAGAAGACTGAAGGCTCGTGTGCGCAAGAAGAGAGCCGAACGAAACGACTCGCATGGCAAACGTCGATAGTTTCGACATTCCTCGCCCTAACGCGGGTGAGCACACCTTCTATCAGAACATTACCTGTTATGTTCACGTTTACGCGCCGACTACTGTACACCAAAATACCCTGAGCGCGGCGCCAGAGACACACGCCACGGTGGGAAGCTCATGCGAATCAGATCCGACCCTATCAGTGCCCGAGAACCTGGGCGGAGTGGCTGCCAACCTCCGTTTTATTGATCTCGAGAGGGTGAAACGAAGACGGCCAGGAAAGAGACAAGCCCTTGTTGAGTGGGCAATCAGGAAACTCCAGAGGTTACTCCACAAGGTGACCTAAAGCAGAGGGTTGGTGTGAATGCGGTGGCATCGATACCATGTCGGTAAAGCTTGTCGAGCTCGACGGCCTTTCGGCCGACGTCGAAACGTGTTCAAGTGGAACAAGCGACGCGAGAGATTTTGGCGTTGGCGTCGGCTCCATTTCCTGGCATTGAAGTATTCGGTGGTTGGCGTCGCGCGTCACTGATCCACGGTCGCTCGGAAGTGAGCACAGACCGCCCGCAATTGTGCATTGGCATCGGAACTGCTACTCGTCAGACTTCACGTCATGTTCGCCCGCACTACCCGCAACACTCTTGTTACAGCCTCGAAACAGCCGTACATATGTCACACATGTCTACGCCGAACTAGACAGTCCCAATTGGGTACTGCTCGTCTTCCCACGCGACAAACTATACGAACTCTCCACACTGAGACCCAGCCACAACCAAGCCAGGATGGCACCGCGTTCCGAAAGCAGTTGAAAGATGCTGCGAAGCAACAAAAGAAAGAAAAGAGCGCCTCTTCGGGATCCTCAAAGTCCTCGAAAAAGGGCAAGGATGTACGACTAGAGAAGTGGGAGCTAACGGTTGGAATCGAAGTCCACGCCGAGCTCAACACCGCGCGGAAGCTCTTCTCTGGTGCTGCGACCTCAGTCAGCGAGGCACCCAATACTCATGTCTCCTTGTTCGACGTCGCTTTCCCCGGTACTCAGCCTCACTTCCAGAAGGAAACCCTCCTGCCCGCCCTCCGCGCCGCCATAGCCTTCCAATGCGAGATACAGCCCAAGAGCAGCTTCGACCGCAAGCACTACTTCTATCAAGATCAGCCCTCCGGCTACCAGATTACGCAGTACTACGAGCCTTTTGCGACGAATGGCAAGATCACCCTGTATCCTCATGACTTCCCGCCTGGCGCTGCCCCGCAGTCAGGGCCTGTCGAGATTGGCATCAAGCAAATACAGATGGAGCAGGATACCGCAAAGACCGTGCAGCAACCCCCTTCGACTCACCTACTCGACTTCAACCGCGTCTCGCATCCTCTAATCGAAATCATCACCCTCCCTCACATTCACGATCCCACGGTCGCTGCTGTCGTCGTCCGCAAGATACAAAACATACTCAAGGCTGTCAATGCCTGCACAACCGGCATGGAGCTAGGCGGACTGCGTGCCGATGTTAACGTATCAGTCCGTCAACGCGCAGGGGATTCATCCGCAGCTAGCCACTCGTACTCCGGTGTTACTGGTCTAGGCCAAAGGACTGAGATCAAGAACTTGGCAAGCGTCAAGGCTGTGGAAGATGCCATCATCGCAGAGCGTGATCGGCAAATTGACTTGCTCGAGGGTGGAGGTGTCGTTGAGGGTGAGACTCGCGGATGGACTCTTGGAAGCAAGACCACCAAACGTCTCCGAGGCAAAGAGGGCGAGATCGACTACCGCTACATGCCGGATCCAGATATTGCTCCTATCATCGTTGGAAACGTAAGCACGAATGTCACCGTTGGCATGAAGACTATACTAATCATTTTTAGGATCTTGTTGAGCACCTCCGGAACACCCTTCCCAAACTGCCCGATGTGAACGTAGACATGCTCGCCAATACTTACGGACTTACGACCAAAGATGCCATCACACTACTCTCCATGGACGATGGTGAACGATTAGAGTATTATCTGGACGTGATTCGCTGCCTGGTACGCCAAACCGAGCAGCACGAAAAAGATGTTCCGCTAGAAATCTTGGGCAAGATTACCGGCAACTGGTATGTTCATCTGCTATGATACGCGTCGGGATCAAACTAACGCAAGACTAGGGTGTTGATGGAACTCGGTTCTCTCTTCCAGGACGAACCTTGGGATCCCAACCGCGTTCCGGCCGACTATCTTGCCGGTGTCATTTCGCACATTCGTCGCAAAGAGGTCACTTCGCCTTCCGCAAAACGTCTACTTGCCATCAAGTTTGAGGGAGATCAGCGCAGCGTATCTGAAGTCGTTCACCAAGAGAACCTCCTCCTGCAACCACTCAGCCAGGAAGAGTACGTCAAGCTGGCACAGACTTTGCTAGAAGAGAAACCCGACATGGTGCGAGACATCAGCGAGAAGGGTCAGGTCAAGAAGGTTGGTTGGTTCGTGGGGCAAATGGTGATGAGAGCTCCGGATGGGAGTGTTGAGCCAGACAAGGCGAAGGAAGTACTGCTGAACCTTTTGGATGTAGGAGAGAAGGTGCAGTGATGGTGTGGATACCCTAATGAAACATATCTCTATTGATGGTACGTATTGCTTTTGTGGCTTATGTGACCGCTGGCTATAAGGGTCCAATGTACGGGTAAGGATGTCAAAACCACTAACGTTTGACAGCCCAACAACCTCAACCCACCAACTAACCAGCCCATAAGCAGTCGAACCTCGTGTCTCGCTTCCAGAATGTGAAAGTCCACAGCGCACGGTGACAGTGTAAGAATTTTGGGAGCCGGTTCAGGTCCCAGACCGGCGACCGCAGGTGCAACACGGCTGTCATTAGCCAACAACCCAGGGAGACCAGAAGACGCCAACCTCATCCCTTCGGAAGCTACATCTGTCACTCCACTCATACGCAGCATTAGTAAGGAATATGTCTGCATAACCCGTTCTAAACTCCATTCCATCTACTGAGCACATCCACCCGCCCGCCATGTCCCCCGAACAAACCGCCGAGTACATCGCCCGCTTCCGCAATCGCATTGCGACAATCCGCCAGAACGTCACAGTCACATCTCTCAAAGGCAGGATAACACACTCCATACACCGTCGAGATAGTCTGGGCCGCCGGGGAGAGAACGCCCGTCTAGCCCTCTCTGCATCGCTAGGTCTATATTACACAGGCGTGGAAAAGTCAGAGGAAGACTTGAGAGATCTAAGTCCCGTGGACTGGGATGATGGGGATAACAACGATGGGGACGATGACGATGAGGGGGATGAAGGCGATGTAGATTGTGATGGCCGGTCCGATAGCATGGAGCCTTTACGCGATTCTGATCGTGAAGACATTACAAACGGCTATTGGGACGGGCAATGGGATTTGGATATGGATAGGGAAGAAGAGCGGTTGAGGGATGCAGAGCACCGGATTGCGGAAGAGAGGTCGTCGAATGGAAATGGGGATGTAGAGGGTGGACAGTATGTTGCGTATCATAGCATGAATAGTAGGGCGGCGAGGAGGATGAGGCTGGATGAGGTGGAGAGGATGTATCGGAGTGGGGGGAGGTATTCTACGGTATGTTTTTGCGCTTTGGGGGTGGGGATGCATGGAGACTGACTGAGATATACAGGTTGGTAAGAAGAAGGGCCGCGAGTTGCAGAGTTTGCTGCAGAATCTCAGGCCTGAGGAGTGGAACGACGAAGCGCCAATTGAAGACCCACCTCAATCCGCTGCCCAAGACGAAGAGAACGAATACGAAGAATTACCCCAACCCACTACCCAAGAAGACCAAGAGCAAGACTCCATCTCCCTCCCATCAAATCCCTACCCCGAAGACGACTTCCTCCTCCCCTTAACCCGACAACCAGCCCGCACAACGCCTCCCCCGCCCCTCTCCTCGCCAGCTAACTTCATCATCAACCCAAACTCCTCAACCGAACTATCCGTACCATCGAACCCTTACCCAGAAGACGCACCATCACCAACCCCCTCCTTCCAGCCCCCTCCACCACCATCTCGACCCACACAATCCCCTTCCCCATTCCACCGCGCTGCAACACCACCTACTCCCCACTCTCGCTTCGCAATTTACCTTTGCGATCGGACTATTTCGCCTATTGCGCCGTTTACTGCGAGTCGGCATCTGATTTCTGCTGCGGGATCGAAGTCGACACAGAGTTACCAGTCGGAACCACTCCAACAACAGGGACATGGCTACAACGATAATGACGATGTAGAAGAGGAGTATGCACCTAATCATCCCTACCACGGTATGAGTGCCCAAGAAACGAGCGAGTACTGGTATGGGCTCGAGGGGTATCAAACGGAGAGTGAGAGGAATTTGAGGAGAAGAGGGGAAGGGAGGGGAAGAAGACGTGCGGTTTCTTCACCTGTTCAGTACAACGCGGATCGTGCTTTTGGTTCTGTGGGGGAGAATCATCAGGGTGATGAAGGGGAGGGCGGGGAGCGGGAGGATGAGGTTAGGCGACGATACCTGGATGGGTTGAGTGATGAAGCGAGGGTGAGGGCAGAGGAGGAAAAAGAGGAGGAGTTTGCTATGAGGACCGGAGCGGAAGAGACTAACGCGAAGAGGAAGGACATGATGGGGAGGCTTCTAAGTACCTTTGCGTGTCGACCTGGAACTGTTACACCGACGTGTACTGCAGTCCCCATTCCAAACGACACAGACGCAACGACTACTCCCACAGTATCCAAAACACCAAGGAAATACGGCATGACCTATCTGTCCCACAAGATAGGCCGAACACAAAAGAGAGAAGAGGAAGCAAGACTACGAGAAAGACTCATGGCTATCCAACTGCACGCAAGCGCTGAGACGCGAACTCAACACATCGAAGACATCAACACCCCTACAGAAGTCCCCGTACTCATACCCAAAGCAAAGAGAAGAAAGGACAGCACACAGCCCAATCCACCCTCTCTTGTCCCAAATCTGGAAAGCCGCACTCAAAGCATCATAGGTCCGCCTGTTGATCTCTCACAGATGATTCAGCGGGCACCGGAGAGTATTAGGGCGCCTACTCCTGTACCAAAAGCGAATACGGACGTTGAGGGAGTTGAAGAGGATGGGAAGCATGGACCCAGACAAAAACATTCAGGTTCGAGTCTCTCTGACCGCCTACGACAGACGCAGCTTGAAGATCTTCCTCTGCAATCCGATGCAGCACAGGAGATACGGAATCTGATGATGGCGCTTGAACGGGATCAGGGGGAGGCAGCTAGTACACCGACTCAGCATAGCGACATAGCACCCCACGATCCCAACCCAAACACAACATCTCTTCAACAAGCAGACGAACTACCCGGTGGTTTTTCGATCTCATCCCAACATTCCAGCCTCTCCCCCCACGAAACCCTCGAAAGACACTTCCGCACCCAACGTCAAGTCAATGAGCGTTATACCCGGCGGATCCGCCCGACGACGTCGCACTCGAGTAGTCTCACTCTGCCGGAGGGGCATGGTGGTGTCAGGGGTGTGCTAAGGATTACTAATATGGTGATACAGGGAGAAGGGGAGGAGGAGGAGAACATTGGAGGATTTGGAGAGGAGGATGAGGGATGTGAGCGGGACGAGGGATGTGAGGAGGTTGGGGCTGAGGTTGGGGTCGATGATAGCAATAATGATGGTGCGAATAGTGTTATTGAAAACCAGCAAGCTAGCATCGATGAGGTGGAAACAGATGCAGAAGAAAAAAAGGGGAGTCTTTGCTCCAAGACAATCAGGACAAGGAGGGCGAGAATGATGTACCAGAGGCCGGATGAGCAATGCGATACTCAGATCATGCTATGAGTCCAGCTATCTCGACTGTATTAAGTCGTTGGTATTACGTCCAGTACATCGATCGATCGAGAAAGTCAACCCCCTCGTTACGCCGCACAAATATTTCCATGACCATGGACATGGTCGAAAGCTCTCAGCAGACCAAACAAATGCGCGACGCCAGCACAAACAACCAAGCAATGCATAATCTGGTGACTCGAACCCCAGACATCAAACCGGTACGGATACCATTTCTCAGGGATCTACATGTGGTCAGTTCGCCATTCCTTTCTTGGGCATGAAAGCCATTCAAGGCTCATACACTTACTCTCATAGCGTACAACGCGCCACCAGTAAGATTGAATGTCGTCATCAACGCCATCCAGTCCAAACTCATCCTCCACATCTGCGTTTCCCAGCCAAACTTCAGCAAGCCATGCATGATGGGAATGATGAACGAGAGACCAAGTCCGGCATACATGGCCGCGCGGTACGGTCGATACTTTGGGCGACGGAAAGCTGGGTGGAGCGTTGCGTAAACGCAGCCTCCTGCTAAGACTGACACGAGCGTGTAGTATGTTGTTTGTAGCTGTGGTGTACAATAGAAGCCATAGTACACACATGGGATGGTGGAACCCCACATTAGTATCACTATTCCGAGCTAAAGTACTCAGTGGCTGTGTGAAATCGCGGGTGTTGTTTACTTACGTAGTCGAGCTGATTACCGAAGACATGGACGCTTTCGCTGTGGTTGTTGACGACATGGAAACTGCGGTTGTGTTACTTTCTAGGTACTAGTGCATGAAGGTGCGACAATACTTACGTTGCGGACAGTGCAAAGCAAATGGCGACACCAAAGAAGAAGGTTGAGAATACGACAACGTCCGCTGTGGCTGCTGTGTCGTATCTTGGCTGCAAGGAATAGTATACTGGGATAGGAAGCGCAAAGAACAGCACTGATCCTATAAGATGCGAGAATATATTTACTGGAAACGAGTCAGTTCGCCTTCTGCAAGCACTGCGTTGAATCTTACCTGTTTCGTTGTGGATACCGAGAATGCTTCTCAAGGACTGCTGGTAAGATTTTGAGATTGCCCTATATGTCGCCCTTCTTAGGAACCGTCTATGTGATGAGGATTCTAAAATCCTTACCTATAGCCTGACAGAATGTACTCATTGTCTCTGTCCCTAGTGAGCGCAAGTCGATGATAGGTAATCTAATGGTGAATGTACTGGTACCAACTCGCTACAATATCGGTCAGCTATATAACGATCATGCAATCAACTATCGTACGTATCTCATCCCACATCAACAAGGAGCCTTGTTGCCTTTTTCCCATTTGATCGCGAGGCTCAGCCTTGCGACCATTAGCCTTGGCATTCACATACGCGGTAGACGCATGCGTACCTGGTTTTTCGCTGTTGAACAAACTTGTTCTGCACGTCGTCGAGAACGAACACTCATCCTGGGACTGATATTTCCCTGCGCGTGAAAAGATGAGGTGGGATGTAAAGTCAAAGTATAAGCGGCACAGCCGATGTGCATGTGATTTAGTGCAGGAACAGGAAAGCCGATGCACGGATCAACACGACGCAAGACGCCTGATCTATACATTGATCCTTTCGCTCCACGTTCCTCGAATATCTGCTCCATCTCCAATCAATTGCGCCTGGTGGCACGTTAGCGCGTGTCTGATGAGTACTATCAGCAGCCTGACAGCGGCTAGATTTGGTAGGTAAAGGGTGGGGGCCGTTTGAGAAGGGACGGCACGCGCCCGTCTCATGTTCTTGCGGTGCAGCGGGAGTACTTATCGAGAGAACCGTCCGCCCGCTCCTATTCGTTACGCTATCCATGGATGCGCATTCCTACATGCAAGATTCCATGTTCTCGAGAGTTTTCGGTACACAACTCCATATCTGAATCGGCCCCCATTCGGTTTGCCGCCCAACCATGCGACCATGCAGTCAGACGGCGCAGTATGGACACTCATCAGGCTTTAGTATAAGCAGCGCGCCCCGTAATTCTTCACCCTGCCTTCTCCGGTCTGGCCTACGCTTGTTGTCTTGAGCTGCGATGTTAGTCTTGTGCAGCCTTGCTTTCATCTCTCTCTCCGCTCACAGTGTTTCCGGCATAAGTACCGGCAATGTCAACACTACAGATACTGTAGGGTTTGTAAAAGAGGACAATCAACGGGATACCATATCCCTGCTTATAAGCTGCTTCGCCACACTCGGTTTATGTGTTTATTCGGCTGTGCACTTGAACGTACCGCGCAAAGCCGAAGGCAATTGCCGGGTACTACTAAGAGAGCTTCAATGGTGCATTCTGGGCCTGTTCGCACCAGAGTTGATGGTGTACACAGCCTGGCGACAACTAGCGTCTGCGCGGCAGCTGTGTTTGGAGATAGAAGAGGCAGAACAGAAGAAGGAAGATGGGGCGAAAGCCCTCGAAAAAGTAGCCAGACCATCCTTCCTTAGGCTCCGAAACTGACAGCTTCTAGACGGCAGTAATATCGGGAGACCATGACCAGCACCGACATACACCATGGACTATTCCACATGGATTCTACGGCACAATGGGTGGATTCGCCCTCGATATTGACGATACCGACTCTCGGAGCGCGGTCTTGTTCAATGGTGCTAAACGCCTGACCCTAACTGCCAAAGGAGTTGCATTACTCGCGCAGTGCGGACATATCCCATACGTCTCCCTCGACGATATCAAAGACAAGAACAAAGCAGACGGCCTTGCTAAGCTTCTCGTGTGCATTCAGGCCGGGTGGATGATTGTTCAGGTCATCAGTCGGACTGCGTCTGGGCTGCCAACTACTTTACTCGAAGTACACGTTGTCGCTCACGTCGTTTGCGCCCTCATCATGTACATTCTCTGGTGGCACAAACCTCGCCAGGTGACATCTCCAACGTTACTCAAAGGAGACTGGCTACCTTTGACTGCGTACTTGTATCTGGCGAGTCGAATGAGTGGCAAGGTACCACAGGGCATGTTTGCGATATTTCGGGTCGCCACGCCAGAACTAGAAAAGATGGCTTACTTTGGAGAAGAAGAGACAAGACTTGAAGATCATGAACCTGTCGGATGCAGCAGTAGAGCGCAACCTCATGCGTCTGGTCATCTCGGGACTCGTCCTAACATTCAGCATTCGGAGCGAGACTGCGAAACGACTGTGCGGGATCCTGAGACCGAAGCCGGTTCCGAATTGAGACGTCTTGCCGAAGACGCTTTGCTGCTATATCCAGTTCTACGAACTCGCTTCGCTCCAGCTCGCGAACGGGCTATCTCGGGTTCTACACACAGCATACCCTACGTTACCGAACTCGTACAACCACATGCTCTGGACTGGCCAAACGATGGTCTACTCCGTCGCACCCAATCTTTGATCATGGGGATGGTATTGTGGGGAGCTTCAACTGCGTATGGTGCGATACACGTTGCAGCTTGGAACTATTTCTTTCCTAGTGAGCTAGAGCAGCTATTCTGGCGATTGAGTTCCATATGGGTCACTTTCTGTGCCGCGTTTTGGCTGGTTACCAATCTCCTAGCTTATGTTTTCCCGTTCATTGACACGATCTGGGTCGCTTACAACAAGCGGTCGCTTGGCTGGCTTAGCACTGTGGTCATTACACTTTTATGTATACTTTGTGGGGTAAGTTATATCGTGAGTCGGGCATACATTGTGGTTGAAGCTTTTGTGAGCATTAGGAATGTGCCCAAAGGCGTGTATGAGACGCCGGCGTGGTCGCAGGTTTTCCCTCATTTATAGACTTGACTGTCCATCTTCACTATATGCAATCGCTTCCAAGATCAGTCAATCCACGTATATCTGATAGCAAAGATGATCTATATCAGGAGATGAAGAAGTAAGTCCCCATTTACCAGAGGGTAATTATCTCCACAGAACTCTCATCCAAGATTTAACTCAAATCGCTTTCAGTTTCAACACGTTGACGTACTTGTCCTTGGAAGACACTAAGCCTAATCACAGAAAGAACAGTAGAGATTACTGTACACACGAATGTCGTTCAGTAGCGCGTTGATGATGGTGAGGTGATGTAAGTGCGGATCGAAGCGGTTGACAAACTCTAATGTGCGGAGGAATATGTACACAGATGCTGTGTTGGCGGGATCTTGGGTAGCGTCAAGTGCTCGAGATGAGCGGGCTCAGACACGGAAGAGAGTGAGGTGTTGAAAGTGTAATTAATTGAGATCTTGACTGCTGAGTCAAGCAGAATACTGAGCACGTCCGACTGGTCGTGTGCGGCCATTGTAATGGATTGGTAGATAGCACTAGCCGAAGAACATTATCGCAAACATGTTCATTGCGACTACTCTCTCAAGTCGATGTGATTGAATCGACGCCAGTGCTTGAAGCACGGAATACGTTGTTTAGACGACGAGCGTCAGGCGAAAGAGCAACCGGATCTACTAGATTCAGAATCAGTTTGGTATCACATAGACTTCACATCACAGCAAGGAGCGCCATAACATCACGACATCACGGAGGCAGCCATGCGATAGCATGCAAGCCAACCCACAGCCCATGCATCGCATGAGCGGGCAGCCAGCAAGGGCCAAAGGTTTGTTCAGGAACGGTCATATTGTCTATGAAACATTCCTCAGCCACCACGCTGACGCAAGTCTACGCAGACCCGTGGGGTATACTGCGGACTTGAAGATCCATCCCAATCATTGCCGTTATCCTTTTGTATGATTCCGAGACGCCGTTTCATGCACAATCGTATCGTGTGATTGTTCGAGGGTATCGTATGAAGGCGTTTATGCGACGAGCTGAACGACACCACCGGCCTCCTTGATCTTCTTCTCAGCCTCAGCCGAGACGTAGCGGGCGCGGACGACGATGGGGACGGCGGGGAGACGACCCTTTCCAAGGACCTTGGAGTAGCCGTAGTCGAGGAGGTTGAGGACAGGGGCGTTGCCGCTCTTGTTGGCGAGGTACTCAGCGCGCTTCTCAGCGGGAATGAGCGACCAAAGCTTGTCGAGGTTGATGACGGGCTTCCAGAAGAGGTTCTGCATCTTGTGGAAGTACCTCATTCCAACCTTTCCGAAGTAACCAGGATGGTACTTGTCAATGTTGGTTCGGTGGTGATGTTGACCACCGGCCTGTAGAAGTCAGTTTATGTCTTACATACAGTTCGTACAGGAGTGTTCTTACCATACCGCGACCACCGGGATGCTTGCGGTGCTTGCCGACACGTCCGTGACCCTAAATAGCGACGTTAGCAAAGTACAAGAGGACTTCGCGGCGTGATAACATACGGCGCTGACATGACCGCGGTGCTTGCGGGTCTTGGAAAGATGGGTGGGCATCTTGACGGTATGTGATGCTGTGGGTTAGTTGTCGTAGGAGCGAAGCAGGAAGTTCGACAATGGCTCGCAGGCTATTTTGTTCGTTGGGTGGAAAAGCTAAGCGAGGCGCGCTAGTAACGGTCACGTGCGAGATCCCTGTCGCACCGTCACATCTCTCTCGTTACATTGTCTGGGTTTGGGTGGGGAAGGGAACATCAAAGTTGAGGTCAGGGAAAAGTGAGTGAGAAGAATACTGTTTTTGTATTGAATACGTGAATCTCGTTCTTCTGTGTAGGAATACTTCGCCGGTTTCCCCGCTATCGCTATGCAATACAGACTTCATTCGTCAACGTCGCTGCTCTTTCTACTACTCTAGCCCCAGTAAGGTGTTCGCAGACCGACAAATGTGGAGCCAACACCATCACCCGAGTCTTCTTTCTTACGCTGTCCAGCAAGCTAGTTTCAAGTCAGCAAGACCGTCATTTGACGCTGCAATTGAGATCAAAGTACCTCTAACTGAATATGCCTATGCACATGCACAAGCCAATCCACATAACTCTGCGCCTCATTATTCCGATCCTCATACAGCAACCTCGCAAATTCGTATTCCGCGCCATCCAGACCCTGTCTCGCAAGTTGAATAGTAAGCGCCTTGGACGCCCTCGTACCCTCCAGATACTGCAAGATATTCCTCACTTGAGCGTTGAGGTGGGTTTCGAGAACAGGCAGGGTGGATTGGAAGGGATCGAGCGCTTTTAGACTGTTGTTGCCTTCACCGAAGAGGTCCTCGAGTAGGTTGGGTGAGACTTGGGTGTGCAGCCATAAGAGGCAGACTTGGCCGTTGTCGACGATGTAGGCGCCGCCTTCTTCGACTTTGGAGAAGGAGGCGCGTATGTTCTCTGGCATGACGAGGTGGCCCTTCTCGTTTGCGAAACCGTCTCGCGCGTCGAGGTTGTGGACTGCGATGATGCGGGGGTAGAGGTATAAGGACAACTCCAGTGGTCCCATGGACTTGATCATGCGCATGTCGTGGACTCTTCGGTCGGTGGGCTCTTTGCCACCCTTGAAGGCTCTTGACTTCATTAGTCCGAGAATGTACATGCCAAATTCCTTTAGGTTCTCTGGTAGCACGAGCTGGCCAGGTGGGTTATTGCCAGTGAAGTTCTTTCTGTAGCCAGCAAGAATGTCGACAGTCTTCTCCGTCAAGGCTCCTCTAATCTCCTTGAGGTTCTTCTCTGTCATGCGAGCAGCAGCTTCCTTGGCGATGATGTTCACAACAGCATCCTGATCAACAAACTTCATGCATTCACCAGTGTTTGGGCTGACGCTGGCCACGATGTTGGTGCACCGCACTCGTCGCTCACCGTTCGCAGCTGTGTAGAGTAGCGCACTCTGGAAGTGAGCATCGAGCTTGGGATCCAGCTTGCCGTCGTAGCTGAACATGACACCGATAGCCTTGTCAGCGTCAATGACTCCGAACTCCAGATCGGCGCCAAAGGTGTGGTGGTAGAAGTTTCCGTGGTAGGCAGAGACCTGCAGGCCATTCGAGCAGCGAACCTTCATCAGCGCTTGATATCCGGTTTCTCGTGTGACTGTGTGCTGGATCTCCTTGGATAATTTTAGGATATCCCTTGGCGCATGGAAGTTGGGGTAGTAGAAGACTTCTCCACCTGTCACAGCGGAAACGTGGCCGATCGTCGCAATGTCGAGGTACCCTCCGCTGGGCGCAGCAAGGAAAAAGTCCACACCAATACCATTCTGCACCATTTTCTCAGCAACCTTCTTGAACCCAGGATGCTCAGTCTGAAGCAGCTTCTTCTCGGCGTCCGTGTTGTGTACATTGTTGTCCTCACGTAGCATCAGCCGGCCGGGGCCCCAAGTCGGAAGCGCAGCCAAGGAGCACACGATCTTTCCACCTGTGGCCGACAGTGCTGCTACAGCGGAGTTCAAGGTAGGAAGAAGGGCCGGTTCGGGATTCTTGACTTCGGAGAACATGGTCGGTAGCTGTGCGAGAAGTGATGTGATGACGTTCTTGGACTCCACAGGGTCGACGAACAAGCCCTCGCTGAAGGGTAAGAAAGGGTCTTCCAGATCAGCCATGACGAGCATCTGAGCACTCGTCAAGCTCGGGCTGAGATTGTAGAAGTGCATTTCTTTGTCGTATGTCACGATGCCAACTTTAGCACCCTTTGGTATCCGACTGGTAGTCTCGGTGCCTTCTGCCTCTGCTTCTTGCTCGCCATAGAGTGCTTTCATGATGCCTTCACAGAAGCCATGGAGAAAGCCACGGTTTACAGCCTCGGCGGTCACATCGACTAGGAACAACCACCGTAGACCGACAGGCTCCTTCGACCAGTATTCTTTGGGTACGAGGAAATCGACAGTGCCGAGTGTGAGCTCCGGTCGCTGTAGTCTGTCTATCCTGACACCAGATTGATCCGTAGGCGCAAAGTATTCACCGGGGACGTCGCCCGGGTAGGTACATAGGTTGCACACAACCTTGTTTCCGCCAGCCTTGAACTGCATGAATGGATTGATGTACGCTCGGCACCTTGCACATCGTGGTGGCCCGGACTCGCCAAAGTCCAATACGGGTATAGCTTGCTCGCCTTCTTGTTGAGCAGCCAGTGGTTGTAAGACCATGCCGAGTGGTAAGGAAGTCGCAGCAAGGGCTTGCGCAGTGAGTGGAATGTTGTTCATCGTCAACCGTGCGAACTTAGGTGAGGAGTTGCCTTGGTCAAAGGCTACGAAGGGGACCGTGGCGGGAGGAGGTAGGTGGTGCTCCATAGTCGGGTATACGTTTTCTAGGTAGTACTTCGCCGGCGCATCTCGCGACTTTGGTACACTGGGTATCTGTTCCGGGTCCACACGTCCTTGGGCTGACCCAACCGCCGCTCCTCCACTCTGATGTGGTGCTGCTGGTGCTCTCGCAGCATACTGCATAGGGGAAGCCTGCGATCCAGGACTGAAGATAGGGTTTACGGGTGCGGGAAACTGGCTCATAGCGGGGGTAATCTGAGGCTCCATCCATTGCGCTCCTCCGACTTGGGGCGAGTTTTGGAATTGTGTAGGTGTGCCATTCTGCGGCGCTCCGTTGAACGCCGGTGAACTTCCTCCAGGTCCTTCGATATTATGATACGCATGTCTGTTCTTCTTCTTATGCTTGGGTTGTGCCGCTTGGTCCATCCCCAGCCCAACTGCTCCCATTTGCCCCGCGAGATTGTTCACATCTTGATCGCCCTGATACTGAGGTTGGCCCTGCAGAGCCGACTGGTCAGGAAAATAACTCTCTTGCTGGACCGGCGTGCCGTATTGCGCTGGTGTGCCGGCGTACTGGTTCGGAGGTTGAGCCATGGCCGGACTGCCCGTCTGTTGGTAGCCAGGAGGGCCCGCAGCGACTGGCGGGCGCCATTTGTTGGGCTCGTCTGGTCTGCCGGTTCCATTCGGGTTTGGAGAGCCCGTGCCGAGGGCGTTGTATGCGGCGAACTCAGACATGGTCGCGGCGCGGGGATGTTGCGGTGGATTCGACGGACGGGACGATTCGAGGCGGGTCAAGCGTGTGGCGGAGGAACAACGGGGCGCGGATTGGTGTTAGAGATGTTCATATCATGGGGCGAGCATACTGGGGGATTTGGGCACAGGCGAAGGGACAGATCTCGAACAACCAAGGTTGATGATCTGGCTATTTTCTAGACCTCTGCTTCCATCAGAAGAGCGCGTCCGTGCGCGCCCTCACATGCAAGAACGACAGGGTCCATTCACTCGCGTGTCACGGAATGTAGAAGCAGGAACACATATGTGTAAGAGATGTGTTTGCAGGATCTGCTAGTATTTGCAAGCGATTCTCCCTACTATTCCTTCCGGTTATCCTAGTACCGCATCAGCCTTGAGGTATACCAACCCACCATAGGGATATGGGCTCTCCAGATGCTCGCGCGAGTCCTCTCAGCGCGGCTATATACGTGACTCTCTCATATTTCCTTAGCAGCGTTTGGCTACTAACCTCATTCTTCCTATCCGAGCCCGAGGTGCCCGTCGAAGCAGCCCGAGCTCCACACCATTATATAGTATATCCCCACCCATCATCCAACTACTCCAGCTTATCCAAATGCGCCAACCTCGTCAACACAACTTGTTTACTCGTCTCCTCAATCTCGCCCGCCAAAAACACCTCATCCAGTATCGCATACACCTTGTAGAAATTAAACACCAGATCCAGCTCACACACGTTCCCGAAGAAGGCATCTAGCACCTCGACGAAGAAATGTATGGCTTCTAGGTATGCTAGTTCGTTGTCGTTTGTGTCGACGCAGGCGCAGAAGAAGAGGCCGGCGTAGCGGCGGTAGACGATCTTGGACATGTTGCGGAACTCGACGAAGTTGGATTGGTGTTTTTGGTCGCGTGGAGCGATGAGGCGGTGGACCTGGTGAGGTATTTAGTTATATTCGGAGGGTCGGTAGGCGGTGGGTTCGATGGTAGGTGTGGTAGGTGTGGTGGATGGGTGGGTGGGAAGGAGGGTATCGCATACCTCGCCCTTTAACTTGACTTTCTCTTCATCCTGCCTCATTATTAGCTACTGCGCCGTCTCCCAACACGTTGGACATTTCAACTCACACTATACGGCGCATACCACTTTGCCAGCCTCGTCTTCCCTCTACAACTCATTAGCCTTCCATACTACATGACCTCACCAACCCTCCTCTGCACGATCATCCCAACTTACTGCCTGTTCTGAATGAGAATGAACGAGAGCACCATGTTCACAATGTGCCTCGGGGTGTCAGGCTCGGCGCGCTGTGAGAGAGAAGCAAAGGTGTATCGAGGACGGCGCAGCGGCGTCGAGGGCGCGACTTCCGTGAAAGGACGTGGCCCGAGCGTCAAGGGTCAGGCACAGATGCATCCCTGCAGGGAACGTGGGTGCTGGCCGCCGACGGAGGTGCCACTTTTAGCCGCACGGTATCCTCACGTTGGGATTTGCCATATTGTTCGAATGAGCAAGGGGCTATTCGCATTACACTGCTTCGATGTTTACAACGAAGTCATGTATTGTTCATTTTGAAGAAGGTGGGCAAACCAAGTAAAAGATATCTCACACAGAACAACCTCTACTCCTTACCCGACACAACGGCGCAAACCCCTCTACCACCATATCCTCCTCATCCAAACTAACCCGATCCTGCATCCTCTCTTTCACATTTCCCATCACCGCATGCCCTACTTCAGCATGTCTCTTATCAACTGAGCCATTCATCCTAGAACGAGACTTCACGCGTCGATACCGTCTTCTACTAACCAACGCCTTGAGCGAGTCCACCGCTGATGAAGAAGAAGAGGCGGATTGCAATGACGAGGGTGAGAGCGGACTACTCGCATAATCCAGAAGCGCAGGGTCAATAGTTCCCATAATCACGTCGCCGTCGCTATCTCTCGTTGCAGAAGTCACATCTGCACCCCCCTCCTTCTCACTCCTCTCCTCAACAGTAGACAGCAGACTCCCCCCACGTTCCCCAGCACTTTTCCTCCGTTCCGCACTAGCCAGCAACGCAGTCCAAAGATTCGTCTTGGCCCCTTTTCTCGACGTGGCAAGACTACTACTCCCGTCCCCTGGCTTAAGGATTCCCTCAGGCAATGTGTTGATAGGCGCAGTCAGTGTGGGCATACTGTTGTTGACTTCAACACTAGGAAAGACAAATTCGACGGGTGTGTGAATGCCGAATTTCTTGCCCCAGCGGCATTCAGAGGGGTAGTCGCATGTGTTCCAGCAATCTTGCCTCTCTCGAATTTTGTCTGAGCCGTTGACGGCTGTACCTGTGTGTGTTCTCGCACTGCGTTTCGGTCCACCCCTTCGCCACCGACCGATTGTTTTCCAGCCTTCGTAGTCGAACTCACTGGGGCAGGCGCGGTGGTTCCGTTGTTTCCTTGAGGAATTTGATTTCCGCCAGGATTTCATGGTCGTGCTGCCACTGCAAAAGTGGTGTCCGTCCTCGAGACAGCGGCGGGTTACGCCTAGACGGTAGCTGTGGTGGCACTTGTGGCATTTCCACATCCAGGCTAAAGGGCTTGATGGCGCCTCATGTTGGGATGCTGGATATGTTGATAGAGTTTGTCGATCTGGCTTTTGAGCTCGCTGTCGGTCAGGAAGAGGGGGTGTGAGAGGCGTGCGCGGTGAAAATGGGGAAGGAGATATGGAGAGAAACGAGGATTTGAATGGGGTTGCGAAGATCTGTAGAGAATTTCGTGCCTTCATTTTGGACGCTCTGAAGCCCTCGAGTGGAAGCTCTTCACTGAGATAACGCAGGTGGTTGCGATGTCTGCACACCAACGTTACTCACACTCACCATCCGTAAGAACCACCATTTCTACAGAGGCCCCTAGGATCAACTGCTGTTGCAGCCTCAGTCGCGCTACTTCTTTGAGCGTTCCCAGCGATGCGTTGTTACGAGCATCGACAAAAGCTGCGTTCAACAGCGGCCTTTGTCATCGCCGCCCAGCCCTACACGGGAGTGGTCGTGTGCAAGATCCCGAGTCGAATCCTTTGTCCTGACTATTCGCCTCGAACATCTTTCGTCTCGATCACAAACACGCCTTGCTTTGTCTTTGTGTGCTTGCAGGTAGCATGTCATCATTTTCCTTTTTAGCGTGCTCCATCTCTCTCGTCATCCAATCCAACGACGCGATGTCTTATTTCTAATTCCGTCGCACACCACCACTATGCCACATCAACTTCCCATCAATGCCGTCCACGTGAACAGCATAGCAGATCTTTCGACGTACCTTAGTATGCACAGCCTCCCCCACACCCACCCGCCTCACCGGTACACCCATGCACATGCCCACACGCACACCCAAAGATAAGGTCCTCCAACGGCGCATTTCCCAGATCGGCGAGGTATGGTAGTTCCCGCTTTCCATCCCAACACTCGCGGTCGCGATCGAGACCACTGGAATCCATCTTAGGAGATTGACGCCAATGATCTTGGCTTAGGAATAGACTGCGCATGTAACAACCAGTCATTTCGCATCCACAGATAATGGGCGTAGCGCATAGCCAACGCGACCTTTTCATACGCCGCTGGGAGTTGAGATAAGACCTCGTTACCGCCTCCAAGCACATCGATATCATGATGCGCGGTACAGATACACATCAGCGCTTCCTCGCGGTAAGTGTCTGCATCGTGCAGATGTCATGCTTGCTTCGGCAGTAGCGTTAGTGGATTGACATCATCTTGCTGTGCGAATCCGGGGTTTAGTCGATCGATGGGTCCTGGAGCAGCGGGAAAAGATAAGGAAGTGAGGAGAGATGTCTTGGCATCATTGTGTAGTGGATGTCATTCGTTGAATGGGGTAAGTTGGCCCTGCTTAGCATGATAAGAAAGGCTGGGCGGTGTCGGTAATATGGAATGTGTTGATATAGGCTTGAAGTGAGTATGAAGGGATATGGAATGCACATGTGGAAATGGGAGTTGCAAAGTGTAGATCGTGTAATGTTGATGTATCCATTCTCGAATTATGTACAGTACATGATGTCTAGGAAAAAAACTGTAATACAAGGTCTAAATGTATATGTCAAAAAGCACAGCTCAAAGACGGGAGCGCAAGTGGTATCTCGAAACGGGTTTGACTCAAAAAGGTCGCAAGCAACAAATCCAAATCAGCAATCGCAGCAAAAAAGCTTAGGTTTGAACCTGCTTCTCGTGCTCGGAGCCCATGGCCATCGCATGCCTGTCACCTGCAATGCCGGTGTGCTCGTGGCCTGAGCTGTGTTCCGATGGTGCCTTGCCCTCGAGCATCTGGCTGTGCTGGGGAATGCCGTGACGCTCGCCTTGGGGTACCGAGTGCTCGCCGTCGATGGGCTCGCCCTTAGCAGGAGTCCATGCGAGGTAGTCACGACGAACCTCGACGTAGTCGTAGGCGAACTCGCCGAGCTGGTCGTCGTCCATTCCGAGGAGCTCGGCCTCTTCGGATGCGCGCAGCTTGAGGCCGGGGATCTTGTCGATGACGAAGGCGAGGAGGGCGCTGACGACGAAGGAGTAGGCGGTGCAAGCGACGATGTAGGCGATTTGCTTGTAGATAGCGGCTGGCTCGCCGGTGATGGCACCAGCGGTAAGGCCGTTGTTGACACCGTCAAGACCGATGATGTAGTCGGCACCGAAGATTCCGTTGAAGAAGAGACCCCACATTCCAGCGACACCGTGCTCAGCGAAGACATCGAGAGAATCGTCGATCTTGATCCAGAACTTGACTAGAGAGGTGTTAGCGAGCTGTTCGTAGAAAGATTCCCAGAAAGGTACATACTCTTGGTGGCAAAGTTAGCAACAATACCGGTGGTAATACCGAGGATGACACTGGCCCATGGTGGCAAGAAACCAGAAGCGGGAGTAGCAGCGACAAGTCCGGAGATGACACCTGAGCACCATCCGACCATCGACCACTTGCGGGCAAGGCGCCAATCGAGGAGAACCCAAGTCATGGCGGCGAACATAGCGGTAAGGTTGCTGTTCCAGCAGGCCATGACAGCACGGAGGTTGGCACCGAAAGCGGAACCACCGTTGAAGCCCAACCACCCGAACCACAGGAAGACTGTTCCGAGGGTGATCAAGGAGACGTTGTGAGGGCGGAAGTTGAGCATCATCTTCTCCTGGCGACGTCCGAGGATCATAGAGTAGGCCAAAGCTGTGCAACCGGAGACGATCTCGACGGGACCACCACCAGCGTAATCGAGGCCACCCCATGCGAAGAACCAGCCGTTTGCGTTCCAAGCCCAGTATGCGACAGGGCAGTATACGATCGTGGCCCAGAGCCAGATGAAGACCATCATGGGGATTAAGCGACCGCGCTCAGCAACGCAACCGACGACAATGGCAGCAGTGACAGCGCAGAACTGCATCTGGAGATGTGTTAGTTCGTTGAAATCGAGTTATGATAATGTTTGCCGTACCTGGTAGAAGGAGTATAGCAGCTCTGGAATCAAAGGACTTCCTGGGCTGGGATGAGCCAGAACGCCCTTGAGACCGAACTTGTCGAGGTTTCCGATGAAGCCGTTTGTCGAGGGGCCGAAAGCGAGCGAGTATCCCCAGAAGTACCATTGGAAGGTAATGACGGAGGCGGAAAACATGCAGGCCCAGATGAGGGAAAGGGCGGACTTTCTGCGAGCAAGACCGGAGTAGAGGAATGCGAGACCGGGAACCATGATCATCACCATGGCCGAGGCCACGAGGATGTAGGCCTGATCACCCGCAGAGAACCATTGGTTTAGGTTTTCGGTGACTGAGGTGATGTTAGTACTCTGGTCGCGCAAGATGCGCACGTTGCGCTCGGCACGTGCACAGTAGTACTTGGGGACTTGTACTCACCAGAGTCACCACCAGTGATATCATCGGTGCCATTGAACTGCGCCGGAGGGCCGACCCACGAGTACGACATCTTGAGGGAAGTCCTAGGGGATTGTCGGGGTACTAAGGAGATCTGGGGTCCTTAAGTACTACGGGGAAAGGGAGGACGGTTCCACGGTAGGGCCTGTGGAAGAAAAGAGAAGGGATCAAAAGCTGGATCTGTGCCAGTAATATAAGCTGCTACAGGGAGATTCCGGAAGCCCTACTGTAGATTACGGTAGATGCGCCGGGACCTTTATGGGTGGAACTTGCTGTACTACTCTTATCTATCCTGGTCCACGGGCCATCACTCGAGGCGAAATAGACGAGGGTACATCACCCACAGCCGCGACCGTCGTGGGGTTCGCGTTAGATCCAGCCATGGAGCTTTGTTCTTTTTCTGCCGCGATTGATCGGAGCTGCGTCATTGCTGTCTCTAACGATCTAACGCCTTATCTCGCCGGCTCGCAGCACTGCAAACATGTGACGACGAAGCAGACGTGATAAGGAGAACGCCCACCCACACCGGCGGCCACGTCGCGTCAGCTTGTAGGGACAGGCCTCGCGCGGCGCCTCTTACCACGGGCTCAACACGAATTCGCATAACGATTGCAGGCAACGCCAGTTTCACCCGGGGCGGAAGGCTTGGCGAGTGGGTGGTCCATGTTGCGTGGTGTCAATTGCATTTCTGGCCAGAGATAAGAGAATGGCGTCGCCCAATCAGCAGCCGGCTCGGAGGTCGAAAGCGCTAGCCGCTTTGGGTGCCGCATCCTCGCCGGCCGTCGCGACGCGTTCTCACTAGACACCAGCCAACGCCACCCCGTCCCTGGCGATGTGTTTATGCGATTCACATACGTTGTGTGCGATAAGACGACCACGGCGGTTTACTCGCATCCTGCTCGTGCCTAGTGCATATCACCCCAGGTCTCGCGACATCGATGCACCACGGTCGGGCGAACATCGGGCGCCCAACGACTATTCGACACCCAATCTTTTGGGTTTTTTTTGGTCTTGCCGTTGCGACACGGCGCTACTGAGCGCACGCCCTGCAGAAGGCCCGCGGCGTGCAAAATCCGGCTGTGGTTGAGCAGATCGAGACACCCGTCCGACCGGCCATCGTCTGTGGTTCTTCAACTGACCGCGGCCACTGTCGTACCGTATCTTACCGCATCCAGTAACAAGTCTCCACAAGGGCAGCAGCTAACCTCGTCAAACGCCCAAACTGGGACTATTTTCGAACCAGCTCAAAGTTATTTCCAACGAGCCAGGCAACATGCCGGAGCGCGAAGATTGTGAGACCCTGGTTCCCGATGCCCGTGTCCGCATACTCTGAGGCGAACTCGACCTGGGTACGCCTGCCAGCAGCTTATATCGAGCGTGGGCGGCATCTCAGAAGCAATGCAATCAAACCTTCGTCTTTTCCTGTGTCTACGCGCTGACGCGAAACAACATCAGACTGGCATGACCAGCTGAAGCCGTTGTGTTCTTTTGCACCACGACCCGTGCGGCGTGGCATGCAGTAGGGCTCAGCTGCATGTCAGCCTCCCGTACCCGTCCGGCAACTCTTGGCGGCAAACTGTCGCGAAAGCATGTGAGTGTCCCCAGAAGCAAGGCGGTGGGTCTCAAGGCCGCCGTGGTGGGCTCGTGGAGAGGTCGATACTGTGGCACACGTCTGGCGTGGGGAAACTGGAATTGGACACAGCAGCATCGTTGGCTCGCACGCGACCAGCCACTTTCCACATATTTCGCATCCTTGATTGGCATTCCGCGCCATCTTTATTGACGTGTGGGATTGTACTTGTTTATCTCGACGTATCGCATGTTGTGCAATTCCAGCACGTTTCGTAGGATGCGAAAACCCGCCGGGCCAATGACTGCGCTCCGAAGCCGGAGTCCTGACTACGCGTTTGGAGTAACCTAGGAGCGGATCATTGGTGCATCGCGCCCTATCAATTCTCCGACCGGGCTTGTCTTGCTGACTCCAGAGTGGATGTCTTGTACAGATAGCTTGGTGTAAGAGCGAGTCAGCTTGGCTACTCTTTTTGTTCCTTCATTGACGTGTGCCTCTTCACTACCGCGCTGGGCAATACTGTTGGCGGGACAGAAGTTCAACTAGAGACGGCGACCAGTGGCAGACGACGTAGCGAGTGCGCCACCATTCTGTCATGATCAATTCATTCGAGATACACGAATCGGTCGATTTGCTTGGTACCTGAGCGTGGCTGGGAACAGTCGCAAACCTTGCATGGCTCGAAACTGTTCTCAGAGCATACCTCACGCCCTATTCAACACCCTCCAGGCACTTGTGCAACGGAAGTAAGCTTGCGGTTACTCAGACCTCATCCGTCAGGCTATCGACCGCAAACTCGCCGAAAATATACACAGTGCACAACGTATACGTCGCACAAAACTTAAACGAATCTCGACGTAGCACATGCTGCATTCGGGTCTCACGATCATTCCACCGCTCTTTGCGACGCCGTTTCTATGGAACACTGCAGATATGAGCAAGCCAAGAATAGAAAGTCGTTGTTCCAATCGACCATGCATATAGTTTCCATAGTAAAGCATATGCTGTCAGCTTACAATACCGCCGGAATTGTCAATCCCAAACCTGAAACTCTAAGCGCCTATAATACCGAGAACGCATGTTCTTCTGCAAACAAGACATGCTCCTCAGTTACAACAGACTCTCCGGTACTTCTCATCACAACACACCATCCCCCCTTTAAACATGCCCAGTCGAACCCCGTGCAACAACCCCCTCCTTCCCAACGAACCACACCCCTCCCCTACACAGAAGACCCCCCATCAATCGAAATGTTCTGCCCAGTAATACTCTTACTAAGCGCCAAACATCTAACCTGCTCCGCACAATCCTCCACCGTCGCCAACCTCTTCAACTTGGTATTCTGAATTGCCGCCTCCCTTTTCTTCTCCGGAAACTTGAGGCCCCACTCTGTAAGCAACATACCAGGACTAATACTATTCACCCTAATCCTCGGCGCGAGGATAACAGCCAGACTCTTCGCAAGATGTATCTGTGCCGCTTTGGTAACAGCATACGGCACGCTACTCCCACTCGGCTTGACACCCGCTACACTCGCCGTTGAGATGAAGGTGCCTTCGTGTTCGGCTAAGGCGTCTTTTGCGGCATAGGCGAGCCACATGTGCGTTTTTACGTTCATGGTGAAACATTTGTCCCAATCTTCGTCGTTGATTTGTTGTTCGATGTCTGTGAAGGTGGTCATGCGTGTCCAGCCGGCGTTTGAGACGACGACGTCTAGGCGGCCCATTTTTTCGATGGTCTCTTTAACCAGATTCTGAACTGACGGCTTTGAAGACATGTCCGCTTGGATGAGGTGGAAACGTGGGTTGGAATCGGAAGAGGGGCCTGAGATGGAGGAGAGCTCTTTCACAAGGGTATTGGCCCGGTCGGAATTTGAGGAGTAGTTTATCACCTAAGGGGTATTAGTTGTTGCTCGTGATACTCATATATGGGTGAACATGAGATTAAAGGTGTCTTTATACGTACTACACGAAAATCTGGCGCAAATACACGCGCTATCTGTGCGCCCAGACCTGCTGAGCTCGCAGTGATAAGTGCAACTTTTGTGGTCGCCATTGTGAGTTCTTGAGAGTATGAGAAGACAACAGTAAAGCGGGATGACGCTATATGTAGCAGAGAGCAACTGATCCATATGTATCACCGCGGGGTGAACGCGGGGTTCCGCCACTGGGTCCAGCTGCGGAATCATTCCGATGTCGACCCCTCCTTCTCTCTTTGTTCTCTAAAATCTTCCGCTTTACTTCTTCATCTCAACGCAAATATGAATGACACCTTGCCATCGCGATCGATGCTTGTCATAAGTCCTCCGAGCTTCTCTTCACATTGAGTGCTACTGCATCTTATTCATGGAAAACAAAGTGCCTTACATACCTGAACGAAGCTCGTCATCGCAGTACAGCTCAGTCTTCTCCTTCTCAGCAGACACAACTGATTCATCATCGAGAAAACACGCACCCCGTTCTCTTCGCTCTCAACTTATCTCTTGTATCGCGCATCTCATCATCACCCTTCCCCACGAGCTCCACAGGACCAAGTTCGTGGATCCGATATCCCTCTGGACAGTATCGTTCGTCTCCTGGGACGAGGCCGCCAACGAGTCGCAGCAACAACGCGTTTGGACCCCACCTCTTCATGAACGACGGTTTTACGTACCAGGGCCGGTCAATGTATTGACCAGCATTGGCGCGGCCAGTGCGCCCGTCGACTTCTGTGAACCAGTCCGGGCGTAGGAAGTACGGACGGGGGAGGAAGAAGTTTTGGAGTAAGAACTTGCGGATCTCAACGAATACGTGCAGAGCTTGGTAGTATATGGTAGGGGGTTGTGGTATGCTTGGAGATGGTCAGCATCGTGGGTCCATCAAGTAAGAGCTCCATCTTTCACTCACTTCATCGCTTTCCGCAAGCGCGGCTCGAGTAACATATGCGCCACGGTAAAGCTAAAAGGTTTGAGAGCGGAAGGTACGTTGAATAAGGCCACATCGAAAGTAGCACGACCAAGCGTCGCGTTCGTATCAGCAGGCACCATGTTCTGAGCCTCATATGCCAAACTCCACACCTCCAACTCATCGAGCCAGTGAAATCCGTCGCGCCATCCTTGACTGGCCGAAGGTAGAACATCGTACCATATCTTCATAGCCTCACCCATATCCTTCCAATAGACACCCATGGCGCACCTCTCGAAGTCCGTGACATCACGCCATTCATATCTGGCAGTCCACCTAATAGGCTCAAGAACGAAGAGGCTGAGCGTATACAACATATCGTCATTCAATATCTTCCCGGCTTTGATATACCGACTATGGAGATAGTTCATACGCGCTATGCCACTGATAGCCCTTTCGCAATCGGGTTTGTTAATAATCACCTCGGTCATAATGGTAGCGGTATCGGCAGCTCGCTTCGACGCTGTTTCTGGGCAGGACAATTGTCCTGTTGCGACCAGCAATTTTGAGATACTGGGGATGCCATAGGTTTTGAAGAGGGCGAAGAATGTGGAGATGTGGAACACGAGTGGGAACTCGAGTTCAGTGAGAGAAACGTGGATTGCGTGCGCATCTTTGAGAGTCATTCGATTCCATGACGAGCGGTCGGGGTACTGGGTTGTTTGTTAGCCTTGCGGAATTGTTAGTGTTGGGAGCGTTGCTTTTACATGGAGGCGGTGAGTGAGCCCATCGCGACGCCTATACTGGAGAGCGCGAACGAGAACCCAGTAGGTACTGATAGCGGTGAGTATCCAGAAACTGAGACTTGATGGAAGCCGCAGTGTGTTCGTGTCCAACATGTTTGTGGAGTTGGTCGCTCGAGCTGTGTGTATTCCTGACACCGCAGCTAAGTTCTGTGGATCGATGCCAGACCCGACTGAGTTTGAGAAGGTGGAGGTCGACGATTCAAACGATGTGTAGCCGTACTTAACTACGCACGGTAGAGGTTGGTGCACATGTGTGGAGGCTAGGGCACAGTCGCGCTGAGCCATTCTAGGTAAAGTGTCGTTCCGTGTGTTCATGCCGTGCGCCCTCGGGGTCCGTCTGCGGACTTCAATTGCATCATGTACGACATTGGTCGTTCTCTGCTAGAGTATAAAACCTTGTACCATCCACGCTCGGTCACTGCGGTTAGAGGTGTTGACTCATTCCTGTCCTTGGACTCAATTCACCCTCCGTTCCGCCAATCACATCTAGAACACTACATGAGATGTCGAGACATCAATTACTGTTCGAAGTAATGCCTTCTATACCTTACATCTCGTTTCAAGTCTTCGTCAAGACACATTCTTTTTCCTCTGCGCCTCACACGTAGTGAATGTGAGATGTGGCGGCTGACTATAACCTCGCAAGCGTTGGCATTCCGTTTCTTCCAGTAAGTCGACCTTCCAAGAAGGATAAAAGGTTCCCACTAACATCTGTCGTCCTCAAATATGTCCTTTATCTCGACACCCGTACAGTACCCTGCTTTAGTTACGATCATGTTAGCAGACAAGTTCTCGGTGTACGAGGAACGTTGAATCGCGAACACCGATGGATAGTCTAGATCGCAGCCTTCCAGCGATATCCCGCCTATTCAGCCATCGGGTCTAAGCGCATAAACTAAGGATAATCACAGATAAATCTGCGCCCGATCTCACCGGTTTTGCTCAGCTCAGCGATCCCTCTTGATCTATTGGACGCACCATTCGCGGGGTGCAGTGAAGGACGAGAAGGCTGGCCAACAGGATCATCGCAGCCACAAGGCTGAGAATGCCATCGAACTGACAACTCATGAGTGCATACAGACCCCGCGTCTTGTAATAAGTGACAGCGCATGTGTTTTGAGCCTCATTCTAGGAGAAGTCGTCGCGATGTAATAAAGGGAGGTGTTTCGTCGGACTTCTCGCAAGTATCAGCCGGCGTCCTTTGGTGTTAGCACAATATGTCTGTCAGCGATAACTCTACTTTGGATGTGTCGCACGATAACGATGGTTTGGGTGGATACGCGTATGGCATGGGAGACTTAGCAGTCAGTCCTGAAGAGGTCTCGTAAGTTACATATCACCACCCAGTTTCAGTATGGCGCTGATAGTGTCGTGCAGCCCCTATGCAACCACGCAGATGGTGTCGCTGGAAGTCGGGCCAGAAGCAACTCGCTTCCTCGTCCACGACAGCGTCTTGAGCCGTAGCGAGGTCCTTGCCGCAAAGTCTTACCCACTGGCTTTCGTGAAGCAGTCCGTACTTCTCCCAGAGCTGGATCTGAACACAGCACACACTTTGGTACACTACTTGTATACCGGCAAATACCAGAGCATCAACACACCGGCATCGTCCGACAAGGTCATACCCGAAGTCTATAAGCTCGGTGCCGGTGTATACTGCGCCGCCGCTCGCTACAAGCTACCAGGTCTCGCTGAGCTTGCCCAAAACAAGCTTAAGTTTCTCGACGAGGAGATGAGCATCTTCGATATCCTTACCGTAGCGAGAGATCATGCATTCCCTTTGCTACCGGAAGATGATCTATGGTATCCGAGCTATGTCGAACAATCACTCAACAATGCCATGGCATACGATCCAGAGCCGTTCCGAAAGCCGGACTTCATTACGACGGTGGAGGGTAACAGCAGGCTTCTACAGCTCGTCTGGAAGACTGTGATGAGTAACTACGCCCGAGCGCCGGCGACACCGGTGGTCAACAATGAAGAAGCTTCCACTCCAACAGCCGAGCTCGTGCCGGAGTTGGATGAGCCGATTGGTGGTGAAGAGGCTACTTCTACGATTGCGCCGCCCAAAGTCGAAAACAAAGAACAACCAATAGCGAAAGCAGTATCGGCGCCTGTTCCGAAAGATGAAGTTGCTGACGCCCCGATTGTAAGCGACAGAGTCGCTTCGAAGCCCACTGAAGAAGTCACCCCGAAGCTTGAAGAAGCCCCGCCAGTACAAAAGCCAGCAACGCTCGAGCCCTTCACGGACGAGCTGGACTTCAAATCCTCAAAGACGTACCAGCAGATGGGCAACAGGAAGCCAGAACAAGTCAATACTAGTGATGCCGTCTCAGATACCACCAAAGCACCCGTTCACGTACGTTCAGATTCGGTGATGCAGGTCGAGCAGCCCGTGGTAACTCCCACTGATGAGAAGACGAAGACCGATGGTGTTGTGCAAGCGGAAGATGGATTTGAGCCTCTACCGATGGACGTGGGATCGAGCAAAGGCAAAAAGAACAAGTCCAAGAAGTCCAAGAAGTCCAAGTCGTCTGTTATCGAGCCTGTCGAGTAGGATCGGAAGATGTGGAGGGTCGGTCTAGGAGAGCATGTACAGCTCAGGGTTAGCAAGCTTCAGGACTCTGTCGCACAAGTGTCAAACTGCTCAACCAATTACTGCCCTTGAGCTCACACCATCTTATGTAGCCATGATCATAACTGCGGTTCTGAGGCAGCTGTAAGTAGCTACGACCTGTAACGTAGAAGCTCTTTGTTCAGATGGAACGCCCGAGGTGGACATATTGCGATGAGCAAGATCCAATCAAAGCTTTGCGCTACATTTACCTTGTACAAGTCCGGGTGGTGATGCAGTTGGAAAGGCCCGTCATGCGTCATCGGATTAGTCAGAACGCACCTGGGCAGGCACGGTCCTGAGCGCGCTAAAACGGCCCCACCCTTCCCTCACTCTTCATGCGCTCATCCTCGCCGCGATTGTACCAGACCAGCGAGATTTCGCTCGCATACTGCACATGCCACAAGGACATTCCAAATCACTTTATTGAGCGCTATTTGCTGAAATGCGTGTCTGATTGGATATGCTGACAAGCAGGGCTTGAGCGGCGACTCGAAGAGGCCTTCAGCCTTGTTGGCATTGCATGCTATACAGCAGCAGGTGAGTGTCTCACAAACATGTAGGTGGGATTTGCGACTTACAACAACACATTCATTCGTAGATCACTCACACCACAGCTAACATCTAAGGATGATCAAAAAGAAAGAAACCCGATCATCATCGTCCGCGCTTTATTGCACTCCAACTGACAGCGACCTGTTGTCCTCGAACCCAGACAATGTCGCATCCCCTATCACTACCCAGATTCTGTCCTTTCTCAGCTCAATTGTTATGCACCATCATCGGGATCCACCACTGATTCGGCTCGACGCTCGCGATGGTCTTGGTCCGCGCCTCGTTCGAAGAACCGATGTGTACGTAGCCTGCTGGTATCGCCGGACATCCTCGATGCCAACCCAGCCAGAAGCCATTGTTCTAGTACGGAGTGTGGCAAGTTCTACCTCTACTTAGTATTAGCCTTACTGAATGAGCCAGGTGGTGATTGATGCATACCATCCATGGATCTTCTCCGCCATCTGTACCACATCCATAGGTCTGAGGCCTTCAAGCGGTTCTTGAATGCCAAACCCAGACCAGACAGTATTACCATAACGAATAAGGTGACTAGGGCGAAGACGGCTTCTTTGGACCACGCATGATCCTTTTCGGCAATGATATCCGTGATAGGGTGGGTCACTGTACTAAGTCAGCATATCCTATAGGACCATTACGACTCCGACAATTCAACCAGGCAAATGTCACAGGTTGATCGCCACAAATATTGAATCCAAGAAGATGCTGCAATAGAACTTACTATTCATGAACATGGCTTTGGTCCAAGTGTGATGGTACAAATCGTAGGAGTTGCGGAGCGGGATGGTATAGACCGAGTGTTCCAGAAGTAAAAACACAAACACAAAGCACTCAAAAGTACAGTGGCGGGATCGTTAATACCCAGCAATTACCAATTTCCGATGGATACGAATTTTGGTATAGTAGTCAGTCCAATGATGACAGACAGTAGTGCTTGCGGAAAAAAAAAGATAGAAATCGAAGTATGAGGGAATGCGAAACTCAAGCATGGTGAAGTGGAATGAGGGCTGGCGGTGTGCACGGACGGTCTTTAACCTGAGCGTATTGCCTGCATACGTCAAGCCCAACTTCGTCGTTCTGTCGCTTGGCTGAAAGGAAACCAGGATCACTGTCCACACACTAGGCTTGCCCGTGTGACATGTCATCTTCGGATGGCTTTCAACTTGCATGAGCAGTACAAGCTCGTCTTGCAAAACACACGCAAGGTACTGTTAACCGCAGTTCTACTTCGTAGAAAAAGGTTGGCCTGCATACTTAAATATAAAGGTTAGTAGTAGTAGTAGTAGTAGTAGTAGCGCTAGTCTTGAGTCTGACAGCATCTTACAGTGTGAATTAGATCAAATAGCATGTTGGTATGGAAGATTTGCAGCAAGCTCACCCTGCTGCGGCTGTGTCACACCACACGCCACAGGTCGCGCGAACCTTGTCACTGAAGCCTCTCAACGTCGCGAACAGCTGTCCTAAGCGATGCAGATGAGAATATGTGGTACCAAGTTGAGGACCATCAACGAGGACTGAGCCCCGGTGATAGTTCCAAGAGACCATGATATGGCCAACGAGAATCACGAAGATCAGTGGCCACTTATATTTTTCATCAGCAAGGCCTGCATGACCGTTGTCATCCATACTAGGGGAAGGCTGTCCCTCCAAGCTGGCTTTCAAAATAATTCATTTCCTTTGAAGCGCTTGAATGAAGATAGAAATGCGGACCGAGAGACTGATGGGGGTGTCTACATGTAGCTGGCAATGAGCAAGGCTAGGTAGGCATATTCAAATGACGAGAAGCCGAACAGATGCATTCCAACTTCGAAGACAGCAAGCAGCATTTTGCATACTTATTTCATTCCCTATCCAAATATTCACTCTCAAAGAATCCCATACCGATCCCCTACCCTCAGCGACCCGGCACTTACAGCAGTAGAGTAAACTCATATGCACCAGGCGCTCAAGAGCAAGTGGAAAGAAGGTATATGCATGGCTCAAACCAGCCCATCCGAAACCTTCCTAGCGGACAGGTAACATTCAACCTCTTAAAAAAATATCCTCAAGACATTATCGACTAAAGTATCTCGCCTCGCCTGCTCCGGTGACCAGCCTCAATAGGTGTGACTAGGTACGGTTGATGCGAGGCTACAGGGGGTATAAGCATCGAAAAGCAAAGAGGTCTAGTAGTGACTGGCCTTCCAGTGTACATCCAGCACGTTTTTTACAGTGAGGATGTGCAGTGGGAGGGAGTCGCTACAGAGAATCGAAGCCAAGCGAAGGGAACAGGGTAACAACGAATTCGCAAGGAACCGCGTACCTCTAGTTGGAAAGGGTTCACAAAAGGAAATAGCGAAAACTCAAGATCAAGAAATCGCTCAGACGTTCCTCATAAAAGCACCAGTCTAAGATTCAACTCTTGTTTACATAGCCATACCAGGGACCGGCTTCCGGGCCGGGATAGGAACGGGTCCATTGGGGGTGATGGCGTTGGGGTTCATGGGACTGGGACCGGGTGCTGGACCTCGTCGAGGGTTACCGGCCTGGCTTGCGGAGTTGGATCGCGGACGGCCGCCCATTTGGGGTGGGGGTGCCATCTGGGGTCCGCCGCCGTAGGGGCCGGGGGACATGGAACGGGGTGGGCCGGCGTAGGGTGCGTTGCTGTTAGAGCGGCCGCGGGGAGGACCTTGTTGAGGAGCGTTGCTATTGGATCGCATGCGAGGGCTTTGTTGCATCTGCGGGGAGGGCATCTGCTGGGGCGACATCTGGCGAGGGGACATTTGACGGGGACCGGGGCTGCCTTGAGGCATGTCGGGCGAGTTCATGCCAGGCGATTGGGGACGTTGCTGAGGACCGCCGGGACCCATGGCTGGGCGGATGGGTGGGCCGCGCATGTTACCTGGTGGTGGGGGACCGTTGCGAGGAGGGCCGTTACGAGGCTTGACCGGGTGCTTGGAGAGACATGTGCGGGGAACGACACCTTGTTGCGAGCGATCCATGCGGATGCAGAGAGCCTGGGAAGAATTAGTCATTGTATCAAGTCAGAGAGAGGTTCATCTTACCCATCCATCGTCGTACTCGTGGAGCATGCGAACCAGCTGACCAGCGTGGAGATCGAGTTCATCTTGCATAGAAGGCTTGAAGTCAAGTTGAACACGATGTACGTTGTTAGGACCGGGACCCATGGCAGGGCTCTGGGGACGAGCACTAGCCATAGCGCCAGCGACAGGAAGAGGACCAGCAGGAGCTGGGCCAGGGGACGCGGGGATGTCTTCAGTCCATGCCGGGCTCGGGGGAACGCTTCCGTTAGTGGCGGCGACAGTGGGTGGTAGAGGAAGCTCAGAAGTAGGAGGGGGAATCGTAGACTTGGCTCCTGCCAGAGCAACAGCATTAGAATCAGCGGTAGCGATAGCGGGAGCTGGGTTGGCAAAGTCAGAGCTGGGCTTTGAAGAGTGCATTGCGGAGGCCATGGGAGAAGCATTGGGAGGCGAGTCGGGGATGGAAGCTTGCTGAGTATCGACCGCAGCCTTGTTTCCAAAGGGGTTCGCTGAAGGAGGACCAGATTGCGTCTCAGGATCCTTGAATGGGTCGGCAGTGGTAGCGTTGGCGGCACCACGTCGCTCCCAGGCGCTGGTAGGACGTTCGGCTGAGGCTGAAGGCGAAAGGTTGCGGTTCTGGGATTGAGCAGCAGCACCACCGGCGGCAGCAGCGACATTGAGCAAGTTTCCTCCGCTCTTTCGCTGTTCGTTGAATGCTGGATCGAATTGAGTAACGGGTCGCAGGCTAAGTCGGGGTGCAGTTGAGGCGGTACGAGCAGAACGGATGCTGCCTGCCGGAGCAGCACCAGCCATGACTTGAGGCGGCGGTGCGGGTGCGTTGTACATCTCAGTCTTCTCGTTCTGAGCAGCTGCGGCGGCCATTTGCTTCTTCTTGCGACGGTACAGGAGCAAGATGCCAGTGAGGATGGCACACAAGACCAGGAGTATACCCAGGGCAAGACCTGCCTTCGCACCGGTGGACATGCCTTCCTCAGAGTCTGCTGCGGCGGCTGAAGAAGAGGATGCGGTAGCTGAAATGGTCGCAGCTGTGGCAGATGCGAGACCTGCGATCGACGAAGCAGGGCTGGGCGTTGGAGACTTGGTCGCTACCATGAGGGTCGAGGCAGGCTTGAGCGGGCTCTTCGCGGTTTCGGTCTCCTCCACGATGAGTCCATCGTCGTCCTGGGTAGATGACGGCTTCCTCGCAGTTGTGGTTGGCTTTTCGGGCTTGGCAGTCTCCTCTGGCTCGTCTTCCTCCTCAGTAGTCGTCTCGCGAGCGCGTGTAGCAGGCGCGGGCAATGCAATTCCTGGATTCTCAGTCGGCTCCGGTCGTCCATCCTCTCCTACAGTCACTGCGACGACCGCCGTGACAATCTCGACGGGGCTATCGCGTTGCCGTCGCACAAGATGCGATCCGGCGTGTTGATGCGCCATGGCGTGCATTGTGGCGTATCGAAAGGTCGGTTTGGGGGTTGGTAGATTATGTTTTATGGTGTTTGGTTATGGCTCTCAGGTGAGAACTACGCCGTGAACTTTACTGTAACCAGCTCTTGCGTTCGAGGTTCCGTATGGTGCGTGATTACGTATTACGCGCAGTATAGGATTTCTCGAGGGAGGTCGGCTCGTTGTAAGGAATGTGGTGCTCGACAGGCGTACGGGGGTGGATATCGTGTATTGGGTGAACTAGGCACTAGACAGAAAAGAGTGTAACTATGGTTATGCGGTAAAGAGTGAAATGCGACAGGTAGCGCTTGATGAAAGAAGGACAAGACGACAACCTGGCCGCAGGAGTACGTGATGTCGTGAGAGGAATTAGAGAGGCGGCGTGGAGGTGAAGGAGCGTCGGCGCAGGACGCGGCAGAGAGACCAGGAAACAAACGGCAGAGCGCCAACCAAGCTCGAAACGCCCGCGTGCCTGGCAAGGCCGAACCGTGAGAGCTGAACCGTGCAGCCGTACATCTTGCCGTGATGCGCATTAGCCTGAGGTTAGGCCCAGGTACCCGTGAATGGTGATTGGGCCTCCCATCTAATTTCCTGGGGGCGTTTGGCGCTCGAGCTATTTTCTGCCTCAGCCTCGCGTTGGTTCGCAGATGGCGGTGCGCTCCCCCTTATCGAGGGTGATTATCGGCGGCTTTGAGATGGCGACATGGGCTTGGGGAGCGAAATGTCATCATGGTTTATCGTGTGGTGGTCGATGCGCATTGTTCCTATGTACCCTCACGGCGTACGACCGCTCCATCCAATATAGCTCATCGGCGCGCCCAGTCAGCGTAAGCAAGTCGAAAGCGCACCGATATAGCGACCCAAGGAATATCCTGCACATCCGGTAATTACCTGCAGATGGCAGATGCAAGCCTGGGTGCCTCGTGCATGGAGGTTGCTTTCCTCGGCCGGTACCCGTCGAGTCGCAATTTCGCTGCTCATCAAAGCTGCATAACAACACGGCAGAGCCCGGTCGATGACAGCATGCCTGCGCTAGGCGGTTGTATGTTTGCGACGATTATTTCAGGTCGCGTGCTCTTCGCATCGTGTCGAAGCGGCCTTTGGTGCCTCAGGGCGAAGGTCTGCAGTGGCAAAAGTAATTCGCAGTGGAAATTGACAGGTGTGGCATTAACAGCAATTAAGGAAAAGTCGGGTTGCGCAATGTCGGTTCTCAAGGACACGGCATGCCCAGCTTTTGTAATCTTGCTGGATTTCACGGTCATGACGAGATATGTTTTTCGTCTACATTTCCGCACGTCGTACAGCTGTGGCTTCCAGCTGAACGCATGGTAGAATCGTGCAAGATAATTCATCAAGTTTCCGCGTACAGCTGAGTGATTTCTGCGTACCGTTCCCAAATGATGTCCTGCACTATGATGATCAGGCCAAAGTCTCCATCTCTTTTCCACAGTCGTGGCAATGACAGGATGCCCTCTAGTAGTAGGCCCTCAAAAAGCGTTTGCGAAGGGGACGGTACCCGATGTTACCCCTGGAGAGAAAAAATAGAAAAGCACGCTGCGCTACATGAGCACGAACTGCATGAATGTCTCTGGAGCACCGCCAGCACCCAACTGACAAAATGAAATGCCTGCTACCAGAATTGAACTGGCGGCCTCGTCATGTTCCGTGAGAACATACTAGTGACGCGCTCTACCACTGAGCTAAGCAGGCTGGTATTGGTAGTGTTTGGATTGATGATGACTAATTCAAAAATATTGTTTATGTTGTCGAGAAAAACGTCCAGGCTGAAGCCAGATGAGTCGATGTGATGCATAGTAGCTGCGAGAGTGTAGTCGTTGGAGTAATTAGTCGTGTTCTCCACATAGGTGGGCTCGTGTATCCTAGGGTTTCGATGCGACGGTCGAACAAGCGCCACCGCTATTGAGATAGCCCCGAAAGAATACCACAATGGTGAGAAGGTGCTGTGCGAGGTATAGGCCACGCGTAGTTCTGACATAAGATGATGAAAAACCATATAGACGTTCTGGTGAGGGCGTTTAGCATGTGAAGCCTGCAGCTGGTGGGGACAGAGCCTCCAGAGAACCGGAGCTTGGGCACAGATAAGTGGGGCGGGCTAAACGATGCGCTATCGGCGTGCAGTCACCGATCCATAGCTTCTTCGCATTCTGTCTTTTCGGACTCCCTCATTATGCGATCCACGCCGATAACGCCGTTCCAGGGCCATTGAAGGACCTCCACCGCAATCGCGACTTCACCTTGTGTCGTTGTGGACCCAAATCCTGCTGCACCGCGCCTTCTTTAGACTGCTACTCAAGCTTTCACTCAGGGTCCGGGCACATTGGGTCGATCAAATCTTCTTTTGATGGCCAGCGCTGCTCCCATTCAGAACAGGCCATACCGCTCACACAAAGTACCGGCCTGTACACGATGTCGTTCGCGCAAAATCCGATGTCACATCGACATTCCCGGAGAGCCATGTTTGTCATGCCGAGAAAGACGCCTCAAATGCCAGTATGTCGAAAGCTCAACAACCAGCTCGCCTACGGAAGAGGGTCCAGATCGACGGCCCTCCAAACGGCGACGGCACAGCGAGCCTGAGGAAGGTCCTTCTCGACCTCGCTCAGCACCCATCTTGCATAAAACCAACAACAATCCTTCCGCATCCATTATGCTTGCGCCGCATTTTGCTGAAGATATAGACATCTTCAACCGACATATCTCGCAGCATCGAAAAGCAGAGGGTGAGGTGGAATCTTCCAACTATCAGACGCTCTTACACGATGCGAAAGATCCAATTGTTTACCTTACAGTCCCAAGATTTCGCACTGGACTACCACCCAACAGCGGCTGCGGGAGAGAGCAATTGGAGATTGTAGAGCAGATCATGGGGCCTTTCAAGCGGGAAGTGGTCGAGCTGTATTTCAACCACATTCATTACCACTTCCCCATCCTGGACGAGGAGATGTGTGAGACGCTGCGGACAGGACAATACGGCAAAGTACCAAACAATCTGATGTGTGTCATCTACGCACTTGCATCGCCACATTGGGCCAAGTCGGATACGCTGAAGATGCACCCCAAACCAAACTCATACTACGTATGGAACAAGGGTATCTCAGCGACACTCGAAGACTTTCTCAGCCCTGGAATGTCTACTATACAAGCCGCTGTACTTGATCAGGTTGGACGTCCTTCGGTCTCTATCATCGGTAACATCACGCTATGTGGTCGAACGGTATCTTTGGCTCAGACGTTTGGGCTGCACCGGGATCCATCGAAGTGGAACATCACAGAGAATGAGAAGTCGGTTCGGATGCGACTCTGGTGGTGTGTTCTCATCACCGACCAGTGGTCTAGTGTCGCATATGGCGCACCACCATATGTGTCAAAAGGCTATTACGACGTACCGCGACCGACTGTCAGCTCACTCATTGGCACCAAGGCAACCTCGCAGCAGAAGCAAACTACCACCTGCTTCATACATCTATGCTCTTTGACGGAGCTGTTGGCCGAGATACTTCCTCTCGTCTACCAGATAAGTCCAGATCGAATACAACTTGGCCGGGAAATTGATCGCTTCAAGCATGAGCTAGACGATCTAGAATCACATCTTCCGGAATGGCTTCCTCTCCCAAATCGCCCAGGAACACCTATGCTATGGCTATCCTTCCTCTCGATCAGGCTTGTACTCGCCCGCCTCATTTTCCGTGCAGCTGTCCTTGACGGAGACGGTAGTATAGGACGAAATCGGATGGACCAGCTGCGCATCGCATCATCGGCAGTCCTCGACTTCATTTTGACCATGGGCGAAACCCAGTTCCTGGACTTTTGGCTGCCCTATGCGACTCACCTCTTGGTGCATGCAATCACTGTGTCGCTTCGCTGCACTGTTGAGACCCAAGATCCTGGAATACGAAATACATGTGTCGCGCGCCTCGAGCGCGTTATTGCGCATATTCAGCATGCGCGAGACAACTACGACTGGGATCTCGCAAACTATTGTTTGGAGCGTTGCGCTGATCCTGTGTCGAAGATTGCATCGCTGAACGCACGAGAGGCGCCACAGCCATCGGAGACGGAGCTTACCAGCGTCGCACCTAATGGCAATGGGATCGACGTACCGGTGATGCCTAATTTTGACGATGCGACATTCCTGTTGTCTGACATATTGGATCCGAACGCTTTCGATTTCTCCTGGGATGCGTTGTGGGATACGCCGTCCGGAATGACGAACTTCTCCTTGTAGAATGTTATGCTCCATCATTCCTCTTACTTTGAGCGATTCATGTTTGTGGTACAGATAGCAAGTATGAAAGAACACCTTCCACATACGTGCGTCAGCCCCCATGCAATACCCCGCCACGGGCTCTTCACGTCACGAACACCATGCCCTTTCCCCTCGAACTGGACACACTCACGCCACGTTCTCGCAATCCGGCTTAAGACTTAGTTGACCAGGAGATCGAGGTTCTCCGTTTATCGACTTTGATAACTCGAATCGAAATGGTCCCTAGCGCAAAAGCGGAGAAGGTCAACTCTAGGCATGGAGTGCACCAATCATCTGACGCCCAGCCTGACTGTGAGATTTGCAGCAAGATCCTTCTTTGCGCTAGCCGGGTCGACCGAACCGACAAAGGAATTATCTTGGGCATAGCGGAAGATCTCCTACAAGGCCAATGTTCTCACGTGGCGTTGTTCCAAGATTGGTTACGCGATCGCCTTACAGATAATCCACTCCGTGCAAGATCCCTTTTGACAATCGAGAACGACAATGAGGAGCAACAATTCATACGTTTTCAGCTGGAATTTTCGCCTGGAAATCATTGGAGCTACTACGTGTCGAAGCCTATCGGGTTACTTCGCAAGCTCACAACGCCCGACCATCCTGGAGTAATGCGAGATGTAGATCCTCAATGGATCGATTTGGACTTGTTGAAACAGTGGATGACAGCATGCAATACTACCCACGGAGTTCGATGCAAGGAATTGCCTTGGCTCAAACACATTGGGGTTGTGCGACCCAAATACCTTATCGATACCATGGAAATGTGTATCGTTGAAGGTCAGCGGGTCGAAGAAACATACATTGCACTGAGTTACCAATGGGGCCAGACTAAGACAATTCGAAACACGACTGAGTTGCACGGAAGACTTCTCAAGCCAAATGCGCTTTCAGACTGGGAGCTTGCTCGACAAATACCACGAACAGTCATCGATGCTTTCGTCCTTGTCAAAGCGCTCGGCTATAGATATCTCTGGGTGGATGCCCTGTGTGTGGTGAGTACCTGCATTCACTGCTTGGCTCAAAGTAAAACGCAATTAACATTAAGTCAGATACAAGATGATCATGTTCAGCTTGCTAGTGAACTGTCTCGAATGCACCGCATTTATCACTCTGCTGACTTCACCATCGTTGCTGCTGACGGATTCGACGCGAACCATGGATTACGAGGACTCAAAGGCATGACCGCCGCACGGGAGCATTCTCAAGTGCCTGTGCAGCTATCTGGATCAGAAACGGTGGCAATACGCCATCCTTCGACGGCATACACAGACTCTCGAGATCCGAACAGCTATTACACCAGAGCATGGACGTTCCAAGAGTTTGGCTTCTCACTCCGGAGATTGGTCTTCGCAGACAATGCTGTCGAGTGGCACTGTGAACGTGGTCGGTTGCGCGAAGATACAATCAGTGTGCTACCTGAGCCGAGTGATGGCCAATACTTTGACGGATTCCGACGTCCCACTGTTCATCGACTGCTTACAGATAGAATGCCAACGCCCCAGTTACTGAACAATCTGGTCAGTGCCTATAATACGCGTAATTTAAGTTTTCCAGAAGACGCATTGCCTGCATTTGCTGGCATTCAGAGCCTGCTCGAACTGTTTTATCAATCTGGCTTTCTATATGGACTCCCAATATTTTGGTTCGAGCTAGTGTTATGTTGGATTCCTGACCATGATTCAGTGCGGCGTATAGCCTCCAGTTCAATACACTCTACTGGAACGTCCTATCAATTGCCAAGTTGGTCTTGGGTCGGTTGGACCGGCAGTATACGCTTTCCAAGTGACGACGTCTACGAAGATGGCCTGCGACACGGTGACCGGTTTACAGAACCCGTCACCAAGTGGTATGCTCTTACCCACCCTGCCTCTCTTGATCGGAGACCGATCACTTCAGTATGGTATGAATACCGCTCAAGGGCGGTAGAAGGCCGCTTAGTCGCTTTACCTCCAGGATGGAAACAGCAAGCCGGTGTAAGACGAGGATCTGTGTATAGCCATACTCGTCGCCCACACGAGAACTACGCATATCCATTCCCTGTACCGGAGCCTTGCTCTAGAAATGTCAGCATATTTGTCCCACAAACCGCATACCTCAGCGCCCACACAAGCCGAGCATTCTTGCGTGGCAGATCCTTGCATAATGAACAATACGAATTGATGGGTGATCACCACCTGTGGCTGAAGTCGTCGCAAGATCAGACCGTTGGCTTGCTTTACCTCAACAACCCGGAACAAAAGTCTCTCTTCAAACACACGGGCGGCGACTCTTCGTCTGCCAATCCATTAGAGCTTGTGGCAATAAGTAAAGGAACGTCACAATACCTGTTCTCTCCAGAAAGAGACTGGGAACTCGAGCTCGAACGGTGGTCCAAGCATTATACTGGAAAAATACAGGCTACTGACTGTATCTACGTGCTATGGGTTGAGTGGGAAGACGGTGTTGCGTACCGGAGGGCTTGTGGGGTAGTCACTGCTGAGGCTTGGGAGCGAGAAAGAGAGAAGGAGCTTGTCGATCTGATTCTTGGGTAACAGCTATAATGATTCTGTGAGGGCAAACATCTTGACCCAAAAGTTGTCTCTGTAAATTTACTACCATATTTCATATCTGAGTCCCTCAGTCGGCGCGATCGCAAATGCGCTAGTCTATAAATCATTCAACCAGTCACCCACCATCCAGCAGCTTGTGAGCTACCATAAGACACCTCCACACCAACACGTCAGCTCCAAGCAGTACCAAGCCCTATTCCTTTCTTCTCACATCCCAAAGCACATCCTCCACAACACTCCCTCACCTAGCCAATCCCTTCGGCCCCGCCCACTCCCCCTTAACATGATACTTCCCATACACCCACGGAAAGAAATCCTTCTTCAACCAATAAAACGCCTTCCTCGGGACCCCCTGATCAATCCCCAAAAGCGCATTGAACGTCTCCTTCGGCACACCCCCATACTTAAACTCCGCAAGTAGAACCTCTTTCTGTCCCGTCAACAACGGACATGATGTATATCCATCATAAGCTGCCGTCAACTCCTTGCCCTCCATCGCTGAGAGTACGTTGGATACCAGCACCGGTGCTTCCGCCGTGATAGCTGCGACGGTTTTGGAGGTGGGGAGGGAGGATGCGTCGCCGATGGACCAGATGTTGGAGTAGGAAGTGTGCTGCGTTGTGGTATCTGAGACGGAGACGTAGCCTGCTTCGTTGGCTAGGGGGCTAGATTTTATGAAGCCCCATGGCACGTTTTTGGGTGCGACGTGCAGGAAGTCGAAGTGTTTTTTCACTGGGGTGGGGGAGTTAGGGGATTTGAAGGTTGCGGTGTTGCCGGAGATGGAAGTCAGGTCGTGTTGGAAGAGGCCTTCTACGCCGCGTTCTACGCGGAGCTTTTCGAGGGTCGCTGCGCTGGTGGGGTGTTAGCATATTTTTGCCTCGTTGTATGCCGGCAGGAAGAGGAGACGACCTACTATTTCGGCACCCCAAACATCGTTGGCAACCCCGTCGCAAACGCAACATTGATATCCTTCGGATACAGTCCAGCGTCCTTCCAATAATCCAACGCAAGCCACATAATCTTCTGCGGCGCGCCCGCACACTTGACCACACCAGCTGGCTGCGTAAACACCGCATCCCCCTTGTTAAACTTCTTCACATTCTCATACGCCTTATCGCAATACTTGTAATCATATATCGTGCTCACCATCGCATCTTTCTCCTCCAACGCCTCCTTCAGCCCCCCAACACTACCATAGTCTAAGGTGATACCAGGCACAACGACCAACTGCTCATACCCGATCTTCTCACCTGTGGAAGTAGTCACGTAATTCTGCTCCGGCGCAAAACTTCCTACCGCGCTGTTGTAGAATTTGAAGCGTGGGTCCATGAGCTCTTTCATGGGACGGCGCAGATCTTCCTTTTTCTTTAGACCGCCGCCGACGAGGGTCCAGCCCGGTTGGTAGTGGTGCCATTGCGCGGGGTCGATGATGGCGATGTCGTCTTGGGAGAAGTTTCCTTTGCGGAGGAGTTGATGGGAGAGAGATATACCGGCTGAGCCGCCACCGATAACTACGATCTTGTGGTTGCGGGTTGTTGTTTGGACCGGTGATACGGTTGCTAGACTACGGATGGAGTGTTGGAAGGCGGGTCGCGTGATCTTGGTCGCTGTTTGCGATGCAAGATTTCGGGTTAGTGCGGACATGGTGGCAGGTCTCGGCGAGTGTCCGCAACGGCTAGGAAGGGAAAGGAAAAGTGGAATGTAAAGACAGACAAGAAGGCTTACACAGCGAAGTATGCGGTGCCTCCGGTCTTTGACTAAACATTTCATGCCATGTGGGTCAGCGGCTAGCATCTTAAGAACGACCAATGAATGAGGTGGAGATGGGTACTAGCGTGATCACGACATCGTACAACCAGTAAGCCAGCAGTCACAACCAAACACCACAAATGCGACAAGACACAAAATGTAACTATACACAACATAACATTAACTCATTTTAATCATGAAAACTATATAACAGACATCCTATCCCAGCGACTTTTTACAAGCGCGACAATCCAGCAATCTCCCTCGGGGCGTGGTAGTTGGGGACCTTCATGTCGAGGGCGCTGCCGCTGTAGCCCAAGTCCTCTCCCGTAAGCACGGCGCACTTCTCGCCGATGAGGAGCGCAGTCGAGTACGTGTTGCAACCGACATTGTCGGGGCAAATGGACAAGTCGGCGACCTTAAGGCCCTTAACGCCGTGGACGTTCAGGCGCTCGTCGAGCACACCGTGCTTGACGATGGAGTTGCCGTTCCTGGGAGCCATGGAGCAGGTACCGAGCGAGTGCCAGGTGGTTTCAACGTGGCCTGTAGTGTGTTAGTGAGAAGTTCAACTGATCATGATTCGGGGGAGACATACGCTTGGTCCAGTCCTCAATGTGCTTGATGTCCTCGGTGGAGTACTGTAGGTCCTCCTGAATGTCCTGGCAGCTGCTGCTCAAGAAGTTGGGCTTGGCTGCACGACCCTTTTCGATAGGCATAGTCCAAGATCCGTGCTGAATACCGGCTGTGATGTTACCAGGGAGCGCGTAGGCGTTGGTAGTTTGAAGATCCATATCTTTGGCACGGGCTGGACTGTCGTACGCGTAGAAGGGGTGCATGGCCTGCACCTCACCAGCGTAGGCGTCCATACGGCGGGCAGTCTCACGGGACTTGATGTAACCCCAGACCATAGGAGCCATGTCGCGCTTGTCATTCATGAAACCGGCGTCGAAGTCGGGGGCCTCGTACGGGTTTGGCGACACAATGTGCGTGGAACCACGAGAGAAGGGATACTCGAGGAAGTGGAACATGGTGAAGAACTTGCCCGGTGGCATGACCATGTGGTCACCGAACCAACCAGCAATGACGGAGTAGTGCATGACGGGCTTATCGGGCTTGTCCTTGAAGTACGAGTCCCAGCCAGAGCGGAACTCCTTGCATGGCCAGCTGTCCATCATGTTGAGTTCTTCCTCAGTCGGTCGGATCTTGACACCAGCCTCGATACCGTTGGTGGCGAGTGGGCCAGTGCCGTTGGTGTTCCATTGCTGGAAGACCTGCTCCTGGACCTTGGGGTCGCCACGGACGAAGTCGTCGAAAGATTCGACGTGAGGCTTAGCGCGGTAGGTGGCGAAGGTCAAGTAATGATCCTGGAAGTTGAGACCAACACCAGGAAGATCAACAAGAGGCTTGACGCCAGCCTTGCGAAGCTTCTCTGGGTCACCGATACCAGAGCGCTGAAGGATGAGAGGAGAGCTCAGAGTACCACCGGAGACGATGATCTGCTTGCGAGCCCTGATGACCCTTGACATCTGCTGTTCGGGGTGAAGAGGCTTGGTCGGGACAACCTTGACACCGACGGCGCGATCACCCTCCAGAATGACCTTGTCAACCTTGTTGCTGGTGAGAAGATGCAGGTTCTGGTGAACAGCGCGGGTGCTGTGGATGTAGCCGTGAGCAGAGTCAGATCGTCGTCCAGTGTCGCGGTTGATCCACTTGAGCCAGTGCTCGGCACCATGGCCGGTGGTCAAGTCCTGGAGATCGTCGGTGGTCGGGATGCCCTGAGATTCGGTGGCACGGAGGAAGTCCTCCTTGATCGGGTAGGTGTAGTTACCGAACGAAACCTTGATGGGTCCCTCAAATCCGTGAATGTCGCGGTTGTTGCAAGAACGTTGGTAAGTCTCATGCTTCTTCATCAAGGGGATGAGCTCCTTGGTGGTCCAACCCTTGGCCTGGAAGTCGTCGTAGTCGGAAGCGGAGGCGCGAGTGTACATCTGATGGATAGTCAGCAACTGCTAATGATAGTGTAAATGGGGGACTCTTACCATGAAGTTGATGGAAGATCCACCTCCGAGGATGTTGGCGACGGGCACAACAGCTCGGCGGCCATCGAGCCACTCTGAGGGACGAGAGTAGTAGAAGGTGGCAGTCTTGCTGTCCAACTTCATGTTCCTCGGGTAGATACCCGGACGGAAGACCCATGGGTTGTTGAGGTTGTTCTCTCCACCCTCAATCAAGAGGACCTGGAGATTGTGGTCGAGATTGGCCAGACGTCCAGCGACCACACAACCACAGGAACCACCACCACACACGATGATATCGACCTCATCGGGAATCGTCATCTTGAAGGCTGTTGTAAAGATAAAGATACAATTGGAACGGTGTTATTGTTGTTGTATCGTTGACCGCAGGAGACAAGTCAACTGGGCATGATGCTCTTCTCAGTCGAAGGCACGACGTCTCTTTAAACTGCTCAGACCCCGCATCTCCAGGATCTTCGGCTTCAAGGAGGGTCCGTCATCTAGGCTGTGTCACTACGCGCTGTTCATCAGCCGTCAATTCCGATAGCAGCAAGACGCATGCACCGAAGAGGGGACATGTACCATTTGGCCAGCCTCCCCAGCCAAAGAGGCTTAGACGTTGGCTACGACCATCCATCATGGGACCGCAGGGGTCGCCGTCGAGGCCATTCGAAGGAGAGCGGCATGTTAAACTTGCGGATCCGCAAGGTAGGCTGCGTCTATGCCGGACTTCCACAGGGTAGGTGCGCAAACAATGATTGGTCGGAATGCTCGCGCAAGGGTACCTACCGCCCCGACGGTACTGGATAAAGACCGGACTGGGATAGACGCTGCAGATGTCGCATGTTTGCTAGTTGGGTGCGGAGAAGCCTCATATCCAGTAAGAAGGCATGCTCGGTTGCGTATACAGGCCCACTCTTGGGGGTAAGCATTGCGGACCCGAAGCTGAGAGGCCACTGTAGCGTCCCCAGGCGTCGAGATCCAGCGTATCACGTACGAACAGGCATGAACGAGGCGTTTGAGTGAGCCGCCATCGGGAAAGCGATAACCGAGACGTCAATCTGTTCATGATGGATGTATGAAGGAAGAATTGATTGGAGATCTTTGGTTAGGGTTTCGCAATGGCAAGACAGGTTCAAGCACTCTTTGCTATGCTTTCCAGAGCTCCAAGTAGTTACAAGATGATAGTCCTGGAAGCTCATGCAGCTGCGGCAAGTGGGATTAGCTCGCGCCTCGCTGCGGGGATCTTACGGCGCTGACGTCCTGGCCACAGCGTACCCGTGCATCTCTCGTGGAAGAGTGCGGATGTGGGGTGCAGTAGTCGCTGTGCCTCACACGCTCGGCGCACTCCCGAGGTCCCATCGTAGATCGAGGTATCGAAAGAATTCGAGGCTATCGTCAGCATTGATGGCATCAATGACAAGTTCAAAGCACAAAGAGTCAGTAAAGACATGACATCCATCACTATCTCTCCGACTCTACGTCGCCCCCACCCAGTACCACGATGTTGCAGTAGTCGATGTGCCTCACGTTGAGAGGAGGTCTGCCCTTGGCATCGAAGCTAGTGGCATTAAGTGCGGGGTTAGCTCCGCTTCGAACCACGGAAGAACGGTAAGCCAGTCGTTGTAAACGGTCTCTTGCGGGAAAGGAATGGCTTCCTGCTGTAACATGTAACACACCCTGTCCGTCGAGAATAGTCTACATCGACTTGCTGCTAGATGCTGTGAGCCGCAAACCCAAAAGGCGTCCCTCAATGTCACGATGTTACCTTATTCCCGAGGTACAGACCGTGTCCACTAAACTATAAAACCTCAGCGATCGCAACTCTGTTCGGATAATTTGAAGCGAGATGAACGTGTTTCTATCGAACCATACTCAGCAGTAGCTCCATTGAGAATGCGTTGAAGTTTGGCGGTCTTGAATCCGTCCAGATCGGCAGACTACCGCGAAGTTCTTTTTTTTTTGAGGCTGCACGAGGCTGCGCGACACGCGCCACTATGTGCCTGACTCGTCATGAATGCATGAGTTGGGGCTTACGTGGAGATGTTTATGCAGACGCTGACCGGAAAGTTTCCGCTTCCTTGAAAGCGCTATTCTGCAAACCAAGGAGGAGGCTGGGGCACGCGTTGCATCCGCGTTGTACTTGGCATCGGTCGTTCAGGCCGCCAGTCAGCGCGAACTGTGCCCTGGTCCTGAACGGTCCTTCTTCGAAGCTACTCCATCTCCGGATGTGCCGCGATCCACCAGTCGACTCTGTGTTGAATATCGATAAAGCATCGTGATATCAAATTATTGCTATACCTAGCAACACCACCGGCTATTGTGCTGGAGCTATTGTGTATCGAGATGCGGATCCGATGGGAGCACACCGCTTGAAACTGAAATCGATTCTGAATCTGCAGAAGGTCCGAGAGTCTAGGAATACATGATGCGTCAATTCCTCATGACACCCGTCGTGATCTGGGTATCGTTTTTCCAACCTTCCAAGGTGTCTTGTAACGCCGAAATGCAATTTTGTAAGAGAGCGGAGAATGGAAACCAAAGACGCCGTGTATGCCGAGCAAGTCGCTAACAAACAAAGTAATGAAAGTTCTTAGATGATCTCGTGTCTCTCCCAGCCAGTCGGCTTCATGTGGGCAAGGTCCTTGGTCGGATGAGGCTCTTCTGGGTTTCGGTATTCGCTCACGTATGGGTTAGGGTCTTCCTTCTGGTCGAGGTTACCGAACGTGTGATTAACCTCTCGGTGCTTGGATTCGTCTGCGCGGACTAGGATTGGGTTAGTGGGTTGTGCTGCATGGAAGGATCAGGGGTGTATGCACTGTAGAGGAGCAGATCTCGCATTGTACGGTGGCCTTCAGGCATCTGCCAGTAGTCTACCGCGATCTCGGGTGCCTCCATCTTCGCCCACTTGGGCAGGCGTCCTGCATCAAGGTCCTCGATCTGACGTGTGTATGTGATGACGGCTTCCTCTTCGAGATATCCTACGAATCGATGGACGGTGCGGGGACTGAGTAGGTAGGCGAAGAACAATGCGTTGCACCAGACTCCTTGGGCGCCTAACACCATCAGACGCATGAAGCGTCCTGGCTTTTGCATCTTGAGGAAGACGAGTAGGTGCATTCGTTCGTTGTAGCTTTCTTCGAGTAGCGACTCAATCCTGGCGAATGAAGTATTAGCAACTTGCTGTTGTTCTAATAAACGAGGGTGCATACCATCCGTTGTCGCGCTTCATTCGTCTCATGGAGTGCAAGTGACGAAGCATGCCAGCCACCATGCCGGGTACACCAGCAACACTCTCCAGGAAGACGTTCCGTATCAGATACTTCTCTTCATTCATTGCGAAAGCCTTTCGCTTTGCCAGCGGGTCTTTGGCATCCACGTCCACAGCCTTCTGATGCTTGTATCCAGTTGCTTTGTCAAGACCCCACCGTAGGATCTTTACCGCGATGAGGGCGACCTTGTCGGACATGGTCTTCGCTTCCCGGTGCGCGATCGTGACTTGGTTCATCTGCTCCTCGGTGTATACTGATAAGTGTTAGCTAGCTGGCAAAGCGTTGCATACTTGGAAGGTACGTACCTGGATGGGGCCATGCTGCATGCGTCTTGCGGACCTTCTCTGTAGGGTGCTTCTCGAAGAACTCTACAATCTTGGCTCCACCGTTGGGCGAAGACGTGAAGTGTCTCTGACCAATTGGCGATTGGAAGTGCTGTACCGCAACGAAGGTGGGGCGGAATCCAGCATTGTAACTCTGGAAGGATTTGATAAGCTGAGCCGTAGCCCGCTTCGAGGTGGTTGATCCCCTTGTTGCTGCTCTGGTGGAGATCATCTGCGGTCAAGGGTATACTTGTATATGTCGAGTAGGTATACGTAGGGTAAGGGGTATTGTCAACTGCAATGGTAAGTGCTGATGGTTAGCTAAAGGCACGGCTGAGGCACACGTTGGTCCTTTATATCATCAAAGACATAGCGCTGACACCTAAAAAAAAAGCTATCAAGCAGTACTCGTGCCTGCCTGGCGCCTTCAATCATTAGGGTGAAGCAGGAATGGGCATGGGATGCCGCCGCTACACCGCGCCATACCCGTCCAACGGCAGGCTCGGCGAGCGAATAGGCTTCGTTCCAGAGGCCGGAAGTGTCAGCAAGTCGTCAAGAACGGGCGTATACGGTCGCGTGCAAGGACGAGTTTGAGGTGGCTGAGAGAGGTGGTGATTCAGCTGACGGAAGGAACCGGGATCACTCTGCCAAGACATTTGCCATACCCCTGTCTAACAGCCCAAAAGGGGACTTTGGCGACAAAAAAAAGATACGAGAGCATGCCCGCCTCTTTGGAAGTATATTTGATATGTTTTTTTGGGCCGCGTACTGCGAACGGACGATGTTGTTGCGTTGGATGCGTGGTAGCTGCTTCCGAAAGATGCTCGTCGGGGTCTCGCTGACTGAGATCGGGGTCTCGCTGTTTGCCGTCAGACCCGCTGATAGGGCTGATGGCGCAACATGGAAATATCGCTGTACCATAATGGCAATCTTTCGTCTGTGGCTTTGGTGACCTGGTTCATGGGTTCATGGTCAAGATTGAGCGGTAGGGTGCTTTGCGACTACTACCTCAAGACGCGGTGATATGGTGTTGGCAGCTTCAGGTTATTGGTCTTCGACTTAGAGCTCCATCGCACCTGTGGACGTGCGAGCTGTCTAGGCTTCATCTACACACTAGCGACGGGCTCTTGCTTCACCTAGTAGAGAAAACTTCTAGCATCGTGCCGATGACCAATTGAGAAAGGGCGAAGACTGCCGTCGTGTCGGCAAGAACATGCGCACGGCAAGTCACGAGCAGGATGCTTTTTGAGTAAGTATATTATCGGTGCGCGATGCGTGTTGCTGCACCACAGCTCAATCATGATAATTGCGTAGCCTGCGTGCTCGAGCCAAAGCCTGTGGTTGGAAACGCCCGATATCGCACCTAGAATGATGCATGCTATTACACTACTCTTTTCATGGCATTCATGGGCTACGGCAGTGCAGGATATACATGATTGGCAGATATTGGTTCATATCAATGCCGGCAGGTGTGTTGAGTCTTCCAAGGTTGTGTTTGGGGAGCCGAGTACAGCCTACTGGACATTGAAGCCGCTTTCACCGTCCTTGGTCGAAATGTCCGAATGGTCAACCTTCGAGACTGATGCAGCCGACGGTCCCTTGTTCAAGTGTTGAACAAACTCTTTGATCTTGTCCTCGCTGCCCTGAGCCTCACCCTGGACCTGTCCGGTGTAAGTGGTGGTCGGCGTGAGTGTGAGTCAAATACGCACACTCCCATCGGATGCATTGGTCACGAAGCCCGTTACACCGATACTCCTGGCTTGCTTTTGCGTGAAGGATCGGAAGTTGACGCCCTGCACCTCGCCCTCGACCTTGTACTGGATCTGAGTGGCTACATCAGCTTTGCCACTAGTGACGTGGGCAGACAACGCACTCGCTTGCTTGACATTTTGGCTGTAGTTGTAAAGAAGCGTCTCATGTGAGTGGGCTTGTTACGAGAAGGTGTGTCCGGTTAGATCAAATTCATGCAAATGTCTGCGTGTAATATAGGGCTGTATGCTCTATGCAGGCGTGCGACGTCATCGTTATTGCGAAAGGTACGCGCTACTTCGGGAAGGCACCCTTGACCTTTCACCAGGAATGCGGGGCCAGAAGCAACCTTAGTCAGGCGGGAGGCATCTGGCGCCGCAAAGGAGAATTTGCTTTTGACACCTGTTCACTTGAAAGGATAGTCGCAATGACATGCGTTCGCGGCTATACGGAGATTGCATCGGTGAGGAAGCTCAGGGCGATGTGGTGCCGCTAGTCACGCGTTGTTTTCGGATACAATCTCGCGTCGCTCCCCGTTACTGAAACCTCTAATCAAACGCCCCCTATCGCAACCCCGACTCACATAGCAACAACCGCACATTGCCCAGGAGGCTCCGCAAACAAGAGCAGTGCTAGATAACCCGCCACCGCTCCGTAAATGCCTAGGATTCGAAAACACCGAATCTCTCTGCTGATAAGGAGTCTCACGACTGCGACGGCCCTGCACCTGCCACCCCTGTCAACCACCATGGACACGCCCAACTCCCCACCCGCACGTTCAACTTCGCCCGAACCTTGGGCAACCCCATCGCTCGCCATCGGCGCAATTCCCCCGCTCGACCGCTCTGTCTCGACCGCGTCGTCTGTCTCGTCGGCGCGCTCAGTGAGCTCGCGCCTCTCCGATGGCGGCAGGCGACGTGGTTACATGCGCCCCGAGGGCACCGAGTTCTCCAAGTCGGCCAAGAACAGAGAGAGCGTCATGAACCTGGGAACCATTGCACATCTCCAGTACTACTTCGCGCGGACTGGCCTGCTCGACACCGCGACTGGACGCGTGGCCAAAGGCCGCAAGCCCGGATCGCGAACAGCGAGCGGCAACGAACCGATGTCGCCCGGGCTCGATGCCGACTTCTCGACAATGTCGCTGGCGTCACCAGACGGGATGAATGACCCGGTGGGCTTCGTTGAGTCACCGCTTGACGAGACGGCGTCCATGCAATGGGAGGACCCCGAGCCCATGATGCTTCCACCTACCGTCAGCACCTACAAGAATAACCCCGTCTACGTCCCACCGCCGCCTGATATGACTGTCCTACGCCGTGAACTCCGCGAGTCGCTTGCTGAGTCCATGAAACATCTACACGAACTCGAGAAAGGCTTTTCTGACGTTCAGCCGGACGGAAAGACGGCGAAGAACGGTGGCGAGGAAGCTTCAGGATGGCATGAGGTACAAGGCATAAATCTCTTGGACGTTACCACCCTCGCGATCCGCGCCGCGAAGAACTACTACACCGCACACGAAGAACCACAACGACTTTACGCCATCAAGTCGGAACGGACGATCCGAAAGGAACTATACGATACACTTGAGGTCCTTAAGCGTCTCGCCATTCGCAACTTCGGAAACGGAGTACAGCCGTATGAAGTCACCCAACTTAAGCAGTGGGTCGACGACATCGGCACACTGCTCGACACCGAAGAGGAGAAGGAGCGCTTGGAACTCGCAGAAAGAGAAAGCTGGTCGTGGCGCGAGGGTGACTGGACGGGCAAAGAACGCGAGAGAGAGCTGCTCTTCCTCAAGTCGTTTGACAGCAATCCAGAGCCCCTTCCTGAGTGGACCAGCGCTGCCGACTCTGAGCTCCCGACACCCTTCCTCGCCGCACTACAGAACGGACTGCGCCTAGTACATCTCCACAACACTCTCGTCCGAAAGTCAAAACGACACTTTGAAGAGATCAAGACGTACCACACCGACACAGCGAAGCCTTATCGCTGCGCCGACAACCTGCGCTACTGGGTCAAAGCCGCCGAGCTGCGCTGGGACATTAAACTCGACGTTAATGTCATGGACGTGGTTCACGGCGAAGACGCGGAAGCGTGGAAGAAGTTCGACGCTGCCATCCTGCAGTGGTGCCAGGGCGTGCGTGAGGAAATCACGTCGGAATGGCAAAAGCAGAAGAACCAAACGAGAACCCCTACACTACAGATCGACCCGAATTACGAGGCGCTGTGAAGTGGCCTTATGGCAAAGTATTCATGGATCTCACCCTTCTTTCATTTCTTGTCCATGTTTCCCACTTAACCCTTTATCTAATTTGCACGAAGCTCATGTCCACCCACATCTCAACTCCACACCATAGAGAATTTCCTCAAAGAGTATTCCCTGGTTGGAAGCAGGGCTCTTTTACCATTCCGCTCAGAGCGTGCCGATAGGAGGCGGCTTGAGATAGATACCCCCTTTGCACCTGCGGCTTGCAGATCTATAGTGTTATATACAGTCAAGTCGGAATGTAAATAATGTGTACCAATGTATAATACGTCCTCAATCGGAAATCCCATTCAATTCAATTCAACTCGGTCCAGCTCAAAGGACTGGGGATGGATCCACCACGATACGGGGTAGAGAGCACATGACCATGCATAGCACATAGTGAACGTGTATAACACAAACGATAAGATCGACGACCGAGGCGTCTAGAAAGGGTGGCACAGACCGAGGCGTTGCACCTTGAGTGCCAATGAGTGGAATGAGTGGGAATGAAAGCACTGATAGCAGGGGGGAGCTGGCTGCTGGCGGAAATTGGGCACAGCGGCGCCCGGTGAGACACAAGCGGGACGTTTTGTGAACGGGTGTCTCTAGACCTATGGGACGCCTCCTCCAAATACACACAATGGTTACACACCACTCGCGCAAGCACTGTAGACCTTTTCATTGTTGATGCGCCACACCGACATTGTTGTAAACAGAAGCAACGCGTGAGCGCACTAGACTAACGCGATTTCGGCGCCAACCCAAAGAACGTCGATTCATCTCCCGATTGATCTTTTGATCCGTGCATAGCGATACCAGTCCTGCGCAGCCTCCTCTTTTGTCTGAACGCGACCTGGAGGCATCCTCGAGGTCCACACAGACATGCTCAATGAGCGACACGGCCGCGCCGCCTTCAGTTCTCGACAGCAGCCCCGCCGCGACTGCCGTTGACTTGCCAGCGAAGACACCGCCGAACCCACCACCGACGACCACGACGTCGTCATCCTCGCCCAAACCCCTTCGGCACACGCCCCCTCACATCGAGAGCACCACCAAACTCGCGAGAAATGTCTCTCCGGGCCTGCTGGCACGCATGAAATTCCTCAACCAGATCGCCGACACCAACAACAAGAGCGCCGTCGACGTCGGCCGCATCGAGGAGGACCGCCTGCGCCGCCTGGACGAGTTCCGCAAAGCCCGCAGCCTCGACGTCGAGCGCCGCGGCACTGCGTGGACCGGAAAGGCTGGTCAGGTTCCCGCAGCTGGAGAGACGCCGCTCGTGCCCCAGTCGACCGGCGAAAGCGTGCCCACGCTGGTGATGGAGCCCGACTTTGACAGCGACCACAGCAGCGTCGTCAGCACCAGCGATAAAGTTCTCCCCTCTGAGTCAGAAGCCGAAATAGAGCTCGACCTGCAAAAGTACCGCCTGCCCGACGTCACCAAGTCGGAAAAAGCACTCAGCGGCACCATTACCGCTGCTGAACCCGAACCCGCGCCCGCACCACCCGCCGAACCAGCACCCACAGTCGTGCCTGCCAAACCAGAGCCCATCGCGCCTGCCGACCCTGAGCCCGTCACTCCTGCCGAACCAGAGCCCATGGCCGCACCTACTCCCCCACCCAAAGACACGCCACCCCTACCCGCCCCCGTACCCGAAGAGGAGCCATCTGTCCTGGACGACAACAATGGCATCGACATCGCGTCCTACTTCCAGAAGCGCCACTACCCCCGCGCCAACTCCATCTACACCCTCTCCAAGGCCAGCTTCACCAATCAGATCCAGCAGTTGACTTCCATGAAGCTGCCGCCCACGACCATCGCCTCCGAAATCACCGCCCTGCCCACCTCCACCCAGGCCGGACGCGCACTTCACAAGGCAGCCAATGACATCCGCCTATGGATCTCCAAGACGAAAGAGGTCCTCAGCGGCCTCGACGCCGACGACGACGTAGAGTGGGCCGCAGCTGCCGGAAGAGAAGGCCTGGAGGAGGTGGATGCCGCCATCGGCAAGTTCGAAGGGCTTGTGAACGTGTACATCAGCGCGATAGAAGACCTGCAGTCGCGTTCCGACATCGCGCTCCTGCCCACCAAAGACCAGACGACGCTTGTGAGCCAGATGGAGGACATCGTCATGAACTGGGGCGAGATCAAGCAGACGCTCAAGAACATCAAGAACCAGGTCGAAGTCGCCATGGAGTGGGAAGAGCTGTGGAACAACGTTCTTGGCGAAATCGGCGCCGAGGTCAGAAACCTCAGTCGGCTGATATTTGAGATGGAGGAGCGCAGACACCGCGTCATCTCCGACTCAGTCGCCGAAGCTCCAGAGAAGTTTGACATCTCCGAGCTCGAGACCGTCGTTGAGGTAATCCCCCGAAAGCAGTCGATAATCAACAGCAAGCGGCTCAGTATGCCGCCCAGCCTCTCAATCGTCTCGCCTACCTCGCCCATCCCGCAAATCGAACAAGAGAACTCGCGACTGCTAGCCCTCTTCGCCAAGCTACAGCCACTACGTGCTTCACTCGATTTCCTTCCTATGCGACTCAGCGCCTTCCAGATGCGCGCGAGCACCATCTTTCCTTCGGCATGTGACGAACTGGTACGGAGGAAGGAATCGCTAGAAGAGGAAGAGGCTAAGCTTGAAGCCGATGCAGATGCGCTGAGGCAAGAGCTGGGCGAGGACAAATGGGTGCACAGCTTCCGTCAAGCTCACAGCAAGGCTGCTGCCATGTACGACTCGTGCATGAAGAGCATCGAAAGACTGCAGCAAGCCATCGACGACAGCGACGAGGAGAAGCTCGCTACGCGCATCGCCACCTACAAAGACAAGCGGGATCACTACCCTCCGTCTATGAGGCGCGTGCTCGAGCTGATTGACATCGAAATGAAGCACAGGTCCACAGTCAACGGTGAGATCCTGCGTATCCAAAAAGACGTGCGCACAAAAGTGGAGGACCTCGAAGAAGTGACTGGAAACATGGACACCATTTTGAACGATTTCACTGCATCGCGCAAGCTTCGTGACTCGGTCTCCACCGTACTGACAGAGGGCTCATTACCACAGTCAAGCCTTGATACACCGGGCACATCCCCTGCTTCAAGCGTCGTCATGAGCCGTAAGAGTAGTGGACAGCGGCCTTCCATTACTCCGGTAAGCAAGAAGCCTCGTCAGTCCAGCGTTGCGAGCTTGAAATCGTCGGTCCCTCCCAACCGGCGATACTCTAGCATACCACTGGGTGCTGAGAGTGTCGTTTCTCGCAAATCTACACCCTCCGCACGTTTGGATTTCACGCCTTCCCGCGCCATGTCCGGTACTGCAGCTAGTCAAGCACGCTCGAAGACGCCCACTGATAGGCCTGGGCCCAAGCCTCGTTGGAACTCTGACACGCACATGCGTGATACTGTCGTCGGACATAACTTCAAGCCGTTGACCCTGACCACGCCTTCGCCCTTCCGGAAAGACGGAGAATCACCTGATGGATCGCGACGGGGCTCAGCGAGCCGTTCGTCTATACCCCTCAGGAGCCCATTGAGTCGCTCGTCAGCCCTTTCGCCGACTGTATCCAGTCGTTCTCCATCTACTACTCCAGGACAACAGCGCTCTAGTCGATTGTTGCCGAGCCCAATGAACTCCTCTCCTGTTACTCCTGCAAAGGGCAAGCTGCCGGTGCGGTCTACGCCCTTGTCTACATCAAGTACGCCAGCGTCTAGCCGACGTGTCTCGACAGTAGTAGAAAACGGAAACAGCCCTGCCAAGGAAGAGAGCCCTGCGGCCCGTCGCGCATCACGCCCTCCGAGTGCCGCAGCCAGTCGTCGCAGCAGTCTGTTACCTACACCTAGACAGCGCACCTCATCGACTTCCGAGGCCACCAAGTCAACCCCTCCTGGACGCTCTAGCAGCAGGCTTGATAGCTTGGCCGAAAGTCGCACTTCAAGTCGTGTTAGTGGTCGCCAGTCGAGCGTAGGAGACAGACCAGTTTGGAGATAGGCACTTACAAACCGGACATTTCACCTCGACGGACCGGCGCAGAGCTGAACGATACATTTTGTTTCCAAACGAACGACAGCAACATCACGCAATCAACGTTAGCGAAACCTACACCAGCTTATTCACCCCCAACTTTCACTTCGCGTCTGGATCCTGGCTTGGTCCTAACCCCCGTTCTCTAATATCGACTTCTAGTACTCAGCATCTGCATTCTTTCGAGGAACAATCTCCCTTTTTCCCCGCGATGTATCATCGAATATCCATCTCACCTCTGGATCCTTGTTATCCACTTTTTGATTTGTTGCTTTTTCCATCTGGCGTTTTAGCGGTTGGGAGAAAGTATCCTATACCCCGGAGTTTCACACATGTTTTGGTTCCTTTGAAGAAGCATTTTCTGTCTCTCACATACCTAAGCGAGCGAGCGTATATGGCGAATGGAGTGCGTGTGAGCGTTGGCATGTGTTTGTGTGCTAGGCGCTTGCAGCATGGTGGAGGGATCTTGAGAGCATGCGAGGAAATATGCTTTTGTAGATAGGGGCTAGATTGGTATTCATAGGTGGTTTGGGAAGTGGGAGTGGATGGCGGAGGGGAACAGACTAATTCTATGTACGAGCGAGTGTATTTTAGATAGTAGTTGAGCGAGATATAGAATGATACCATAGTAAACCGACGTCTGTTCCATCACTGACTGTACCGCCGATATGACTCACCGGTCGAGGATCAAGCCCAGTCTTCAATGTCATTGTCTCCCGGTATTCAAGACATGCATGTGGACGTGACTAGATTCCATCCTTCGTCTTCGAGCCAACCTTGGAAAGACTTCACAACACATGACCCATAGCAAATACCGAGACAACAATCCCGGACTGTCTTACCAGCCTTTTACTTGGAGACATTGTGCTCACCCAGCCATATAAATTCCTACAAAGCACAGACTCTGTTCCTGTACAGCCGTCCACACCCATTTGCTACCTAGGTATACAAAAACCAACACCTTCACACCCGACCATCTCTATTTAATAAGACCAATTCACAACAACAAAGCATTCTCTTCGCAAGGACATGGCTTTGGAGTGTTTAGCAGAAAATTGTAGGTTCTGCAATTACGAACGGGAACGCGATGGTGTCCCAGTGGTTCCTGCAGCCTCACCCACGTTGTCGATGCTTGATGAGATGCGTTCTCAGATGAGGGTAAGTACAGCCACAACCGAGTTCAACGGCGCCGAGCGAGAGCGTAGTGGTACCGCGTCACCAACTTCGCCATCATCCTCTCTCTCACCATCACCGCCAGACGATGTACACTTCGACATGAGCGCACTAGCCGTATCATTGAGGAGCAGGAGGGATAGTATACATCCTTGTGGGGCCGAGTGTATAGAAGATGTGGAGATGTACTACGTCGCGCAGCCTGGGTTATCAGGCGATTGCACGATCGACGACGAGACTTCAGGAGATCTTGGGATGGAAGATAACAGCAACTCACACAGTCCAACTCCAAGCTCAGTCTACAGCAACGACAACACTCTTCCGTACCCCCTCCACAGTTTCCTCTACACACAAAGCGAAAGCGGTATACCAGACAACGACGAAGACAACACCTCATTCAACTTTCTGGATGAGGTCCTCCTTGATCTTGACACTTGGCTGGTTGCTGGGGGGTTGGAGATGGGTGGCTTGCACGATACTATGACAGAGGAGGAGTATGCAAAGTATAAGGAATGGTACAAGGCGGTTGTTGGGGGTGTTGCGAGGGGCATGGTTGAGCGGGTGGTGGGGGGGGGTGGAGAGGAGGAGGAGTGTGTAATGTGTAGAGGGATAGATGTCTACTTTGTTTTGTAGAGAGTGGAAAGATTAGATTGGCTATACGTACTTCCTATCTAGTACGACTCAAAATTCATGCCACATCTCCTTCACTCCGTAGCCACCTCTACATCCTCGTCAGCGTTCGGTGGCCAACACTTCCACGGATCCCTTCCTTGTCCACCAACCTGTTGACGAAACTCCAGATCACCTAAATGCATGCAGCATATCCTTCTATCGAGGTCGTCACCTTGGTTTTCCTTCAAGATCTTACCCCTTGGACGGCCAACCTTGCAGCGCTTTTGCTTTGGGTCGGCGGTGAGAGCGACGGCGAAATCATCCATGCTGTTGAGGTGTTTTGTGTGTTTTAGAAGCCAAGTATAACCACCTTGCTCGAGCGTCTGGATGAATTTGTCGTAGGAGACAGGGTCTGGTTTGGCGGGAGGAGGTGGCGCCTTTGCTAGAGCGTCCTGAGCTGCTTCTACCAACTGATTATCCTGCGTTTCAGGAATGGCGATGTCCAGGTGAGAAGTTGAGTTACCCTTACGACGCTGGTGAATCAAGAAGAGGTCTTTGTACTCATCGAAAGCATTTGACAGGTCCATCTTGGCCTCAAGGAGCATTTTGTACTGTTTGAGGGCAACCCACAAGTTCGTCTCAGCTTCTTCCAGTTCGCATTCTGATGGTATTGCAGTCGAGCACTCGTTCATGGGTGTGCCGTCAACTTCAATAGGATCAAACGGGTTCAGTGCACGTGCTTGCTGAAGATCTTTTCTTTCGTGTACGCTCATAAAGCCATTCGATCGGGCTTTACCATTTTGCGTAGCCAAGGTTTTCGTGGGAGGTGTGGCGGGCGCAAGAACTGAATATTGGGTCGAGTGAGGCATTGCGGGCGGTCTTTTGATTTTTTGATATCGTTGTCTGTCTTCTGTTTGAAATTGTAAGAGACGGCGAAGGGGATTTTTATATCTGGACCGTGAGATCTTGTCACAGTGGCTGACAACAGCAAATTCGTTGGCATCTGAACATGTCTCGCCTGCATGACATGACGGCGCTGAAGTGTGTTGACGCAACTTCCAGCATGCGCGAAGCTCTTCATTGAAGATCATGATCGTGTCCATGATACTCCTGGCACAGTGTCTTACAACAAGTAATTCCATTGCGTACGTGTTGCGTTGACATTTCTGAATATGCTGGGATGATTGGCGCGAGTAGCAGGCGCAAGAACGACTACACTAGAAGTGGGTATTTCCGAATGATGGTAGCTTCACGGCCACGTTTTGAACAGCTGTAGACCAACCCATAGATTCCTCATGCAACGAACTTCAACCTGTTGCCAAGAATAGTAGAATGAGTAACAACTTGGACGATACTTGAGGTGATCATAGACCTATGACCAATGTGACAACGATGCCGTTGACACCAGGCTGGCCACTCGCTCCATCATCTAGCACCTGCGGACAGATCTGAAACCCGACTCTTTCGTAGAAAGCTCTTGCGCTTGTATTTGACTGCACCATATCAAGATGGGCCCCCTTCGCACCCATACTCTTCACTGTACCCAAGAAACTCTGTATGAGCACAGAGCCCCATCCCTTCCTCTGGTATTCCGGCAGAATATCGATATGCAAATGCGCCGGATAGTGCTCCAACATCTTTGGCCAAGGTTGCAGCATACTACAGTCCGCTTCATACACAGCCTTTCGAAAGTGCTTGGCATCTTGCCTTTCCATCTGCGAATCACCGGTGTGAACATCCGGATGTGGTACGAGCTTTGGATCTATAGTCGGAGTGAACACGTCGCGCCAGCGCTGCGCGAAAGACGTCGTATCTGCCGTACCGATGCAATAGCCCACCACGCGTCCGTTACCGTCATCTAGTACGTAGCATGTTTCGGGTGTTAGATTAACGTAAGCTTTGTACCAGAGATGTGAGCCTATGGTGCGTGTTGGCTCCCAGTCAAGACCCGGGTCGATGGTCTTCAGGAACTGTGGCTGTCGTCAGGATGATGGCGACATGTGAAGCGATTCTGTGACGCATACCACGTGGATTCCGTCTTCGAAATCGGTTGATGCGTTGTATGTTCGGACAAACGGGCTTTTCGTTGTCATTTTGGACTCGACAGTGTAAGTGCAAGGCTCACGCGGTCGCTTGAGTAGGCTGGCTCGCTGGTAGATAGTTTGTGATGGGAAGACGTCTCTAGCCTGTGGATACTTCAAGGAGGAATGAGGTCATATGAGCTCAATGGAGATGGATTTGCGATGTTGTCGCGTCTTAATCGAGCAGCATATTGAGGAAGAGGCAGCCAGCGGGGATGAGGGGTTCAGCCTGCGCCTACTCCGTGATTGGTCATGCATTCTCGGGTCGCGCCAGCAATATATTCGCCCATCAAGACGATGCAAGTTTTCAGATAGCAATTCTCTACATGTGCGCATCGGATCTCGCGTTTGGGTGAAGGAAAGACGCGTCCCTGCGAAGGCTGGACGCAAGGACGAACCCTGCACTAAGCCATTCCCAGCCTAACCCTTTCGATCATGATGTCACTCCCAGCCTTCCTACCTTGCACACGCGCACCCGATGAAGGGACAACCTACATCCTCATCAGCTATTAAATGCCAATCATGAAAACGCATACTCACCCACAGTCGGATAACCAGCGCATTTCGTGTATGGAGGCACCTGCTTCAAGCAATTGAGTCGCCCCGCGCCGCAGTCTAGCTTTCAGTCAGCGCGCCGCTCACCTTCTTCGTCGGAGAGCTGGAGGCTCATCCATGCGCTTACTTTCGACTTCACATGGCCCTGTGTATGGGGGATAGTTTCCGAGCTCGTCGCATTCGGCCTGCCGAATTTCGTTGCCTATATGGAGGCCAGCGACACGTGTGCCCAGTATGGCGAGGCTGAAGACTGCGCGTAGCAACATCGCTTGCAGAAAGAGAAGGGATGTATTGGGGGAGACCTCTAATGTGTTGTCTTTGACATGTCCTGACAAAAAGAGTCATGCCTTCGACTTATACGGTACCGTCGAATTACCCGGATATGAGTGCTCGCTTGCTCCCTGGCGGATACGAGAACAAAGAAAATCTTGCACAACACGAGGCTAATTGGGAGATAAGATCCTGATTTTGTTGCTTTAATCTAATGAGTGGAAGTTCGTTTGATGACGGACGTTCAAGGAATGAAATATCTTCAACAACGGAGACGTAACGTTCGATGGGAGTGGCCATCACGACTCGAGGTCGGGCTCAGATGCGGTTGCGACGGCAATCTTCGCAGACGTTGACATAGCAGTAGCGGCACTGCAAGATGTACTTGTGATGGCGTGCATCGCACATCTCGCATCTGAAGCCTCTCCTTGGCGCACCATGAAAAATGCGCTGAAAGCGTCGCGAATGCTCGCACTCATGGTTCTCCTGCAACTCGGCAGCTACCCTGTTAACACGCTCACGCCACTCACCAGGAAGTATGTTCGGTTCAGCGTCTCTGTACACGATCTCTTCTGCACGCTCTACGATGCGATTGGGGTCTGCTGTACGGCAACCGCATTCCTTCCAGCGCGTGCCACACTCGTAGCAGAACTCAGCCTTGCAGTGGCATCTTCGACAAATTAGTATAGCTTACGCTTACGAAGCGACGAGAACTTACGTCATATGATTACAGCCACTTCGCAGCTGTACCACTCGGGCACAATTATAACAGGTCTGCCATCCCATCTCGCGTGCTAACTCCCGAGTTTGGTGAAGCGCCGGATCATCGGGGCAGTCACTTGCTCCATGGAAGGCTGCCTTGCAGAGAGAACAGGTTTCCTTGCTGCACTTTGGACAGACTGCGCGGTTTGTACCAGGCTCAATATTATCGGGGACAACAAAGGCGTTACAGTCGTGGTTGCTGCAGTACGTCTTGTCATTCGTCGCATATTCCACGGTCGCCAGCTCGAAGGTGGCCAGTTCTTCTGGATCCATGTGCCTGGCGACTAGGTCAAGAAGAATATGTTGCTTGCAGCATCTGGGAGGATACAGACTCTCATCTTTCGTTGACCGCATGAAGAGGCCTTTGATGCAATCAACACAGTAGCGATCTCCACATTTCGCTTTGACCATGGATGCGCGGGGGAAGCGGTCCAGACAAGTGCAGCACTTGAACTCAGTCGATAATTTCTTGATGATATCGGCCTGGCGCTCCACGTAGGACATTGATGGCCCGGCCTCTGTCTCATCATCGGAGAACTCAATGACCGAAGTAGCAGCGATGTTTCCGGATACGGTGGACATCCAGTCATGGACTTTGCCTTGAAGGTTGGCTTGTACGGACGGAGGTGGAGCCTCGATGTTAGGGTCATTGTTGCTCAACTCCAACGCAAAACGGCGGTCTTCATGAGCTTGAACATCTTGGGAGGTAAGGTCTCCGATTACGATGCTATCGGAGTGCACAGCAGCCCCAATACTCCGGGCGAGCTTCTGATCGGCAAGAAAGTCCTTGTAGGCCTGCAGCTCTGCTTGGAACTGTCCATAGACAACCTCGATGTCAGGAGGTTGGTCCACAGGATGCTTTCCTTTGCCAGAATTGGAGTAGGCACCAAGCTCCTCGAGCTGCAACGCCAATGCAGCCATCTCATCATCGATATTGCCCACATGAGATGCTTGAGGGACAACGACGGACATGATTGCAGATGCGGATGAAGGACCAAACTAGGCACAAGAGTGTGAGAAGCTAATGGATAGGGAAGCACAAGAGATTGTCAGTGACGCAGAAGTCTCGAAAAGACAAAGAAACCGGCCTCCTCACGTTTAAAGAGTCGCGTGCAAACGCGGGGTATGTGCTTCGGGGTATGGTAGGTTGCCAGTAGGACCGACTACCCCTAAGCTCAGAGATCCGATTAGCTATGCGATGAAGTTACTTTAGTCGAGGAACCGATCAAGGCCGAAAACCCGAACTCCATGTATCGAACACCATCAGGTCACTGTCTCCGATGTTCAGAATCAACGACCAACGCCGAAGCCCCGGAAATGATGCATATCCGTATCATCGAGACCAAACTACTCAAGGACGAACAGCGTTGATAAGATCAAGTAGCATTCGCACAGCATCCATTCTTCGCCATGACGTATCCTATCCCCGCCCAGCTAACAACCCATTGTACTCACAACCCCAAAATCCCCCTCAACAAACGATCCATGCGGCCCCAGCGAATAAACCTGCGGCATATCCGCCCTAGCCACCTCCTCAAACGTCCTTCCATCAAGCCCCACAAGAGTACTATGCGTCCCCTCCCTATTAATCGTAATCGTAATCACAATCCCATCATCCTCATCCACCGCACCAGGTCTCTGAATAAAAATGGGCTCCGTAGGACAACTCTCGCCATTCTGCGGTACCCAACTCTTAAACGTGCCAGTCCGCCAATCAGACTTGAAGAGGTGGCCGTAGAAGGATGCATGTGGCATGTCGACGCCGTTGCCGAGACGCCCGATGGGGACGTGGGTGCCTGGGGCGGCGACACCGTTTCCGGATACGCCGTAGACGAAGCGGTATTTTGGGTCCATGGATGCGGCTTTGGAGATGCGAGGCAGTTCGGCCATCATGTCTGGGATAGCGGCTTTGACGGTGCCGCGGGTGATGATGGCGGGATCGCGCGTGTTGACGGCAGGGAGTTCGTAGCGGATTAGGCGACCAACTTGGTAGGGTTTGAGTGGGTTAATGATGTTAGAAATTGCGTACTCGTTGTACGGATAGTGTTCGGCCTTGTAGCTGGCGATGTCAACATGGACGTTCGTGTGCCCGGTTTTGGGGTCGATGTAGTCGTACGCGTTGGCAGTGTGAAAGAAACAGAAGTTCGGTACTTGGTAAGATGCAACGAGCTTGCCATCCACTTTATCCAAGACGTAGAAGTAGACCGGGGAGTCGTGCTCGCATTTCATCGCTTCGATGATGGTCTTGGTCGGATCGCTGGTATCCATCGAGACGGGATTCCTGACAAAAACAACATACTTGTCCGTCATAGCAAGCGCATGCGTATAGCACGGCTTACACGGCAGCGCAGACTTCCACAACAGACACGCCGGGTTCGCCGCTACATCCAGCGCAAAAACATACATGATCCCCGCCGCATCGATCAAGTAATTGTACGTCTGTCCTCGCTTGCGATCATGGACGGGGTGAGCGCAGCACCCTGCTCCAGCAAGCTCGGGATCGATGGTCGCATGTGTGAGTAAGCGTTTCGGCTCGAGAGTCTTTGCATCGCAGATTTGCATGCAGTTCCAGTCGGTGTGGACGAGGATCTGTGTTTGTGTAAGTTCCGTCGAACATCTTGCAGGATGTGGACCATGATGAGGGAGGGATTGCTTGCCTCCTGTGTCGCTGGATCCTCAGCCTGAACGCCTCTCGAGTTGGGATTCTTATCCTTGGGTAGATGCATACCACGTCTTGGCTGCACATGAATGTTGAAGGCATCTGGCTCGGAGAAATCATCAGGTAGATAAACTGTTTGCTGCATACGACTCTTCCATCAGCCTTGCCCTCCCCTCTGATAAATCATCATAACTAGGAGGAGATTTCCTGACTTACACGCGCACCCAGCAATTTCGAACAAGGATCCTGGGCTTCGAAAAGAGGCGTATTGGGATTCGGTCCCATCCAAGAATTCTTGACAAAGCCGTCTCGCTTCGCAGCGCGGGTTATACCATTGGAGGTGTAGCGGCTCATGTAATACACTCGACCGTCGATCATGCGGAATTTGTGGAGGAGGGCGAGGCCGTCGAAGAGGTGCTGGATGATGACTCGGGGTGTGGAGTCGTCTTCCGAGGTGGGGACTGTGAAACGGCCTACGCCGACCCTGTGGTGTTGTTGATATCAGCTGGATAATTCAGGAGAGATGAGTAGTGTGATGTACCGAAGGAAAGAGCCATGCAGCCATTTGGGCCATGCGCCGCTGAGCTTACACTCAACCTCCGTCGGCGTTTCTGGGACGTCTTGGAGGTATGGCGGAGCGTATTTGAGTTCTTCCTCTGTGATGATGTCCCATCGGTACCCTTTTTGCTCTTGTTCGGGTGCCATTTCAGGATTGGGGATAAAGTGTTTGGAAAAATTAGGTTTGGCAAGTGGAGGTGGAGGTGTATTGTAACTGTAAGATACTGATGTACGATTCTGATGGTGTTGAAGTTTTGAGGTGTTCTACGATGCTTTATATAAACTCGTCTTCACTTCATCGCGGGATACAACAAAGCCAAGACTGTAGGCATTCAATCTCCAGTGGGCCGATTACAAGTCGCCGACAAGCAGACAAGGCCGCTGATTTGGAACATGAAGCATGGTACAGCCCTATGCTGTTCCCATTCTTGCCTATACAATGTGCCAAATCCGGTTAAGTGGATGACTACACCCAGGGGCATTTATTAAGCTAATCAGTGCCCAGACTCTTACCACGACTTTGCGACTGTCGCTTACCAACAACACTGCATGGCTAGCTGCCACGTACGATCATGGAAGAGACTTGGAATCAGCCTGCGTACGTAGATCCGGTGCTTTGCAATCCCCATCTTCCGGTTGGGCAGTGCTGGCGGATGTGGACGTCAAACCTGACATCCGATCCGGATGACAGCCATGTCAAGTCCGTTCCGTAAACTGCCAAGTTCATCTAAACTTACGCGGAGCATATCCATGGGGATATGCAACGGCAACGGTTAGTACCGTCGGCGGCTTTTTTTTGAAGCTAGCCCCTGCATGTATCTAGCGGGTTCAGCTCAGCCGCCATGGCTGCCGTGCAGTATCAGTAATCCACAGATTCAGCCATTTGCAGGGCATGTAAGTTTTGACAGCGTGTATACTCGAAGTGGCGGTAACATGATAGCTAAGATGTGCATGCCAGCGCGGCTATGTTCACAGTAACACGAAAAGTCTACAGCTTCAACCCCCTCAACCCCTCCCCAACCGCCTCCCTACTCCTCAAACTCTCCCCTGCAGCCCTTTGCGCAAACCCCACAACATCCTTAACCTTCATCCCCCTCCCGAGTCCATGTGCAACAGCACCACAGAATGTGTCGCCTATGCCGTTTACACTAACTACCTCACTGGGCTCTAGCACCTTCTCCACAGGGAACAGTCTTATGTAGAGACCCCCAACGCCCTTGCCCTCACCAGCCGACGCCGACATGTTCCTAGCAAGCACATACTGCCTCTCTTTCTCATCCCTCAATTCCTCCGCATCAGCCTCTAGCAACTTCGTCATCAACACGCCCTTGCTCCCCAATTTCGTCAGGATAGTAGTGAAGAAAGGGAGGAGTTTGATGGTTTGTTGCGGGATGCCTTGGTCGACCAGTTCACCGCCCACGGTAACTGCTAGAGGAACTCTCAACCCGCCATTGGGTATACCCAGCGCATCAATCACACCGAACCATTCCGGTGACTCGAAGAGAGAAGAGTGTGCAGCGAAGTCGTGGAGAGCGGTGAGTTCGTAGGTATTTGGTGTGATGATGTCGACGAGGGGGGTGGGGTAGATGGATGCTGAAGCCGTGGTGCTGGAGGTGGAAGGGAATATACGCAGCGCCTTTGCTGTGGAAACAGGCTCGAAGATTGTGGTTGTTTCCGGGTGCCGGGCAGCTTGGAGCCAGGTGTGTAGGGCGGGGGACGACCAGTTTGCGTCTGTGACGAAGGCTTTGGGGCGGGCGGAGGTGGGGGAGAAGATGCTGGTCGCGAGGTTCTGGATGGTTTCGATGGGGATGGTTTCTAGGATCGACATGTCTGCCATGGCGAGGGCGAGGTCTTTGTTGGTGTTGTTGATGGCGACGTATTGGGCTGTTCGGGATGGGGCTGGGAGGGTTTTGATGCCGGATGTTGACATGCCTTCTTCTTGTAGCTGGCTGATTGCTGCGCGGCCACTTAGGTCGTCACCTACCGCACTGTGGAGACGGACGAATGAGCCGAGGAGGTGAGAGGCTTTTGCGATGTTGTGGGCCACGCCTCCGAGCGTTTGGGTGATGACTGCTGGGTTTGAGGTATGAGGTAGTGGATCGGTTTGGCTCGTAGAGGCTGTAAACGGAGCATAGTCACATGAGAAGTCTACCGCAAGAGCACCTGCAACGACTACATCCGGGGCTTTTTGAGACTCATTTTTAGAGGAGATTGACGTAGCAGGAGTAGATGGAGGCTCAGAAGGTGATGAGGTTGCACTAGACGCGGAACTGGACTGAACGGGAGTGAAGTAAGAGGAGTTTTGTCTAGCATACTTACATCAGTGCCAGTCTACATCAAGCAACAAGAGTGCTGGCTCACCCCTGGGCTTGTTCCTGCTTCGCTTCGAGGATAGCAAGCTCTCGTGCTACAATAGTCGCGCGCCTCACGTTCGATTCTATGAGAGCTCTGTTGGCGGGTATGCTCTTGCCCTTGCTGAGCTCTTTGATCTTAGCAAGTACAAAAGGCGTATTATCTTTGCCAGAGATGTTGGCTGCTTCGGCTTGTTTCAGGGCCTCGGCAATGATTACGTCCATTTCATCTTTGGGTATAGCGAAATCGGTAGGAACAGGGTTGGCGAAGAGGAGACCAGATGAGATTTGAAGTGCGTGTTGCGCATCTGGGTGATGTTAGAATCATAACAAGAGAGACGATTTGGAGACTCACATATAACAGCAGCCGCCTCGATCTCATCCGCAATGGTCGTCGGACTCTTGACTCCACTGTCTCTTGACCAGAAAGCAGGGAAGTCTACATTGCCTTGTCGTCCATCGGCGAAGGTGCCTACACCTACGCCTTCAGTCTCGAGATATTCTATCGTCCGTGGTATGTCGAGGAAGCTCTTGCAGCCACTAGAGATAACGGTGACCGGAGTCCTGCCGAGCTCTGTCAAATCGGCAGAAATATCCATGCTCGACTCGGCGCCGCGATGAACTCCACCAAGGCCACCTGTTCCAAAGATCTTGATGCCAGCGAGGTGAGCGAGCAGCATAGTGCCTGATATAGTTGTACCGCCATTGAAGGACTTATCAGTCAGTCGCATACCGCATACATAGCCGAGGTCTCGTCGCGAGAGCTTCATCGTGTTTGGGTTACCAGCAGAAGAAGCCAGTTTTATCAGCTCTTCTGGATCCATGCCTACACGTGCTACACCGTCTAGAATGCCAATGGTAGCTGGGATGCCGCCATTTGTTCGGACTACGCTTTCGAGGAGGGATGCGAGGGCTACGTTCTCAGGATATGGGAAGCCTACCACGTGGGTTAGCAAGTGGTGCGCTTACGAGTATCTTTCGTTCCTACCATGAGTGTAGATTGTCGTCTCCAGCGCGACGACGGGCTTTTTGGAGTGTAGAGCTTCGCGCACCTCCTCCGAGACACGAAAGAAGCCATTGTTGGTCAAATGGCGCCTTCCCGATGCAGTCGCGATGCCATGGCGACTGGCAGATATCTGCGGCCTACCAATTGAACGTGCTAGGAGTCTCATAGTGACGTGGGAAAGTGAGGGTGGGTAGATAGCTGACACGGAGGGGTGAGCTCGAGCTGTCGCGCCAAGACGCGGAGGTGCCAGGGAACTCCGAAGAGAACACCTACGACGCAACATCCGCCGCGTAACCACCGACCGCCCAACCCGTCAGCCAACCCAATTCCCTCACCACCGACCTCATATATGACTGGATAGCTTGACTGCTGATCCAACAATGAGGTCTTCCCTCTTTACGAGCTGCATAGCAGCGCTTTCGAGCTTCGCGAGCGCCGAACTCAACCTCTCACAACCGCTGCTATCCAAGCAAGTGCTACCCAGCACCTTCACACCACCGCAGGTGTTTAAGAATGCCAACCTAGTCCGGACGACGAATTTGGATAAGGCATACGCAAGAGAGACGATCAATGTCATAATCGAGAACATTGACGACAAGGCGCAATCAGAATACTACCTGCCATTCGACTCCAACACACTGTCCAAAGTTGGAGGGTTCGAAGTAAGAGATAAGAAGGCGGCCGAGAAGGGCATCTTCAAGGTCGAAGTAGTGGGCTTTGATGCAGAGAGGTAGGCAATGGTGCAATTGACATGACGCATCGACACTGACTAGGACAGCTCTGTTGAGTTCTACAAGATTCATCTCCCCGAGCCCCTCGCACCCAAGGCGCAACAAACCATTAGCATCTCCTACACAATTCTCTCGGCCCTGAAGCCCGTCCCTGCCCAACTCGCCCAGACAGACAAGCAGTACCTGCAATACGACTTCAGCGCATACGCACCCTCAGCTTACCTCACCGAGAAGCAGCGAACCAAAGTCAAGTTCCCCAACAGCGATGTACCAGACTACACCAGCCTTCCCTCCGAGCTCAACGACGAGCAGACCACCGACCCCCAGAAGCAAGGCTCGACCTTCACATACGGTCTCTACAACAACGTACCCGCAGGCGCCCAGCAGGCCGTAAGCGTGCGCTACGAGTTCACCAAGCCCGTCACCCACGCGACACTGCTGGAGCGCGACATCGAGGTCTCGCACTGGGGCGGCAACCTAGCATCCGAGGAGCGCTACTGGCTCGTCAACCAAGGCGCAGGCCTCAAGAACCACTTCTCGCGCGTAGAATGGCAGCGCCAGTCCTACCTCAACCCCCCGACCTTCGCCCTCAAGGGCCTCGCCCTCCCCCTCGCCCCCGGCGCCGTCGACCCCTACTTCACCGACGACATCGGCAATGTCTCGACCTCCAAGTTCCGCCCCGGCAAGAAAGAAGCCCTCCTAGAACTCAAGCCGCGCTACCCCGTCTTCGGAACCTGGAAGTACAGTTTCCGCGTTGGCTGGAACGCAGACCTATCCTCGTACCTGCGCAAGCTCTCCACGGGCGACACCTACGCGCTCAAAGTGCCCTTCCTCGAGGGCCCCCGCTCCGGCGAAGGCATCTCCTACGGCCGCGTAAACCTGCGTGTTATCCTCCCCGAAGGCGCGAAGAATGTCAAGTTCTCCACCACCGTGCCTATCGTCAGCAACGAAACTAGCCTCCACAAGACTTTCATGGATACCCTTGGTCGCACCACACTCGAGCTGACGGCTATCAACCTGGTCGATGAATTCAGAGACCGCGATCTCGTTGTCACGTACGATTACCCCTGGACTGCGGGGTACAGGAAGCCGGTTGTTATTACCTTGGGCATGTTTGCGGTATTTGCTGTTACGTGGGTGGTGGGTAGTATTGATACTAGTATCGGGAAGAAGAAGACTGCGTAGAGAGAAGAAAGAAGACAGAAGGATTGAGTGTACAAAAGTAAACAGGAAAGGAAGACACGATATCAGAGATTTTGGGTATCCATATATCTGGCTGCGTGAACTGGGTTCACACCGTCAGTCAGTCAATTGAGGAGTATAGCGATTTGTTGCAAGTACCATGTAAGAAGAATGAATATGAAGTTCCAATTTCCAGTTCCCAAACTCCCAATTCCCGATAATCTAGGGTATCACGCACTGCTCTCCCACAACATGTCCCTGTACTCTCTAATCCAATCTACAACCCAGCACTCCCTCCCTCTACTCCCCTCACACCTCAAGCAAACACAAAGCCATCAAAAAGGATCCCTCCTCCCCTTAACCCGATGAACATGCCGACACACGACCCGAACACCCTGCTCACACCCCCGCCTCCCAACTTCACTCTTAACACACTGCGCTATGCGTTCCGCAATCGCTACACTGCGATGTGTACCAGAGTGACAACATATACTTAAGCTGACTTCCATTCCCCTCCCATCACCCCCTCCTCCTGTCCCTCCCCTTCCCCATTCTCTCGCTCGAGTCTTACTCCGTTGCGACTCCCCAAACCTAACAACCCTCTCCACAGCCTTCCTTGCCGCATACCTCGCCTCAGCGTCTTCCATAACGATATCCTGAATCCGCGGACTCACGCCTGAGTATTCCCGGCATAGAGAGGGTGAGGGTGGTCGGACGGTGCGTGCGTCTATGGTGTAGAGATGGGGGATTGGTGGGGACCGGACGGGAAGTTGCGAGGAAAGGAGGGAGGCGCGGGAGGATTCTGTGGGCGTGAGGTCCGCGGCGAAGGTTATTATGTAGACGGTTGGTATGGACGGGAGGGGATCGTGTATGTAGGGTAGAGAGGACGGTTGGTGGTGGGTGTAGTGTGAAGTAGAGCGAGGTAAGCTGGTTCGTTGAGGCGAAGTAGAAGAACGATATCTCTCTCGATGGTGGAGTTGAGAATCGTATTCAAAGGAGTGGGAGTAGGTGGCGTATTGCTTCTTAGGCATCTTTCTTTCGGTTTCGTAGTGCCGTATAGGTGGTCGAGCCGGTGACGGTATGTATCTGCTCTCCCTTCCTCTTTCCCGTTCTCTTCCTCTATTCCTCTCTCGATCTTTCTCCCTCGCCCTAACACGTTCCCTCTCCCTTTGCCTCTCCTCCTCCGCAATTCTCACCGTTCTGCTCGACGTCCCCTGAACAGGTGGAAGATCGAAGTGAACGTGTCTGCCCTCCGTCTTCTTGAGACTGCTCTTGCGTGGTGGTCTATCTGGCTGCACCGTTTGAACTGGTTTGACGTATCTCCAATATTCTGTTTGAGAGGGTCGGTACGAAGTGTTTGGTCTGTGAGATGTGCTGGGTCGCGCGTATGTCGTTTCGTAGTAGGAATTATAGCGACGTGGTTCTGTGTATGGGTAGGGTCTGGACATGTAAGTTGTGTCGTAGGATCGCGAGGTGAGATTGTGAGGGTAGAGGGGAGGATGCAGGTAGGTCTGTGAGTAGTGGGAGGGATGCGCGGAAGTGTAGCGGTACATGGTAGTTCTTTCTGCTTTCCATGCCTTTTGTGGTAAAGGTAGAGTGTGGTACTTCTCCTTTGCGTAATGCGTATATTTACAGAGCCATGGTCAATCGAGTAATGATATCGGTGGTGTAGGTATGAGCTGTCTGCGAAAGATTCAGAGTGCTTCGCGTAGGCTCATGGTAGCACGATACTCATAGTAGGGCGTTCGCGCTCTGTGCTCGTGAGCATGCCGATAGGCAGTCGAAGCTCGTGGGAGTCACAGTCGTACAGAACGACATGGCGTTCCTGTTTCCCCACACTGCCATGTGTTGGGTGCGCATTGCGCCTACCGGAGCTGAGATTCGGAAATAGAAGCTGAGATATGGGAACGTGACTAGCACAGGTATATGATTGCTATGAAGCTATTGCAAGTTTGACAACTTGGTTAGGGAATGGAGTCAGAAGTGGTAATAGGACTAAGATAAGACTTGCTGTGGTCGACCGCTGATGACTTTAGGAAATAACGATTGGTAATATGACGAGGTAGTCAACAGACTCGAGGAAGGAACTATCTCATTATATGTGCATTCTCCAACACCTCTTCTTCTCTTTACATGCTGGTTCCTCTTACGCCAGACAGAAGTCTAATAGATAAATCTACGCCATAATACCAAGGCCTCATCAGTTGGGCTGCCGCCATTCTAGATATACAAACTCGATCACTAATCTTCTCATCGAATCTGTCTACCATAGACTTCTTGTTGCATCAACAGTCGCCATCTCGAAATTCGCAACGACTGTTCGACACGAGTTTACAAGTCAGTACACCTCGCGTCCAGTCAAGCTTTCTAGCTGTGGGTCATCGGCCTCTCTACTGCACGACATCTGTCTGACTCCGCAACACATCCTCGCTTCCACAACAACCCATGAGGATCAAGGACTGCATTTTCGCAATGCGTTCAGTTCCACATCTCGTCGCTTGCGTTGGGCATCACTACAGTTAGAACGACTAAGCCTTGGCTTTGGATGACTTGCTTGTGATGTGCGAAGCGGTCCCGACGTATAAGCCGTATATTGGCATCTCGGCTGTATCTCACAATTTGCGGACCGTCTTGAGGCCGACCTTGATCGTCCGTTGGGCATCAAGGTACCATGTTGGCGTCCTCGCACGGCTCGCTGACCGCTGCGACGACCCGGACGAAACTCCAGCTGCAGGTGTTCGGAGCACTGTCGCTGTCGACAAGCGAGGTGTTGTGATTGCCTTGATTAGTCGATGCGAGGCATCGCGACGTCGCTCATGCTTGAGCAGATTTCGCCATCGCGACAGCCCCACCGGGACCCTGCGCTGTCTCGAACATCGACAGAAGCCATGTCTCCTTATGTGGAGATCACATATTGTGCATGCGCGGTGCAGGCATTACCGCTGCGTTCAAGGCTCCGAAGTTGCGGTCTGACAGATCCGGAACCGCTGAGGGGTCCGACGTTGTGTAACGAGCTCTTCGAAGGGTAACCCGGACAGCACATAGCAAAAGCTGTAAATATGCAAACCGATTTCTTGAAAGTACGGCCGAAAAAACCATGGCATGGACAAGCTCTATTGGAACAAATGAAGCTAACGATTGACAAGGTCTCTGATTGAATTGGAAGGACAAGCCGCACCGTGTCATCATGCCATGTGAACTGAGAACTGACACAGTCTCCTCAACACCATGCACGACACATCTCTCGGACCTCTTGTGGTGAAGAAATCCGAGCGTCGTCAATGGAAGGGCCGAGTTGTATCAGCCGTTCGCTTGCGCCTTCGATCCTCTTCGGGGCTCGTCGCGATACGTGCACGAACAAGAGGTTCGTCACCGAAATGGAACCGACAGCCGCTGCTCAGCGCACAAGCAACATTCGTTGCGAAAGTACAAGTCGTACCGAAGTCGGGGAGATCATGACCGAGATTGCACGCTCGATGAGACGCGCAAAGAAGACGCTCAGAACATTCCAGGGTGTCTTCACTCCACTCCGCCCGTACGTATTCTCCACTGTATGCGCGTTTCGATGTTGCAGCTAGAGCTGGGTCAGGGACCCCTCCCGGCACGGATACCACTATATGCACCCCAGGCCCTAGCTGCTTACCGGCTATCGTCACCGAAATGGCATACCGGAGAACGTCTCCAAGTCGCCATGCAATTGTTTGCGATAAGCGATCTTCGATAAGAATCGGAGTCAAAAGGCCCTATCGTGCATGCTCAACACTCACCGTACATGCAGCATGGCCAGCTGAGACAATGTTAATAATAGGCGCATAATGCGCATCTTGCATTTCCCTCACCTATGTACCGTTGCGGGGTATCCCGTTACAATTTCGGCTGCAGTAACACGGTAGATGGCTTTTCCTATGGGAGCTGCCTCTAGCCGATGCGTTGCCTGTCTAATCGGTGAGGGAGCAAACGTTCGATTGGCGAAGACTCAGTCAGCGGGAAAGCACAGCGCGGTTGGTGTCACTTTTTCTGTCAACGTTTCGCCTGCGTGGGATACTGATTCGACGACCGGTGTAGCGACTGCATGTGCTGTTGGGGTCGATGGCCTGGATGTGGACTTGGCTTGCAAGGCGGATCTGAACACAGCTTCCTGTCACACTGCTAGTAACGCCTTGGAGATCCTACCGACGCGGCTACCGTTGAGGGAGCCTCACTTTCTCAAGGCTAAAGGCGAGCTTGGTGGTTGTGTCATGTACCTTCTCTTTCGCTACACAGGGCTGTCCGGTCGGTGTGATACGCCAGAAGTCGCGATTCATCCGTGATGCGAAAGCAATGTCTGGATGGGGTTGTGGGATCTGCGGGTATCTCGTCCGCCCGCCTTCCACACGCCTACCCATCTTGGCAACTGCCCAGGTGTCAACTTCAGAGATACCACTCTTGTGAGGACTTTGTATGGCCGGATCGTTTTACCGAATTGTAACTTGACATGGTCGAATACGAGCACAAACAGGTTTAACTCTTGACTCACGCGCGCGCCTACTCCGAGTATATACTCAAAGCATAAAGAAAGAAAAGCAAACACGAAAACACGTGCTAGAATACCCAGCTGTGTAAACTTAATCGTCGAGTCGCGTCTAGCGTACAGTCGGCATCGACAACCGACATAATCACAGCATTCGCCAGCACCAGCACCACGAATCGGATTTGCCTCAACATACGATGTCGCACGCGCTACAAGCCTGGCACTATCAAGGCCTTCGGCGACTGCGAACAAGGCATGCAACCATGCGCCCTCCAGGAAGCTGAAGTTGCCGATGGAAAGCGAATGTGCCGCAACCTTATCCACCTGGCAGACGGCACCGTGACACGTTCACGCAACGGAGTCTTCTCCGCAACAACTTAATGACGCCCTTTTCCTGCTCATTTCCCAGCATTTTGGACCAAGAAAATGCTCGCTGCTGCCCAACGTTGCTTCACCGTATCAAACTCTACTCGTACTCCGTGCCATGTTCGCCGTTTCTGGTGCCTCGGGAACGTGGGATGTCGCCGTCTGCTGTTGGTCAAGTTTTATCAGATGACGGATGCGACTTCCTTGACCGCTGGACAGGCAATGGAGAAAGGTCCGATGACTGCGGAATCAGGACCTCATTCAGCAATGCATGATCGACAGGATACAGTGCACTTTGCAGTAGAAGCTGCGCGAAGTAAATGAATAGGAAAAGGAGTCCATGCAGCGACTGCGACTTTGGAGAGTGCAGCATACGCGAATGGGAAGGAGTTGTACGTTGCGACTCCAAAACGTACAAGGTTACCCCAAATGATCGACCCGTGATAGTACCGGCAACGCAACGCATCGCATCTTACTCATGCACATATTGTCCGATGTACGATATGCCAGACTTCCGAACATCAGCCGCATTACGCGCTCAAGAACTCGTCGCAACTCCCAGCCACCCCAAAAATATCTCGTACGAGAATCCACCTTAGTCTATCCATAGTGTGAGCAAATAGGACATCTAGACAGCCCCTCCAACATTTGGCACCATGTCCGGTACGTCACCCACCGTAAAGCTTCCGAGCGTCCCGCCTAGCTTGGAACGGAGCACGTGGGTACGTGACTAAACTAGCCCACACCCCATCATCAATGACTTCTTCTTGTCTGCTCTAGCCAACTCCAAGACTCAGGGTCCGCGCTACTCTGATCGTCTTGACCGGAACCCGCCGTCACGTTTTTTTCTGTCTCGCTCTTCGCACTTCCGCTCGCTCGAGCCGCAAATAGCGCCGGGGGGATGTGTTGCGTCCACGGGCTGCACAAGCACGCCAGGGACAAGTTGCTGTCAACGTTGCTAGTGAACCAAATTTTGCCTGCAGTAGTTCAAGCATGATGTTGATGTTGGAGGGTGTATTCCTGCTTTTTTGGCGTGATTTATTGCCTATTTGGGTATGACGGCGGACGTTGGAACTTGCCAGGCGATTACTTTGATGGGCGCGATGCACAGCTTTGTTTTTAGTCGATGAAGGGTTCACAGTCGTGCAGTAGACATGGCAACTTGTGCCGCTTCCCGTCCTCGCATATGTTTTCGCCATCGCCATCGTTGTTGCGGTGAGGAAAAAGCCGCGAAGTGATTGGTCATGGTAACCACATGAGCATTTTGTTGCGAACACGAAAGCGAAGTCGCAACGGGTTAAACAACGAGCGGTGAAAATATGACTATTTCGAGTTATTCATTCAATTCGCCTTGGGAGGGCATGCAGGTGGTATCGCATACGGCAGGTGCGTTTGGCATTGTCTAGTCTAGGTTCATAGATTACCCTTGTCATGCCTTTGCTTCTTTTTTTTCTACGCGATGAGGAGCCCCCCTTCATGCAGAGGGGGGAGCACGTGGATCGCATAGTACATACACACTTTTGAATAACCCACTCACACTTTTTTGTAGGAAAATGGACTTAGATATGAGGCGTATGTACTGATTTACTTGCATTGCATTGCATTTTGCATTTGAGGCAGGTTGGGCAGCGACTAGAGATCGTGGGTTTGGACTTGATCTGCAGGTGGAAATGTTGC